ATTCTAGCTGGAGCCAACGTTACTGCTGCCGGTGCCGAAATTCTGGGGTGATAATCTTTGGTTGGCGGGAGCTGGGGCGTATAAAATCCCCGGATGGGATGATTGGGGGGCTGTTGGCTGGACTGTTGTATCCAGAGTCAAACAAGGTGCCCTTCTTCTTGACTGAACGAGGAACTATCGGTTCGACGTGGCTGGTATCGAAGGAGGCGACCGGAACAGTGCCAGCTCGACGGAGGGAGGGGATAGGACGGGACGAAGAGAACGTGCCTCGGGTTGGGATGTTGTGGGAGGAGTGGAGACGGGAAGAGCTATCAAAGACATCGGTGGGATCTCTTTGACTTCGTTCTGGCATGCGTGGCCTGGCAGACGAACGCCGAGCAGTATCCTTTTCTCGATGCATCCCTAACGGGGTGATGTACACGACACTGGGTTTGCTTTCATGGGGCGTTGGCCCTTTGTGCAATCCAGCCTTGGTTCTCATGTATTCACATGCGCCTTCGATATCGGCAGCCATCTTGGGGCTTTCCCAGCTAGACGAGTAGTTTGCCTCCCGGCGTCTAAGCTTTGGTCTAGGTTTTTCAGATGGTCGTCGGTGCTCTCTTATGGGGTGAGTGTATTCACGATCGCTGAAGTCGTCAGTGTCAGAACTAGACTCGGAGGAGGTCTCGTCTGTGTATTCTTCGACAGTGGCGTAGTAGGTGGTACGACTGTACTTTTCCGAAGTGTCTCGACGGCGCTCCTTGTCACGGAACTTGGCATTGCTGGCACGGCTACTTCGAGTCGACTCTCGAGTCTCCTTGGCCCTCTCCCTTGAGTGGCGAGCCGTCTCGTGTCTGGCGTAATCCTTGCTGTTGCTGCTGCTGCTGCTCTTCTTCTCGTAGGGGTCTCGGGTCTTGGAATGATGATGTCTTCTCTCGTAGTCAGCATGCTTCCTCGACCTCGAGCGTTGTTCTTCGTAGTCGTCGTCAGAGTAGCGAGACGGCCTCTGGCGATCGACCGAGACCGGAGAGGGATCGCGGGGAGCTCGATAGGACTTTGACGGGGGAGGCCGTGGTTCGTACTTTGGGCCTGTAGAGTATTCCCTGGGGGTTATGTCTTCGAACACACAGTTGCCTCTTCGACTCGACGTGCCAGGTGCACCTCTGGCCGGCATCCGCTCCTTTGCAGCAGCTTCAGCCCGTTTCTTCTGGTCATACTGGGCACGCTTGGACTCGTCGGAGATGAACTCGTAGGCCTCCTGTATCTTCCGGAACTCGACAGTCCCCTTTTCCCGAAGAGACTCGTCCTGGATCTTGTCGGGGTGAAACTTGAGTGCTAGTTTCTTGTATGCTGTCCGGATCTGGGCCGTCTGAGCTGTTGAAGGTATCCCAAGGACCTCGTACGGATCATGTTCGGGCATCTGCATCCTGATGGCAGTGATTTAATGGTTCGAGTTTCCCTTGGTTTTGAGGCTTCGTCCTGGGACGGGAAGTATAACTCTATGCTTCGCTTTTCCGCTATGTATTATAGGAACTTCGAGAGAATTGGGCTGTAAGACGGGTGAAGAGCTGGGAGAGAGCGAGTGAGCGAGAATGAGTAATAGTGAACGACAGGAAGTGTCACTTATGGGCTGCTTTGACAGCAACGAAAGGAGTGTCGGGAGCAAAAGGCCGTCCCCCCGGGGTTGCGGGTTGCGGTACGGACGAAGGAGGGAGCGAAGGGGACGGAGGTATTGATGATTAGAAAAGCCACTGCTGATGACAGGCTGTCCGTTCGTTGCCACCATACGACAAGCCCTCCCGGGAATGGCCAGAATGCGGGCGACGGGACGGGATGTTTCTGCTGGACGTCGATACAGTTGAGGATGCGAAGATGAGGAATTAAAAAAAAGGGAAAGAAAGTCGATGTTGGTAGAGTTCAGGGTGGAAAATGCGCCACGCCTTTTCTTAGCAAGAAAAAGAACGACGACGCCTTCGGAGTTTTTTATGTAAGAGAGAGTGGCCAACGCAGCAGCAGAAGGAGAAGAAACCAGCCACAAGAGAGTCCCGAGTCTGGCTGCTTGCTTTTCAGGGGGCCCCTCGAGAAGGGAAGTACTTCCTGTTCTTATTGCTCTGCGTCCCTGGTTCTCGTTCCTGGTTCCTGGTCGGGATATGGCGAAGATGGATGCCACTGAAACGATCAGGACGAAGGCTCCCAGGAGATCTCTGCTTCTCAGGCTGGTTCAGTGGATCAGAAGCAGCGGTGTGGAGGAGGAGGGAGGGGAACCAGGTCGAATAATCAATACTAAATATACTAATTCATGCAAAAGCAGGGCGACTGGTTAACCAAGCAACGCGCCCCAAACCGTCACTTCTGAGGCAGACAACTTCCGCCTAGTTTGCTAGATGGAGGGACGACGAGCGACGGCGATGATAATGGGCTCTGCTGAGACGGGAACTGTCCCAGGAAGAGCGCAGATGAGCTCTTATTACCGCCCTTGACAGCGACAAGCGCCGGGCAGCAGGCTGTCTGTGACGGTTCTGTGATGGAGGGTGTGAAGCCGGCGCTTCGAGATGTGATTCGACTGGCCCCCCCTTCTTGGGCCTATTTTCATTTCCTTCTCTTCTCTTTTTTGCTTTTTCTTTTGCCTCTCGGGCTTACTGAGAGGGCATCTCTGTCGGTGTTATAACTGACATTCTTCTATATACTACAGAAGACCGGGCGCTGATCGGTCTGTTGCAGGCAGTGGCCGTCTTCTACGAAGTGCTTTTCCGACTATCCAAAGGATAAAAAAAGAAACCCGGCCAACTACAAGCTGGAACAGGAGTGAAGGTGCTTACCCGCCTGACTGACGCCTTGCAAACAGGAAGTACCGAAGTATACAAGGGTGCACACCTTCAAGCCCTGCTGCCCACTCGTTTAAAAGTCGTCAGGCATCAGGATAAAAAAAGGGAGGAGCATTGATTAATTTCGCCATCAATGACTCTGGCTCTGCCATGCCGTCCAATGGTCGGGCGCTTGCTTGACTACTTTTCGAAACGAGGGAACTTGTCTTCTAACATATACTCCGTAACCGTTCCTGCCTCAGAGCGGAATTATGGTTTATTTTCTTTGCCTCGGGAACCCGGTCCGTCAAAACCGTCAAATGTCAAAACGTTATTCACGAAGCTATCGATTCGTATATATCAGATGGCTTGTTGGTGGCCAACTGATCGATACAGACACGCAAACTCGGAAACCCAGTGGAACTCGCAAAGAGTGCTTCTTTTTGCCATCCAGCTGACAAGATATCGAAGAGCAACGAGGATGAAAAGATCGGACCAGGCCCGAGAAGGTTCTACTCGTTGCTTTTTTTTCTTCTTTATACTCGCTCTCTCTCTCTGGGGGCTATGATTCAAAGGTGGTTGGTTACACAGGTTGATGGGAAAATCCTTTATGATCCAGGGACCATCATTCCATCGTCATCCTCCATCATCTATCGGCCTTTCCCTGGCCTTCTACGACCGGTAGTACGGGGCTGAGGCCTCCTACGACTCAGCTATCCCGAGTATGTACATGTGTATACAGAGTTGAGCTGGAAATAGGATACTCCTCCACAAAAACCCTGTTGTGGCTGAAGAAGTAGATCGCGGACATACTGACGTAACAGCACGGATCCACGTTTCCCGCTTCCCTTGCTCGCTTCTGGGGGAGGATGGAACGGGCCTCCTCTTCTCTTCCCTTCCGCGATCACAGCCATAATCACGATATATGATCACCTAAGCTTACTCTTTGACGGGAATAGTGTTACGGATAGTCCGTCCGGCATCGAGGCAGCGAGTAACAAGCAAGGGAAAGGAAAGTTATGCAGAGCATGAAGAATGCAAAGAAAACCTTCCCTCTCCTTCTTTCTTCTTCTTTTGCTTCTTCTTCTTGCGCGGTATTCCCGCCCCTTCGCCGCACTCTCCCCTGGGGAGCTGCGTGTAACTCCTCCGTTTATCAAGCAAGTAATAACACACCCCCAATATAAGACCCACGCCAGCGCTGCAGCAAGGCACTGGCTGCCCCTTGCATTCCAGACGTCTTCTTTCCCCCCTCCAGAACGAGCAAAAAGGTCAGAGTGCATGCATGCTCGCGCAGGGGGGGATGATAACCCCTCCCTCATCATGAAGCCCAAACCTAAAGAGAAAGAAAAAAAGAAACGAAGAAGGACAAGGGGAATCGGTTTATCGATCGAGTGAATGGCACAGAGCTATCATACAAGTCGTGACATATACTTCTTCGTCTCCCTCACAAAACGGCTGGACGGCGGGAGGTTGTATATCATATTTTTCTTTTGTAACGAGCGCCATTTGACCCTTCCAAGGAAGAGCAGCAAGTCATCTGCATCCACTCAGCAAGCCGTGTTACAGTGAAGCAACGATCCAGCACGATGTGATAGGTAGACGACAGAAGTCAAGGTCGAGAGTCAACGATACCGGAAGCCCATCCTTCTGTGCTCTGAATGGCGGTGATGATATGGCAACCCAACGTCTGGATCTCCACTCCGAAACATCGGCCAAGCCTCGACTTATTCTATTCCAAAGTCCCTCGTTGCTTTCTGACGCCTCGACGTTATAGGGCGAGCAGAAGGCCGGTGGGTGCCGGCGATAGGTTGTGTCCACGACAGCGAAATGGATGGTCCTCCTGCCATGCGGTTGGCTGGATGCTCTCGCCTGGGTCTGCAGGCATGCACATCGTCTCATTTTTACGCTCGTTCGTGCATGATGCAGGGACTGATTGGCTGGTGGACATCAGCCTAATGCAATGCAGGGCAAGGTTGGCTTTACTCCACGCCGCCCCATCTACCGTGGAGAGGGGGGGGGGAAGAGAGGGGGGAGAGATGGGATGGGATGGGATGATTCTGACCACTCGCTATGAGCGGGTGCCAGTTAATATAAAGAAGAGCATGCAATTACTTAGATGAGCTCCTTGCGCCGCTTGCATGTATGTACGTACATACAGCAGGTTTTGGCGACAGGGGTCCAACGAACGGATGGCTTTATATCATGCCCCAGCTCTCCTCTACTATGTACCCCTTGGCTGGTCTTTTTTGAAGTTACATAGTATATCAGGTTTGTCGTGTAAATCACAGGGTAATTGCAAATAATGGCCAACTTCAGCGAGTTGGATGCAAGAGGAGCACCAACTGTATCATGGAGTATTGCACAACGACATCATGCAGCCGTTAGGCGAAATCGTTATCCTACAAGCAATGCTGTGATCCCGTCAACTCCGATGCCCATGGTAGGTTATCGTGTTTTCGAGGCCTGCTTCGTAGAATTCTGCCTTGATACCGAGACGTACTTTTCCACTCTGTACGGTCTAGGATTCACACCGTTAATAGCATTGTGGGAAGTAGTAAATATAACTGGGGCGTAAATATATATAAAAGCCGTACCTGACTGTGGCCATCTTCGCCCAAACGTTTTCCCACCAACTTCTACCCAAGAAGCGATACACAAAACGCCGCCGAAGAAGATGCTGGCAGCGACATGATACCCCAAAGTCTGCTGAAGACTGACTCGATGCAGCAAAAGCGTCTACACTCTGGATATGGCCTGACCTGAATAAAAAGGGACCAGAAGGCGCCGAAGGAGGCTCGGCCGGTCCTGCTCGGCCGGACTTCAAACATGCTAGCCTCGTGCGAGCTTTTGCAGCCGACTTGATATTGATTTCCGGGGACAGATAGATGCACCAGCAAAGGCGTTGTCTGCGATATCGAGAATATGAAGACGCTCTCAGTCTTTTATTTCATACCGCTCTCCCGTTTATTCTCTTCTCCCTCGCCTGAGCTCAGCGACATCCCACAAGGAACATGGAGGCACTGGAATTCTACGTCAAGGGCTCGCGCCTTGTCTTTGGCCTGATATATACTCACATCCACCAAAAGATCCTGGCCGTGGGCCACCGATGGACCTACCAGGAGACCACGTCGCCCAAGAACGTCGTCGTCCTCGGCGGTTCCTATGCAGGCGTTCACCTTGCGCAGCGGTTAACAGAATCGTTACCGACAGGCTATCGCGCAGTCTTGGTTGAGAGGAACTCTCATTTCAACCACCTGTTTGTGTTTCCTCGGTGCGGCGTAGTGCCTGGTGTGGAAAAATCTGCCTTCATCCCCTACGATGGCATCGCCAAAACCGCACCACCAGGCATCTTTAAACACATACAAGATTCCGCAACAGCAATCACACCCAATCAAGTCCAACTTGCTTCCGGAGAGACTATTGACTATGAGTACCTTGCCATTGCAACCGGCTCGTGGCAACCCTCGCCAGCAAAACTCACGTCGACGGAGAAATCAGGCGCCTGTGAGGAGATGCGTGCGTCGCAGGATCGGATCAAGCGTGCAGACCGTATCGCCGTGGTTGGAGGCGGGCCGGTTGGGGTCCAGGTTGCCACGGATATTAAAAGCTTCTTCCCACAAAAGGATGTGACATTGATCCATTCACGCTCTCAGCTGCTACCCAATTTCGGTCCCCGGTTACATGAGCACGTCATGAAGACGCTTAAACAGCTTCAGGTTAACTTGATCCTGGGCGAACGTCCCCAGGCCGTGACCGAAGGGGTCAAAGATATGATCAAGGACAGACACCAGGAGGCTCTATGTTTCAAAGACGGCCGCAAACAGATATTCGACCTAGTGGTAATGGACCCTGTTTTACACAGCCTGTGGTTGTCCTCCTCTTAGATAAGATTTGTTGAAACTAAATGCTCGGACAGATTCGCTGCACCGGCCAACGGCCCAACTCAAGCATCCTCGCCAAGCTATTCCCTTCCGCTATCTGCGAGCAAACCGGGCAGATCCTCGTACACCCTACCCTTCAGATCAACAATGGTCCTACCATGCCAAACCCCAATATCTTCGCCCTGGGCGATGTTGCCAAAACTACGGGCCCCAGAATGGAGAGGACAGCGCGAGCGCAGGCTGAGATAGTGGCTTCGAATATAGTTTCCTTGATCACCGGGTATACTCCGCTCGAGACCTATCGTGTCATGGAGGCACATGGCGTCATCAAGCTCACCTTGGGAAAGGTATGCCTCCCAGCCCCTTACATTCAATCCCTCTTGGATTCCACTAACTTGCCCGTTTTAACAGCACGACTGGGCCATGTACTATAGAGAGGATAGTGGCCGCGAATTGATGGTAAACGGAAGAACGAAGAGTGATGAAATCGATGTTCGTCCTGTCTGGCAGGCCATGGGGGCGAAGTATACTCCTAATCCTTCCTAGGTGTTCTTGAAATTGTGCAATATAGGTTTCCTACATAAACCGGGGTTTGTTCCGGATACTGAAGATGTAATACATAATAATGGAGAGAGATTATCGATAAGTGGGACCGTTTTTAGAATAGTTAGAGTTCGCTACCCGCATAGCCTATTTTTACTCATAGCTCTTTCACAACCGTACCATCTTAGAGCCTCAGAGATCGATAGAGATGCTACCACTGTGATACATTTTGACAATTCACCGTGAAATAATTTACAAGGTAGTTTGGCCGGAACAGGCAGTACATGACCGGAGTATAAGCATTGATCTCAAGCCTCCCACACGCGGCTCTCATCCAGGATGATAGTGAAAGCTACGGTGAGCTGAGATGGCTGACCGTGGCGGTGGTGACAAGGGCCTCGTCAGCCGCAAAGCCTTCCTGCCGGGCAAGGGATAACCCAGGAAACCGAATTATCAAGTCTACCCTGGCTAAATTCTAAGGTTCGCAGCCATTACCTAGATTAGATGTACTATCATTTTATTCTATATAGATCCTGACACCGTGTCGTATCACGGTACTCGGGCCGTTTTGATCCTTGGGGGGTTAACTAATACATGAGAAGAGGAGCCTCATTGGCAGCCTCGCGTGATAGGAGCATATATATACGGCCTCATGTCTTCAGAAAGTATAACTACTGGCGGCATAACGAATCACTACTAGAGAACGCATAGATGAATACTTTGGTGGCTACCATCCAGCTGATACATTACACACTTCAACTTCGTTCGCTCTGGTAGGAGAATATTCCATTCGCCTCATTCTACAGCACACTATGGGCGGAGTTGAACTGTATTGTTGCGGAAAAGGCATAAAATCGCATCACAGGACACGAGGTAGAAAGAATGAAGCGAATGGCGTGTTTTTTTATAAAGCTAGGCGAGGGCTATGTTATTCTTGAGCCGTTATGAAAAGAAGGTATAGAAAGAATGAAAGTCAGCCTCGTATTGCCTTGGACTAGAGTAAATCTACGCCTGAGACGCCTGAGAGGCGGTGAAAATGTAAACACGTGTCGGTGACGTTAGGCAGGAATGTGCCCAAGAGCGAGACAAGTATGGATAAGAACAGTAGGTCATAGTAGTGAGGCATTGCCTCTAAGAAGGGAATGTAGAGATCGTTAAGTGACGATCATGATATGGTCACTAAAATGAGTCAGCGTATTGTCTGGAATGTGGTGAAGTTCAGGACATAGGGATAAGGGGTATCAGAGCTCGCATACATTTAGTAGAAGTTAAACGAGTGTCCGTCACGACGGTATCAAGTGCTAAGTCTGTTTGTCAACAGGTAGCGGAATGGAACCTGGTTAGCTTAGGCAATGTATATGGGTGCCGTCAAATGTTTTCGCTCGGGATATCCATCCCCTTATAGCTTTTGGGCATTAGTTCTGCTGCTGTCCTTGTTCGCCATCAAGGGGGAGATCAATATCAACCACAATCGGGGCATTGAATTTCCTTCCTCCTGGATGCGGATAATGAGTTGCCAGGATGGAGGCATTGATGAAGCAGGTTTCATTTCTTGCTGGATCCATGGGCCCTTCATTTGCCAGTCTCGGGTATGTCTTGCCAGTCAGATCGACGCGAGACATCTTCTTGCTCTCACGAGGGGGCAAGGTTCCAACGGTCGTACTGATCTCACCAAAAGTTCCAGTTGCTTCGGGTTCCATGTCATTGACATCCCACTTGACTCTCTCATACCCTCGAGCCTCATGCACATGGCCACAGATGGAAAGTCTAGGTCGAATCTTCCACAATGCCTGGCGGAGGTATTCACACCCGATATTTCCATGATGGGTAGTCAAGTCAAGATGGTTTTTGGCTGGGGTATGGGTAACAACCACATCTGCATCTGATGGAATGTGACTCCACCATTGACGTGCTTCCTCTGGCGAGTCGACGGAGTAGCCAAACGGTGCATTCCATCCAACAATTCGGCGAGCACTAGTGGGGTGACGAGCCGATCCGAACACTTTGAACATCGTCTTTGGCCCGTTTGCACCCTTTAGGCGGATTGTTTTGGATGTATGATCCAAATACGTTATCCCCTCGGTGGTGATTAGCTCCATGCATTTATCGGAAGGCTCAGCCTTCTGGCCATGGAAGAATTCCGTGTGATGCGAGTAGAACTCTCTATCCAACGGGGCATCATGATTGCCTTTTGCGGCCATGCCAATTAGCTCCATGCCATGTGTTTGGTCATATCGACATGTGGATAACAGTAACAGAGGTGGAAGAGGGAGTTGGTGATAGGCTGAGAGCATCAAGAAAACACGATATCACAAACCTGCAATAACAATCTTGACTTCAAAGTCCGCCTCTAAGATCCACTGGGCGGACTTGCGAAACTCCTCCACCGTTCCTCGGTTGGTGATATCTCCGGCATGGACGAGGACGTCTCCCTTTGGCAGTCTAAACGCTGCCTCACGCGTTCCGTACCCGTGGGTGTCGGATACGCAGACGAATCTTGTTTTAACCATCGTGGCTGAAAGTGAATAGGCTCTTTGCTATCAAATAGACATTGTATATCCGTGTAAAGAAATCGATAGTAGAAGGGCAAATAGTGTGATGTATCTGAATCCATCAACCAGGAAGGCTTTTATATGTCCTTTTTTTATTTGCTTTTCAATGACTTCATCCAGTCTATGACTCATTTATGCGACGAGGCTCGGTCCGTCTCGGTGAGTCAGATTCGTCTCTAAGCATTGAAGACTGCATGAGTGGGCTGGCATAGAGCACAGTTGGTAGTATAGAAGCCTTCATCATAGAAGTAATCGAGGAGAAGCAGTACTCCGTTAATACTTGTCGAGCGCACCAGGTAGTTGTTAGCAGGCAGTAACAGTGTCGAGTACCATATTAAGTAGAACCCAGCAGAGTAAGAAGCGTCACAACGTCAGTCATCTACACACATTCTCCCTATCTCTTCTTCTTCTTCTCTTTCATGCTGTGTCTACATCATCTTCATCCTCATCTTCGCCGTCTTTGAAAGTCAACTCACGTGACCTTCTCTTATTGGGCAACTTAGGGCTAACTCCGCCCACAAAGGGCTTTTTCGCTTAAGCACCAAAACGACCAAGAAACTCGGTGGTTTTGAGCGATCAACAACGACATCAAATTCGACAACCTCCAAAACACAAGGTGTTATCCTAGAGCAGAGCTCTTCCCTCTTCCCTGGATATAAGCCTCGTGAACCGGTGACAGATCACGATGTCCACCTTCGAGCCAGTGGTGCGTGTTCTTCCCCGTCCTTCTTGTCAGGACGGGACATAATTTTCTGCTCCAACCCTGCAAATTCCGAATCGCGATTCACTGACTTGTTTCTTCTTGCGATAACTATAGGTCGTCATTGACGGCAAGGGACATCTCCTTGGTCGCCTCGCCAGTACCGTGGCCAAGCAGCTTCTCAACGGACAGAAGATCGTCGTTGTCCGATGTGAAGCCCTCAACATCTCCGGCGAATTCTTCCGTGCTAAACGTACGCATACACCGTTCCCCTAGCAGATATTAGAAGCAAGAAGAGCAGTATCTATGAGAACGAAGAGCAATACAAGTAAAAAGGGGGGGGGGGGGGGAGGAAGGACGGTTGATATGAAAAAGATGGGAGGGACTAATTCGATTCGTCTTAATAGTGAAGTACCACGCCTATCTCAGAAAGATCACTCGCTTCAACCCAACCCGAGGAGGTAAGATTCAAGCGCGCACCGGCCATGAAAAGAAGAAGAGGAAGAGACAGAATGAAGAGAGAGAAAGAAGGGTCAAGTCGGCTAAAACGTTGGTTCTACAGGTCCCTTCCACTTCCGTGCTCCCTCGCGCATCTTTTACAAGACCGTCCGAGGCATGATCCCACACAAGACCGCCCGAGGTGCTGCCGCCATGGATAGACTCAAAGTCTTCGAGGGTATCCCGGAGCCATACGACAAGAAGAAGCGTGTCGTCGTTCCCCAAGCTCTCCGCATCCTCCGTCTCAAGCCTGGCCGCAAATACTGCACAGTCGGCCGACTAAGCCACGAGGTTGGCTGGAAGTACCAGGACGTCGTTGCCAGGTATGTCTATCTTTACCATCCCTTGTACTTAAACGTCTTTTTTGCAGTCGTACTAACGGTCGACCTACAGATTGGAAGAGAGGCGGAAGGTCAAGGGTGCTGCATACCACGAGCGCAAGAAGGCTGCCAGGAGACAACTCCTCCAGGCCCAGAGAACCGCGAGTGTGGACAAAAAGACTCAGGAACAGTTGGCTCAATACGGTTATTAGATGCCTTGCTGGGGTTGATGTGGATGGGTCGAATCCAAGGATGCATTGTGGGCAATGACGAGCAGAGATGTTGTACACGGCAAGCCAATTGATTTGTACATTTCCCGCTCACAGAATACACCCCTTTTATGACTTCAGGGATAATTTGTGATGGAAAAGACCTTTTTTTCTTCGAACAAAAAGATTTCCTTTTAATTTGTACACTGCGGCGTCGTTTGGGATGAAAAATGAGGCTATTAACTTAGTCTCCTGTTTTCTTTTTATTCACTGCATTCGCTCCAAGCCCTCGCTCTCCTCTCCTCGCCCCTTTATATGGTAGCCCAAAGAAAGAAAACACACACAACCTGCGAAATAAACCTAACCTTCCATCCATCATCCTCACTCTGGCTCTCTCTGTTATCGCCTTTATCAAAATAAGAAAAAAGAAAGGGGACAACCCGGCGTTCCTCGGCTAAAGAATCTTGGGTTTTTTGTTTCGGCGCTCTCAATCACTTCCCCGTGCGGCCCATAAATTAGGAAGAAGAAAAATACATCCCCACGGCCCGGGGTGTAGCTAGGGCGTAGTAGATATATATAAAGAGAGCCATGGTTGCTCTCTGCCCTCTTCCCCAGCCAGCCTGTACTCTGCTTACTTTGTTTCTTACTGTCAACTCGTGAAAAGATGTCAGGCGCAAAGGCTCGTCTCCAGAGCATCTCTGCGCAGCTGCAAGGAGATAGCAAGACGGCGGCAGCTCGCAGTACCAACAGGCATACCCTCTCACCAACGTTCTTCCTGCCTCGCGCTGCTGAGATTGAGCCAGACGTGCGTTGAAACAATCCCATTCATTCTGTTCTGCTTCCCTTCTTTTTCCCCCTCCCTTTCTCTTTTGTTCCCTAGCTTTGAGGCTAATGCCATAGTCCGTTCAACTAGGCCGAAGCTATCTACCATCTCACGGCGAACAAGAAAATCGTGCGGAAGACTTACCAGCAGTTCGCAGACCGCTCAAGGGGGATTGCATACTACATCAAGAAGCACGGCTACAAGAGAGTGGGCATTCTGGCCCCAAATACGCCGGCCTTCCTTGAGTCGATATTCGGCATCGCTGCCGCTGCTGGAGTCAACGTCGGTAATGATCTTCCGAATACGTGGGCCTGCCATATAACCGGAACATATAACTAACAAGAGGAAAAAAACCCCATGTAGCTATAAACTACCGTCTGAAACCCGAGGATATTGCATATATCTTCACGCATGCTGACGTCGATTCCATCATTGTCGACAAGGAATTCGTACCCTTGCTGGACGAGTTCTACAAGGCTAACAAGCATATACCGTTGATCATCGACACAGACACCGACGCGGACGAAGGGGAGCTAAGCGGAGAATTTGACGCCGCTGTTCGAGAAGGCCTGGAATATGATAGAGAGCAGGGAGGCAGCGGGTGGAAAGGCCTGGAGGCTCAGGCTGCCGATGAAGAGTCGCTAATCGCGCTTGCATACACCAGTGGCACCACCGCCAGGCCAAAGGGGGTGGAGTATATCCATCGAGGATGCTATCTTGCTGCGCTTGCCAATATCATTGAGTCCGGACTGAATTTCCAGCAAGGCAGATGTGGCTACCTGTGGATTCTCCCCATGTTCCATGCGATGGGTAAATTTACCATATACCAATATATAACATGTGGAAGAACATAATGCTAAAACGGGATGTAGGATGGACGTTTCCATGGTCTGTTACTGCGGTTCGAGGGACTCATTACTGCCTTCGAAAGGTCGACTACCCTGCGATTTGGCGTATGCTCAAAGAGGAGAACATCACCCATTTCAATGCCGCGCCTACCGTAAACACCCTTTTATGCGCTGCAAAGGAGGCAGAAAGACTCCCCAGGCCCGTCAGAGTCACCGTTGCTGCCAGTCCGCCTACCGCTCATCTCTTTGAGCAGATGACTAGTGTTAACCTTCATCCTGTGCACGTATACGGCCTAACAGAAACGTATGGCCCCATCACTAAGGGGTATTACATGCCCTCGTGGGACACAATACCCATCAAAGAGAAGTACCAGAAGATGGCAAGGCAGGGACACGGATTCCTGACCAGTTTGCCTGCCCGGGTCATCAAGACGGATGTCCCTGAGGGCACCATCATCGACGTCCGCAAAGACGGCAAGGAGATTGGAGAGATCGTCTTTACCGGCAACATCTGCGCCAGAGGCTACTACAAAGACGCAGCAGCCACAGACAAGCTCTTTGCCGGCGGCGTCCTGCACTCCGGAGACTTGGCCGTCTGGCATCCAGACGGGGCAGTCCAGATATTAGACCGCGCAAAGGACATAATCATCAGCGGTAAGCTGGTTAATACTTGGTGACCGAGGCTACAGCTCTTTTGCTAACTGACCATCTTTTTTTTAACAGGAGGGGAGAATATATCCTCTGTGGCCCTCGAAGCCATGCTGGCCACTCACCCAGACATCCTCGAAGCCGGCGTTGTAGCTGTCTCTGACGCACACTGGGGCGAGAGACCCAAGGCCTACGTTACCATCCAGGCCGGCAAGCAAGTGACCGGCTCTGAGATCATTGCCTGGGCCAAAAACTCAAGCGGCATCAGTCGATTCATGGTCCCACGAGAGGTCGAGATTGTCTCGGAGCTGCCCAAAACCAGCACAGGAAAGATTAAGAAGAACGTCCTGAGAGAATGGGCAAAGGGAGCCTCTCATTCGCTGTAGACAGCCTCGTTGCTTTTTCTTCTCTATTCTTCTCTCTTCGTGGTCTTTCTTCGATGTCTGGCTCCCATAAAATCTAGAGTAGACTCCAGCTTTGGCGCTTTTCCCTGGAAATTAACACCAATATCCATCAGTGACTCGTGTCCATTCCGCCATAGGAACAGTAATACATAGAAATAAGTAAATAACCAAGCTGATCATCCTGCTTCTCTCCTCCGGGGTCACAGAGGCTGCTCTTCTGCGCTAAACGCGTGACTTTAGCCTGCGACAAGGAGAGAAGAAGAAGAAAAACTTCCCCAAAACTTCGTAAAGTACAACTTCTGCAACAAACAACTTCTTCAACGAACTTCAACGAAGCAACAAGGCGAACGGCCTTTCACTATCCCTGGATTTCACCAGATACGCTCTTCTGCTTGTTCTCGATCGTCTCTTCTTCTTTTCTGGTCCTTTTTGAATACCGTGCTTATCGATCTCAGCTTGTCTGCCCCTCTATATATATAAGCCCTGTGGCTTGGCCTGCTACTCTCTCTTATGCGCCGTTGGAAACGAAGCTCTTGACAAGCCGAGAATAATAACGATTTATTTTAATCAGCCTCTATCTCACTCTACCTCGAGACCTTCATCCTACTCGCCATATCCTGCCTTGCTCTGTCTCCCTTTTCGCAGCTCTTACCTGACCCAAACCGCTCCTATCGCTTGACGCCCCGGCGCCAACTTCCCCATGACCACAATCCTATGAATACCACGAATACCAACTTCAACATCATAAGCCTGAGCTCTCTCTTGATACACGGACGACTAAGGAACCTCACCCGAAGACGGATCTCGCCTCAGTTCAACTAGATAAAAGGCGTCACTTCAAAGTCACCTACCGCCTCTCTCTTACTACGAATCACAAAGGGCTAGTAGCGCTCGTCCTTTCGACCTCGCGTTCTGCTGCTTCAACTACCTACCCGAGGAAATACTGCTATCTTCTTTGAAACAGGCATTTTGACCGCTTCGTATCAGCTATGATGGCTTGCCGCTCGCGTCCTCGAGACTCGAGGGGTGACTCGTCTTCCTCAACCTCCCCGGAGCGGGCCATCGATGAAGACAATGATTTCTTCATGCTCGAGGCAAACGACTCACAGTCGTCGATAGGAGTTGGCAATTTCCGAGACCTCCGCGTGGACTCTAGACGAGACCGGGATATTCCACTTCCACCGATATATCGGCTACCTCCAGAGATACTCATTGCTATATTCTCGAGGCTTTCGGCCCCTTTGGACATGTTAAATTGCATGAAAGTCTCGTCGAACTGGGCAGTGAATTGTGTGGGCATACTGTGGCACAGACCACTCTGCAATACATGGGATAACCTACTCAAAATAGCACACTCGATCTCGGACGAAGACAGCTATTTTCCATACTACGATCTAGTCAAGCGTCTCAACCTCACTACCCTCAAGGGCAAAGTCAACGATGGAACAGTCTTTTCGTTTGTCAAGTGCAAACGCATCGAGCGATTGACTCTTACCGGATGCAAGAATGTGACGGACAAGGGTATCTCAGATCTAGTGGAAGGGAACCGTCAACTCCAGGCATTAGACGTTTCCGATCTCGAATCCCTGACCGATCACTCTTTGAACGTTGTGGCTGGAAACTGTTCCAGGTTACAGGGTCTAAACATTACCGGGTGTGCAAACATTACGGATGAGTCTTTGGTGAACCTTGCACAAAGCTGCCGCCAACTCAAGCGGGTATGGAAGGTCTCTAGTACAGATTTTGTTATACTACAATGCTGACAACGTTACTCTTAGTTGAAACTAAACGGTGTCGTTCAACTCACGGACCGATCCATTCAAGCATTTGCTAGCAATTGCCCCTCTATGCTCGAGATCGACCTTCACGGTTGTCGACATATCACTAACACTTCGGTCATTGCCATTCTTTCCACATTGCGAAACCTGAGGGAACTACGTTTGGCCCATTGTATCCAAATCACCGACGATGCCTTCCTGAAACTTCCCGAACACATAATCTTCGATAGCCTCCGAATTCTTGATCTTACCGCTTGCGAGAGAGTCAAAGATGATGCTGTCGAGAAAATAATCGACTCTGCACCCAGACTGAGGAATCTTGTGCTCGGGAAGTGCAAGTTTATCACAGATCGTGCTGTCCAGGCTATCTGCAGATTAGGAAAGAATATTCACTACATTCACCTTGGCCATTGCTCTAATATCACAGATGCGGCGGTCATACAGATGGTGAAGTCGTGCAACCGGATTCGCTACATCGACCTGGCCTGCTGCAACCGTCTCACTGATACAAGTGTGGAACAATTGGCAACACTTCCAAAACTACGGCGGATAGGCCTAGTCAAGTGCCAGGCGATCACTGATCGAAGTATACTGGCGCTAGCAAAGCCTAGGTTTCCACAACATCCATTAGTCAGTGGCCTCGAGAGAGTACATTTGAGCTACTGTGTCAATTTGACCCTGGAGGTATTTATCCCGTCTTCCCCAGGAGAAGAATCATAAACTAATTTTGCTCCATCACTAGGGAATACACTCTCTTCTTAATTACTGTCCGCGACTAACTCACCTGAGTTTAACTGGTGTCCATGCATTTTTGCGGGAAGATTTAACCGAATTTTGCCGCGATGCCCCAGAAGAATTTACTCCTCTTCAACGAGAGGTATTCTGTGTTTTCAGCGGTGACGGAGTTGGACGACTGCGAGACTTTCTTAACCATTCTGCCCTTCGAGGGCGAGAAGGGGCAGCGGTAACCATGTACGATGATGATGAATCTCCTGACGAGGTCGACAGTCAGCCATCAGTAACCGGACTCCTGAATGCTGCGGCTATTAATGAGGGAGATGACCACCCGATGGCAGGACCGCAACACTAGCACCATACACCGAATATTGCATCACACCCGTATACCCTGCTACGATTCTGCCATTATTGATGGGTGACATTGACTCCCATGCTATATGCCAGCTACTTAACAATACTAAAGCAAACCTTGATACCACATTCATTGAGTACGGTCAACTACATTTCGGCATAGGTTTTAGGCGAAAGGCGTTCTCAACGGAATGAAAGCGGGTGAACATGATAATATTTTGACCTTTCACCCCAACGACGGCTTTCTATTTTCATTTGTATTCCCACTCATCACGTCCTTCTTTGAAGTTTTCCTTTATACGCTCGTTTTCTTTCTCCTTTTATCTCCTTTCATATTGTTTCATTAGCTTTCTTCTCTTCAATCTGGTTTCACCCCTGGGGGTATGGGACTGGTGATTATACCAGCAGGCATAGAATTACGACTGCATAGCGACGCACGGTGGACAGTGCTAGGAACTGCCCCTGAGAATGAGGTTATGAGGCCGTTTGTTTTATTTATTGTTATTTATTGTTTTCATCCGTAGAACGCTGTGCATGGATTGATAATATATCTAACCTACCCCCTTACAAAGATAGAAATCCAACATCATTTAATATTTCCTACAAGAAAATGTGTATCATATATGTGAAGAAATTAGGTCTCCGAGGACTTGTTGAAGATATCTCTGTATGAAAAATGTAGCAAGAACGAAATTTTTGAAGACAAGACAGCCAAAAATCATGCTGAAAGTACCAGAAAACTCTGCTGAAACAGTTGGCCAAGTACAAGATATGAAAGACGAAACGTATTTCATACAGAAAAGTAGAAAACAACCAGAACCGCAATATCATAGCTTGAAGGAATGGCTTCCTTCAACGAGGCCATCTCGAAGCTTTGTAATTGCAGCCCACGCAGGAGCAAAATTGCGAATCTCATCTAACGCAGGTATAACCTTGAGGTCGTTGTCATCGCTCCAAATACACATCACCTTACCCTGCCGATTAGCGTTCTTTTTAGTCCACTCAACATCAACGGTCCAGGTATTCTCCCAGGTTCGACTCCAGAGCCGAATTTCAGAAACACCTTTAGGCCCAGTGTGAGGTATACGTTCATCAGTAACAGAGCCTAAGACTTTGAAATCGGCAATAGGACTGTCAAACAGAATTTTGCATGCTCGGGTGTTTTTGCCAGATATCTCAAAACGGGTATGTTTGTCGTCTTTTGCTTGAGAGATGTTATATGTGATCCACTCCTTGTACGGGGCGTCGACGACTCTTGGCTTGAGTCCGTCCCAGGAGCATTTAGCTCTTCCACCGTAACCTCGTGAAATGCATGAAACTTCCTTCCCGGTTGTGCTGGGAATTGTTCGAACAATATCATGAATATAAGGTTCCACACCAACGAGAGATGCCTGGTTTTTCCCGGTTTCCAGATCTATTTCTTGTACAAATGCAACTTTTAAACGGTTGCTGTGTGAGAATGGGAATGCCGTGAGGTTGTACACAAGGGTTCCGATGAGGACAAAGAGCAGGAAGGTTGGAATATGATAGGTAAATCGATGAATGAAAGGAAAAAGGGGGAGAAGAATGAGAACAGATAAGACGGCGATTCCGACGTATATAACCAACTGTGAGCCTCCGTCAGCGCCAATTTGGTAGGTTGCCGATGTTAGGAAAAGTCCGAGTTGGCCAAGGAGAATGATAACAATAGGTGCGACAAAAAGGAATTGCAATATCCAAGCTGACGATATTAGGTTTATACTCCATCGTTGTTCCAGTCGATGGTCTTTAGGGTGCAATGAAGCATTGGTGGATATGTTGCCATCAGAGTTGCTTCTGGCACTTGCATAATTGGCGAAGGTTGTCCTCTGCTGCCCACGAAGAAGAGACGTGGATTCTGTGGGCTCCTCGTCTTCGACATCTTCGGGGTTAAAATCATGTCCCGCAGCGCTACCGCTAGGTGGAAGCTCATCTGCCGAGGGTGCTAGGAGACGACTATCAGAACTGGGCGTTCGATCTGTGATACGGATCTGCCGACGAGCATAATCCTGCGTTGTCGGCAAACCAAAAAGCTCCAAATATGAGATCCATGTTGCAATAGATACTCCGGCAAAGTAGAATACAATAAAGTAGCTACTTGCTATGCCGTGTTGTTTCTGGTAAACGGTGGCTATCACAAGGAGAACCCACATCATGCCGAACATCCAAGTGAAGGCATATGCTCTGTGTAGCGCGGAAGGGTCTGGCAAAATCTGCAACACAGGAAATAAACCATGCAAAGAACATGCAAGTGGCCAACATCATACTCCAGACGGCATAAGGACTACTATATATGATGAAAGGATTGGCCTTCATTAATAGAAATGCCAGGCCAATGGTCAGAGCAGTACTAATGCCAAGGATGAGGGGAAAGCGGAACAATCCTCGCAGGCCATAGAGCGATACTTGTCCACCTGATTCTGATAAATATGTGTACATGGAGAACATGTACATCTTGTCTAGTGTGTAAAGTGTAACGCACGTAGCAATAAGGAGAAGCGGAGCAACGACTAACAGCGCCACTGAATGCCCAAACAGGGTATTGAGTTCGAAGACAGCGAAGGAAGATCCGTAGAAATCAAACCAAACCCCCAAAGTGCCAGCGCCATTGTTCAATTTTCCATCGTTTCCATTATCACCGTCGAACGCATCTCCGGTATAACTAACCAGTCCTTCAGTAGTTTTAATAGCTGCAGAAAGCATGTGCCATACAGAATCGATGCTTGTGTGCCTCGCGTCATCTTGATCGGTGTGATATCGACTTCTAGGCTCCATGAAAGCAACATCGAGTCCACGCATACCAAAAACACCGTCAAAGACATGATAATCGGTCTCACTGCGGATAAACCCCAATTGAAATGCATCCCTAGCAAGGACTGTTCCAAAGGGGTGCTCTGTATTCCCATAAAATCTTGTAACCTCCGTATCGGTACTGCGAAATAGAACGGCGCGGCCTCCTGCACCGGCACCTTCGATGTTCAAAAAGGTATGAGTGAATTTTGACAGTGGATGTTGGCTGAACGCATACGCGCCATTAAGGAAGTCTTCCTCTCCATCGTTGAATAACAACACCAGTCCCTTTCGGGGATAGTGTCCAGGAGTGGTGAAATACTTGAGGAGCTGTAGGGTGGAAATCACACCAACTCCGTTGTCTGTCGCTCCGTAGCCAGTAGAAACACTGTCGTAGTGCGCATTTACGAGCACTCCGCCTTTTCCTGATGGCTCGCCATCGGGGGATTCCCACCATTCCTCCTGGTCATCTTCCGCGCCCCGGATATAGACCAAGATGTTTTTACTCTCAAAATATACCCCGGTAATGGACTTTGCGGCAACTCCAACACTAGAGAACGTTAGGTTGGTCTGGTTATCATCGAAAATGAAGATGTCCGGCCCGGTTGTGTCTCCTGAGCGAGCCGAAGAGGAGGCGGAGATGGCGTGGATACGCTTGAGGAGCCACTGGTGAACTTCATCGTTCGAGTGGCTGTTGTAAGGGTGATACTGCCGAGTTAAGTGCTGGAGATCGTGCCAGGCTTCTTTTAGATCTACACCTTCGGGGCTTTCCTTTGGCGCAGGAGGAACGAGGTGGTGGACGACTATGATCGGGATTATAAAGGCGAGGTACACCAGCGAGGACAGTATTGTCACCGGCCAAGGGGTGAAGGCTATCGGGTTGAAGCCCCGTCTCGAGGAAACCATATCGACAGGGCTAGATGTCAGTATTCGCGTGAACAGAGGCTATGATCCAACATTGGACGACAGTAACGCCTCCGTCCATTTCTAGCTCGTCGAGTGAGACGAAGTTCACGATGTCTCAAAATTGCCCTTCGCAAAAAAAGCAACATACGAAAGGGCGGGGGGCTGCTTAGTCATCATATTATAGTGGTTGTCGGCTTTTTCCATTACATTAAGTGACGATAATGTTAACCCCGTTGATAGAGGCATAAGGAAGAGAAAAGGCATAGTCTTAGTTGATTTATATACAGTTTCTATCGTGATGGATGAGTTTGATAATCAACTCTTATCCACTCGTCCCTCATAAATTCGTGTATGTGAAGCTCAGACCGGCTTGCTTGACATCATACTGTGTACATCTATATACAACCCCTGCCTAGCCCATGAGCTACAAATAAGGGTAATGCTTATCATACCAGGTACCTGTTGTCTTAAATAGACATCCCACTTCTTCGAGTGGTGTGCATAAGGTTTCCCTCAGCCACAAGCATTGGCAAGCTCTAGGCCTCGTTATGTATAGTTGACCTCATATACAGCCTTGCATCCTCCATGAGCTCGGCCGATTTTTCCTTTCCACCGTGTGATAAAGCCGGGTTCGGGATTTCAAGAGTTTTGGATCCTATGTCTTCAGGCTGGACAAAAGGAAATCGGTGTCTGCTGTGCTTACAACAACCGAAATATCTTTCTTGCTAACACGACCATCTCGGAAGGCTATTGGGTGATATAATCTGGGAGGGTATGGCATGTGTAACGTCGACTGGCACCGGCACTGGAGCCCCGTTGGGGGTGGATGGAGCAATATGTGTTGTTGACAGGCTGCCGCTGCTTGAAGGCGCCACGTCTTCTTTCCTGCATAACTGTGGATCTGAGGTAATTGGCAGCGCATCTGGGAATGACCATGGTGGTTTTGGAGGGCTGTTGACGCACTGGGGCGGCCGGGTGATATCCGATGTTATCTGGGTTGGGTCCACGAAATCAGGGTAGCCGTTTGCTCCGCTGAAAAATTCCGGATTCCACGAATGTATGTTTACCAAATGGACAAGTTTTCCCAAAACTGCAAATTCAAGCTTCAGCTTGACACTGTATATCATAGCCTTAATTGTCGTTTCAATAACATATAGGTTGGCATAGGCGGTGCCAAGGAGTGCAAGGTCCATGACGATGAATATAAGGTTGATACCTAGAAGTTGGTACATGATCTTCCTGTTTCCGTGCTTAGGTGCTATCCGAAGCATCTTTGTTGTTTCCATTATGTAGAGCGTAGAAAGGATGACCTCCTGGATGAAAAAGCCAGTCATCTGTACCTTCTCCATAATTTTGTATGCCGGTACAAATTTCTCCTGCTGACTCGAATTCGAACCGAAGGTTAGGATGGTCGTTGGCAGATGGAGAATGAAAATGTTGCAGATTATCATCCATAGCACCCGGCGTAGAATCTTTTGGTCGCGGATAACTAGATGAAGTCGGGAGTATAGGACAAAGGACTGGCCAGTGACCATAGTCCACCAACCGATCGTAAGGAAAACAAGGGATAACCAGACACTGTCCATCAAGTTGAAGAGCTTGAGTAAAAACCCGAGAGCATAGGGCACGATACCAACGGTAGCCGATATCAACAGACTCCAAAAATAGAGGCCTTTGTAATGGCTGAAGGTCACAAAGACCAGAACGCACAGTTCAAGTGCATTGTACCATGAGATCCCAATGAAGGTAGCAATTATAATCTTGATTGCGAAATTGGCCCCCTTGTAAGCACCTGTCAGTCCATCATCATCGGCCATAACGGTGGTGCTTCGCCAGAGAGATGTGTCATAAAACACAGAAAGCAGTCGGCATCAGAATCAGCATCAGGGTCAGCAGAGGTGTATCAACCAATTTTCTCTCGCAGATAGGTGCTAGGCCGGTCTGGATATGGGCTCCAGAGAAGGATTTAAACCAAAAAGGCCGAGCAAGAGTGGACTGTCATGTGGGGCGGAGGGTGAGCCACGAAATATTTCCTCCATACCATACATAGTATACGAAGTAAAGCTTGGGTCATTCAACTGGGTCGTACCGTACGACCAAGGCAAGCTGGATTCACACATGATCCGAAGTTGTTTGTGGGTATTCGGTGAGGGTACTCATTCACATAACTCAGCCTTGCTACATATTCAGCCCAGGGCTGGTGAATGCATGGTAAAAGCTGGCTGGCATGCATGTCTAAAAGATCGGCCATATATTAGTATAGACGCCTGGGTTCTTATAACTTCCGAAAACGTATAGTACCGACCATTGTTCGTTTCGTAGCCCTGTTACACTTCAGCAGTTTGGCACATGATTGCTAGTTCCGGGAATGGCTACTGCGGCATGTTTGTTTAAGGAGGCGTGGTTTTGCTTTTGCTTACTCGCATGTTTTGCCATCTCAACGGACATCGACAATTGGTCAACCAGCTTTTGGAGGATCAAAAGCACGAAATGCTCTCCACATCACGGTGCGACTCGGATTTCATGTCAACCAGATCCATGGTACTGTATAAATGGCAGGCTGTGGCGCCAGATAACGGGCATTTCAACTCTTTTTGGATGTTTTCACCCTGCCTTGGCGGGTTAAGGGGCGTCATTGGGTTGTATATATACATCAACAACTTTGTGCGCTAAGCTGCCCAATTCGCAAGTTCTACTCGCTTTGCGCTGTCTCAAGGTAGCTGGAATGCGTTAGGAGATGAAAAGGAAGAGATCGTGCAAGAATTATCCATTGGCCGTGGCCACTGTTATTTTGACACCTGAGATTAAGAGAGACACTCCATACTCCGTTATGCCGTTGTAACCCTTGGCTTAACATCAGAAAACGCCGGTCCTGAAATGAAGGAAAGAGAAGAAGGCGAATAAAGACGCCAATCATAAAGCTTGGGCATCGCCGCCGGTTGCTTTAACGACTCTTATCACCTCCTTTTTGCACTCGGGCATTGCGCTGGCCATTTCTCGAGCAAGAGTGTCTCTGAAGGAGCCGAAGGCTTCTGCTTTTCCCTTCAAATCCTGGTTGCCTTTTTGTACCAGCTCCACGAATTCTCGCGTATAAATGTCTGGGTTACGCGCTGCATCTACGTAGTCAACAATCTCGGGAGGTAGCTGGATGCTATGTAGGGGCGGATCAGCCTGCGATAGAGCAGGGTTTACGTTGGTCTGTTTCGATGCGGCATCCGCAAGGGCTGGATCAAGGGTAGTATGATCGGAGAGTGTTTTGAGTGATATGGTAAGAGACTTTCTAAATATGCGAACAGTGTCCACTTGTGAGCGACAGGTGACAGAGGCAGTGGGAATCGTGGGCTATAGGATGTGGATATACGGAGGAAAGACTGACAGTTTTCTGACGAGCTCATGCTGTGTTTCTGGTCCGAGATATCCATGCACTGCTGATTGAATCTCGAAGAAGTTTTGAATTACGTCTTTCAGGTCATCTATAGCATCGGTTAGTCCGTAAACTTGTTTCTGGGTCTCGCAGTGGGTATCTTACTGTCAACGACGCTGAGAGTGACTTCACTAGGCATGATTAGCGGTTTTTTCTAGCCAGATATTGCTGAATATCAAGGTCAAACAACTTCCAAATCTGTTCAAAGCTCTTATCAAAGATAAAATCCAGCTTATGTAAATCACGTGGAACTATATTACATAATATATTTCTACCAATGAAAGAACGCCCCATCCAGATGGAGAGAATCCTCTAAGCTCTGAATTTGGATATCGATATTGATATTATTCTGTTCTATAGACAGGGACATGCTGTTGAACAGATTTACCGGTAGGAATAACGGTATAGCTCTTATACCTCTCATCGTCATGGGTAGTGAAACATTATTGTATTATAAAACAGCATAACAGTCCTCATTCGTATCACATCTAAGAGCATTCTTCCCCAAGAGGCATATGCACTACCCGTGATTAATAGCACTCATACCCTAGGGCTCCCTTTATAGAGTGGTGAGTTCTCAGCCTGGAGGGGAAGAAAAGGGTATCAATCATTCTACAAATCTCTCTTCCCCTAAATATCAATTCATACAGGGAAGAAACAACACAAACCCCATATCTACCAACCTCATTCGCGTCCCTCAATTTGTCATAAAAAAGAAAATAGAGGGGGTAAACGTCCGTAAAACATAAGAAGGCCATAAAATACCACCGGTTAAGTAGACGGTTTGAAGAAACCTCATTGGCGTCAATTTCCTTTTTTTTCTGTTTCCTTACATTCCGTTCGCTTCTTGGATCCATGCATAAAGGCCAGTGTTGATAAGCGTGGCGAGTGACCAAATCGCTCCCCATCCCAAGGCGCCCTTAGGCTCTACCCCACTGATTGTGCCTCCGAGCTGCACAAAAGTATTGGCTAAAGTCATAAGTGCTAAAGCCACCGATCGTGATATAAGAGTCCTAAGGCTAGGGGGGAGCCCAAGCCAACCTTTCTTATAAAGTGAGGCAAAGCATGATTCCTCTTGCTGTTCTTGTTCATCTTGTTCCTCCCGTGAGTCCGATGACCGAAGTCGTCGACGGATCGTTTTCTGCTCAACTTTCTTTTCCTGTGGCTGACTGGCCGATGTGACGAATAATAAATCTCTCGATCCATAACCCGCGGGCAAAAGACTAAGGAAAAGCGACACCAGACCCTTTGGTCCGGCATGTGCTGCGCTGATATCGGGGAGTCCAACAAAATGTGAAACAAGATGGGCCGGAAGCCAAGTCGATAAGCTGAAGTACAGAGCTATTGTGTATACTAGAGTTGAAGCTACCGTAGTGTAGATAGTAGTGAGTCGGTCTGATAGAATCGCCCGGTTGACAGCCGGGCCGCTGCCACTATGGACCGCGCTAAGAGGGCGCCAGTAGGAAAACGGGATTATGCACGACATAGTGGTGATTGTCGCAACAGTGACTATCGTCGTTGGCCGAATGTTATAAAAGTTGAGTAGGAGAGAATATGTTGGGAGGTGAATAAGGCCGATAAAACACAGCGCATCCCAAGCTAACGAGAATCAGTACTCCATCGACTAGATTTAGAAAAACAAGATAGCATAAGGAAAGGGCAATATTCGAACCATCGTATCCTGCAAACCATGGCACCGCAAGCTCAATGACACGCCATGCTAGCAGAACTACAACATCTTTCCACGAGTCTAAGCGTTTACTCGTCCATGCCAAATCCCCCTTTGTCACTGGGATGCTAAGAGAGAAGAGCACAGTGCTGAGAAGTAGACTGCAAACAGCAAGTAATATAAATCTCAGTGCGCCATCAAGGCACGATGACGATTCTGCTGCAACAGCATCTTCGGATTTTGGTATTTCGACTGAGATTTTGGTGCCAGTATTAGCGGTGACGCCCTTGGTGGAGGCCCTCCCTCTCCTACCAGGGGATGTAGTGGAAGCTGACTTTGGGCCCATTGGGGCTTAATGGCTGAGTACCGAGGATTATGCAGTTATATGGTCAGTGTCTTGTTGCTCAATTGCAGGGTGTTATGTTCTGGTGTACAAGCGCTGGGGTTTTTGGAATGCAAGCCAGGTTCTGGTGTTTTGATTTTCAACTTGTAAAGAAGCAAGGATGATGTCATAAATTGTCACGTGATACCTCATGGTTACCTAACTAAGAGTCTTGTTTATTAAAAAGAATCGAGCAAGAAATAAAGCAATTTTCCTTATCCAGCAGGAAGAAATAATGAAAGAAAAATAGAGAGAATGAGAGAGAAAAAAGTACATAATTATATTACAGACAAAAGAAAAAGGTCTAGTCGTCGTTGTCCTGGTCCTTCTCAGGCTTCACCACGCCAATCTCAAGAGTGCCGGTTTCGCGCCCTTTGGTATCGCGCATGGTTGCTTTGAATTTACCCTCGTTCCAGAAGTCCTTGACAGTAATCTCTCGGGTCCTGCCCAAGCTCTCGATGGCCGAAATCCTGTCCAAGGTATCCTCGAGGTACTGGTCGAAGCCCGGTTCGGAACATATCTCGCGGAAGGCGTTTTGCATGGGAACCGAATCAGCACGAACTCTTGCCTTAGAGTCGATGGTGAAGATATTATCATGGTCGTATGATTGAATGAAGTCTGCTCGTGTCATTATCTGCCGTGCCTTGTGGAGCGGTAACTCTGGTAGGATATGTCCTCGTTCTTCATCATATGTTTTGTCCATTTCTTTTTCCAGGTCTACCAGAGCCTTTGCAAGTACCATTGCCGCAGACTAGTTTCATAGGTCAGTGTATCGTTCAATTGCCAATACCTGGGTATTCACAATGGATTAGTATGGAGTGCTTACAGAATACTTTTGTTCGTCCATCACATCATCGTCCATTTCCTCGCCAAGGATCCAACATTTGTTCAAAAACCAGGTCTTCTCCGCCTCGCAGATCTCGTTGCATGTTGCCAGCATGTCTTCCGATTTGGCGACTCGGTTTAGGAAGGTCAATCTTCCGCCAACTTTGTTATATACTTCTTCTAGTATGGTCTGTGATGGGTCTTCTTTGAAGTATCTTGATCGGTATCGGCGAAGCGCCCCCAGCGCTTTACCCTTTGGCAGATCAGGGACGGGGATGACCTCCATGCGAGAAGCATACCGCTTTAGGCGTTCATAAATCCAGTAATCATCACTGTTGAACACTATATTGGACTTGTCAGCGGAAATATCTCTACTAGGACCAAACATAGGGAACTAACCCATTGTCACTAACCCACTAGCTGCCCACTGCTCTGCGCGTTGTTGTAGCATCTCGAGAAGATCTCTGCCGTCATCATCATCTCTCACTAGGTGTAGAGAGTTTATGATCAAAATTAGAGGGTTCTGGTTAACATCCCGGCGCTTGATAGCAACTTTCTCTAGTTTGTTTAGAGCACGCTCAATGTCCAGCAGAGCAGTGGTATCGCGAGGCCCCCGTATACTGAAGAGACTGCCTATATAGCTGTACGATTTGAAGAGTGACGAGTTAGCATGTCAAAAACTGTAACGCCGAATGTAACTTTGTATTATGGACATACTCTTCATGGAACTCGTAGTCCAGAGACTTTCCCAATCTTATTCTGAAAATTTCAAGATTCGCGTGCGCTTCGAACATGGCAACACGACTCCCATCAACTTTCCTCATTGCATTGAGAATCATAGAGGTCTTTCCAGTGCCCTTCTCGCCAATAAGAAGGTAATAGTGTCCAATTGCACCATTTATAATCTCGTCAATTCTACTCTGTTCATCACGCTCAAGCCAGTGATCAGGATCCCTTTCCATATCTTTGCTTCCTTTGGGATCTTGTTTGGGGTTTTTAACACCGGCCAGCTCTAGCATGGGGTCGCCAGGCTCAAAGGCATTGTCCATCTTCTTCAATACCAGGTACTTATAATACTTGTGATAAGAGAAGCCAGCAGCACTTTATGGGGCATATATGTATACATTTTCAAAGTTAGAAAGTAATTCTAATTCCAGCTTGCTATCATACACTGAACCAAGCACCAGGGAAGACATACCCAAGGACAACTATGGAGGCGAATGTTGTTGCCGACGATTCAAACATCCGTAGAAGAGTCGCTTTTATAGAAGTATCCTGCCTGTCTGACTGGTCTCGAGAAGATTCATCTGGATCGGGACCCTCCTTGCCGGGCTGTGGTGGGCCTCCAGGAGCAACGTCTTGAGACCCATAATGCCGACGAAACTGTGGTAGTGTTGCATAACATGGCCTTACCAACGTTGTCCTCGAACCAAACGTGGTTGCTGCATTGCGTATCTGGGTAAAGCGCATCACAGATGATTCTGCATCGACTGGCAAGTCTGATCAAGCCAAAGACCGGATTCTAACAGCTTGTTATCTTTCAGGGGCTGACTTGGGACTTTTGAGCTAAGAACAACAAGCGGTAATTCAATTCTAACCAAACAGATCGTAGGAGGTTTCTTCTGGGGGTCAGCAAAAAGATATGAACAAATCAGAATAATCCACGCTTATGATAAGTATGTACAAACTGTTGGTTAGTACTCCATAAGTTCATTTCACTTTCAATCTAAGATCTGAAGATTCAAAAAAGGTTTTTTTTGCATCTTCTTCGTCTCATCAAGCTATCACGTGGCAGGCCAAGAACTTGGCGGGTGGAAACAAATCTCGAAGCCGTCAAAGGGTTTTACAAGTAGAGGGGCCTGCTTGACTTACGTTGGTTAATAGCAGCCCCTGCCGGCCTCAGGGACTAATACATATAGTAAATACCAAGGATTCAAATAAAACAGTTACTCGCGGCAGTATTATATATGCCGGGTCTCTCCAACTTTTATTTCTTCATTTCGCGATCAACTTTTCATCTCTATATTAACAATCTGTGGGATTATCCTGAATTCGACACAGTTTCTCACCTCAACACTCTCCTTTAGTGTTGATATAACATTTCCAGAAAAAATGGCTAGCAGGCTCCTTATTCTTTCAGATACCGATGCTTCGGATTATACCCCTTCATCACAGTATGCTGATGCTGAAGAATCTAACCTAGACGAACCACAAGACGACTCCTTAAAAGATACAAATGCTCCACTAAAGCTTGTTATCGCTTGTTACCAACCTGTCAAGGCCAGAACGGTCGAAGTATGATCAGTCAGAGACCGGGGAATCAAATCTTGAAAACCTGAAAACTTCCCAGAGACAGGGGGTTTATTCTGTCAGCTATTGTGCCAAATCGAGCACAGTCGACAATAACCACTCCTTACATCTACTCTGAGTAGACATTGGCCTTCTGAAACATAGTTTGAATCTCGAGATCTGGATACCTTGAGAAATACCAATTATTCTTACCTATTGGTTGATAATAACTCCTCGTGTATGGATAAAACGGTGAAAGGTAACTGCTGACTCAAATGGCAACTGTAATACACTTACAGAAGCTAGGGACTGTTACGATTGTTTCCAGTTCGATATGAGAATGAGATTACCCAAATGGCCACGACATATTAAGGAGTGGCGGGGAGTAGCTTGCACATATCAAAGTACTTTTCACAGCCACACTTTAACAATGTCAATGATTACAAGACCACTCCTTAACTCTCTAGCTATATACATCATTATAGCAGTAATTGCTTAGCGTCCTTAGCAGGTTTTGGCCTTGATTCAATGGCTGATACAATATACTTGTACAGATGCATCGATACGATATATAATCTCCTCTAAGAGGTATGTCTAATTCTCTGTAAACACCTATACTAAGTAGAGGTATAGAAGCTTTGCATATCGCCTTCACTGCTTTTTACGTCTAAAACGTGCCGAAGCTCATCCCATCGTGATAGTTTTATCACCCCGAGAGGGATCCGATATAAGTGATCGCAGTTCAAAGCGGGCGATGTTAAATACGTGTCTTTTGCCAGTGGCACCACGGTTTTGATATGACCAACATGGACGATAGTGACCTTTTTCGATACTACTGCTCACAGAAATGCCTGTGATTCAATCTCTCACTCCATTCTGGAGTGCCCTTCGTTTCAAGAGGCGTGTCAGAAAGGTTACACTCTACAATGAGCAGGAGCTACGATAAGAGGGACGCGCGCTTCGATCAATTTCCTCTTAATAAGGTGGCCGCCATAGAGCTTCGGTCCATATGGGCCAGTCGACTTCACCACAGCTTTTCTGGCTATGGAGAAACACTGCCAGAACGCCTGAGCTGCTAAAGACAACCCCATCGCTCCCATATAGTTGCTTGACTCTCTGTATACACATCATCGAGTCCGACGGCAAGATCGTGGCTGTAGTCAGAAGTGGCGAAAGCCGGTCGGATACTTCCAGAGTTAAGATCGCGAGGAAAGGGCATGTCCTTTGATGCTTGTTGAACAAGACTGCAGCTGTCGTGATGTGTACCTCTCTCGTCGACCATCACCATGCCTTTGAAGATGCCACATATCAAAGCTATGTTGACAGAATAACTAGACCAGCTTATATACGGGCTTGCAGAAGACACCAGGTAGCCCGGGGGCTCCCCCAGCACGCTCACAAGCCCATTAGTTAAGTGTCGGCTCGCCTACCAGCGGCCAGCAGCAGCGAATAACGTTAAGCAGGCATCCTGTGGACGAGTTTCGTCTTTGTTAATCAGGGTATGTTTAATATTCTATGGGGTAGTTTAGTGTACAGCAGGGCAAGTGATAGGCACAGGATTTGCATCTCGTATATTATACATTTGCCCTTGCTGCAGAACCGCTTGCTGGGGTCAGCTACATATATATATACGTACTTCTATTTGTGTGCCGAACACCAGTTTGAGTCCCCGATTGGCAAACCTGGGGAAGAGGCCAGATAATAAGAAGCGAAGGTTGGTCCCCCTTGACCGTCGTCGGCATGCAGCCCATGTATATACATATATATAGACTTATACCTACCCGTTCTCTCCCAGCGACTATCTCACACTTCCACTTCAACATACACAGATCAGAACAATGGTCTTGTGATCGGCTCTGCAACTCCGCGCGCCCCACGAAAAGAAAAAAAAAAAAAAGGTCGCCGTTGCTCGTTATCGAAACAAGAATTTTAAGCTTCACCGAGGAAATCCCGTTTCCTTCCGAGGGGAAAATCCGACTCCGTGAAATTTCCTCTCCATCTCTCCATCTTGAAGCTTGTTGGAGAAAAATTGCACAGTCGAGAAAAAGTTCCGTTTTCACTCTCCTCCTGGGATTAAAAAATATCTCCTTCTTTTCGTTGTGCTGTATATTTTATAATTATACCCCTTTCCCTTCTCTCTTCGAGTCTCTCATTCAAAGGCAAAGGCGGGTTCTTTGGCTACCTTCTTAAGCTAGAGTTGTGTACATTTTGAAAACTGCACCGGCTTATCATTCGAAATGGACCAGCAAAGTAAAGGATCAGAACATTCAAAAGGTATGAATTATGTGGTGGGATCTGGCATTGGTCCTCCTGGTTATTTGTAATGCCGGTTTACGGTGTGATTTTGTGCAATTGAGCTGATGTTTTATATCTTTGCTCTAGAAGTGCCGGAAGACACCAAGCCTGAAAACACCACAGCGAATGGGAACGAAGTAGAGGGGGAACAGGATGAAAACAACAATGCTGGAGGTAGGACTGGCTTCCCCCCTATAAACCGCCTTCTACGCTCCCGGAATGGGCCTTTGTTTATAGTCGTGTGCACATAGGCCTCTTTCAGATCAGCGTAAAGCTCCCCCATGAGCCGTACAACATTCAGGTTATGGTAGGTCCAATACTCTCACAGCATACAAGAAGGTTCACACTGACGGTCAATTTTCCAGGTCTCGAGCCAAGAGCAAGTTCAGGATGTCCGCCAATCGATTGTCGAGCTGCCGGGCACTTTCCAGTATACCTGCTTTCATCTAGAAACTGATGGAAATAGGATCAACGATTATGTGGAGCTATCAGAGGTCAAGGGCCTAAAGGCTGACTCCGAAGTGGTTCTGGTCGAAGATCCGTATACCGAGAAGGAGGCGAGGATGCATGTTGTCAGGGTTAGAGAGCTGGTTGGAGCTGCTGGTAACCGCGTCGATACCATGCATGGGCTTGCTGCCGGCCTCTCCCTGTACGACTCTGTTGCCGCTGGCGAAGGTCTGTCTGACGAGGCTAAGAAGACCCACGCACTTGACGGCTATGATGTCAATGCTCCATTGAACCTTGCGACCGTTCTGCCAAAGGACCAATCTGCCATGCCAAAGACCGTCAGATCTGTCTCTCTTTCCCCGTGGAACCCTCCACCGTACCATCTGCGTCAAAAGGGACACCTCCTGTACCTTCTAGTGACCACTAACGAGGGTGAACAGCACCAGATCACCTCTCATGTGTCTGGATTCTACGTGAATAAATGCTCTAACTCCAAGTTCGACCCATTCCCTCGACCTGCTCCTAAGAACTACAGCGCTCACTCCTTATTAACGCTGATATCTCTCATCTCTCCCTCATTCAACGAGTCTTTCAAGGCCCTGCTGGAATTTAACAACCAAAAGGATATCCTGACCACATTCCCTTTCCAAAACTCGATACCGAACAACCCATGGCTCGTGCCGGCATCGCAGAGCCAGGCTTCCGCACATTTATCCGACGCCACACGATCGCAGGAAAATTACCTTATTGCAGGTGTAGACAACTCTGAAACCCTGAGAGACTGGAATGAGGAGTTCCAGACCACCAGAGAGCTTCCTCGGGACAACGTGCAGGAGAAGGTGTTCAGAGAAAGACTGACCTCCAAACTCTTTGCTGACTATAACGATGCTGCCGTTCGTGGCGCCATTCTGGTTGCTAGGGGTGAAGTTGCATCCTTGAACCCGATGGAGACCAGAGACGCTCAGATCTTCGTCTACAACAACATCTTCTTCTCCTTTGGTGCGGATGGTGTTGGCACCTTCGCTGCTGAGGGTGGTGATGAGGCTGCTCGTATTGCTGTTGGAAAGGACGTCATGGGTGTGAAGACTGTAAACCAGCTTGACATCCCCGGACTCTTCACCCCAGGAACTGTGGTTGTTGACTATCTCGGCAAGCGTATTGTGGGTCAGAGCATTGTCCCCGGTATTTTCAAGCACCGCGAGCCTGGCGAGCACCAGATCGACTATGGCGGTGTTGAGGGTAAAGATGTCGTAGCAAAGAACGAGGCTTTCACTCCAGTTTTCGAGAAGCTCTCCAAGGCTCTCCGTGTCAAGAAGCATGCCGTTTGGGATAAAGATGGCGTTAGACACGAGTTGGAGGGAAGTGTTGAGACCAAGGGTCTTCTTGGTACTGATGGTCGTAAATACGTTCTCGACCTTTACCGAATCACTCCTCTTGATATCTCATGGACTGAGGATGCTGAAGGCCATGAGGAGTACCCTCACAGGATGCCAGTCCTCCGCCACGAACTAGTAGAAGCCTACTGGAGATACAAGATGGGACAATACGTCAAGGAAGAGGTTGAGAAGCGGAGAGCTGCAGCCAAAGAAGCCAAGGCTGTTGAAAACAGTGAAGGAGCTGATGCTGAAAAGAAAGATAACACTGACCAGGAGAGAGTTGACATTTCTAACTTCCACCTGGCATTGAACCCGGACGTTTTCAGTGGTCAAGTTCCCCAAACTGAGGAGGAGAAGGAAGAATGGGCACGCGATGAGAAGGAAGTTCGCGATGCCTGTGACCACTTGAGGTCAAAAGCACTCCCAGAGCTTATCAAGGATCTCTACAACGGTGAGGTTGGCTTTCCCATGGATGGCCAGTCTCTTGGTCAACTCCTCCATAAGCGTGGTATCAACATTAGATACCTCGGGAAAGTGGCACAGCTCGCCAAGGAAAAGGGATCCAGGCTCCAATCTCTTGTTGCTCTTGTGGTTCAAGACATGGTGGCTCGTTCATTCAAGCACATTGCTAACCGCTACCTCCGGAACCTTCCTCCTCCATTTGCTACTGCCTGTATTGCCCACCTGCTTAACTGCTTGCTAGGCACGGATGTCAATCCAAAGCCTCGTGCTGAGATCGATGAATCACTTAGAGCGATTTACCCTGAAGGTGACTTCTTATTCGAGGAGGTTACTCCCGCATCTCTTGCTGCAGATATTGAGAAGCAAGTTAGATCTCGTTACAGATACATTCTTGAAGACAGCTGGACTGGAAGCTTAAAACATTTCCAAGTTCTAAGAGACATCTCTCTCAAGCTTGGCTTGCAACTCGTTGCAAAGGATTTCGCATTCAACAAGTCCCAAGTTAAGGAGCACTCTCCCGCTGGAAATGGAAACCACAGCGACTCCCAGGATGAAAAGAAAAAGAAGAAGAAGAAGGGGTCTTCCGCGCCAGTTGCTCCTGCAACACAAGCACCTTCTCTCACTTTTGTTCCTGATGACATTGTGAACATTGTTCCAATTGTCAAGGACGCATCTCCACGAAGCGCTCTTGCTGAGGAAGCATTCGAAGCAGGCCGCATCTCACTTATGCAGAACCAAAAGGAGCTTGGTCAAGAGCTTATCCTGGAATCGCTTTCGCTCCATGAGCAAATTTATGGCATTCTTCACCCTGAGGTAGCTAAGCTGTACCATCAGCTCTCTATGGTCTACTACCAAACTGATGAGAAGGATGCGGCCGTGGAGCTGGCACGCAAGGCTGTTATTGTTACTGAACGAACAATGGGTGTTGATTCTTCCGACGCTATCCTCAGCTATCTCAATATTTCTCTGTTTGAGCATGCCAACGGGAACACCCAAACGGCTCTGATCTACATCAGACACGCTTTGGAACTCTGGAAAATCGTCTATGGCCCAAGCCACCCTGACTCCATCACCACGATGAATAACGCGGCCGTGATGCTCCAGCACTTGAAGAAGTACCCTGACTCTCGCAAATGGTTCGAGTCCTCTCTCGCTGTTTGCGACGAACTATTCGGAAGACAGTCCGTGAATACTGCCACTCTGTTATTCCAGCTTGCTCAAGCACTTGCACTCGACCAGGACTCCAAGTCTGCCGTTAACCGTATGCGTGAAGCTTACAACATTTTCCTTAACGAGCTGGGTCCCGATGACCGCAACACTAAGGAGGCAGAGAGTTGGCTTGAACAACTCACCCAGAATGCCGTTTCTATCGCTAAGCGCGCCAAAGATATCCAAGCTCGCAGGCGACGACTGGTATCTATACCCGGACGCTCGTCTCTCGGCACTCAGCCCCAGCCTCAAGTTGGACAGACCACGTCAGACATGGTTTCTGCCGTCGATGGACATGCCAACACAAGCTTGGACTCCAGAAGCATTGATGAGCTCCTGAAATTCATTGAGGGAGGTGATGCGGCGCGCTCAAAGCCAAAGAAAAGAACGACTCGCAACCCCAAGCTTCGCGGCTCGAAACAGACTTCCGTCAAGTCTTAGAGCAAAAAGCATTTAATAAGGGAAAACCCACAAAGTTTCCTAGATGTTGATCCTTTGCATTCCATATATCATTGCGTTTCCAACTTGTTATATTTTCCTGTTTTGAGAGCGTGAAATTTGCTGTACCAGATGCAAGGGTTTTGGATATCTCCTATTCAAGTCGGAGCTGCTGAGCAATTGGTATTCTCATATAAAAAAATCATGGGTAATTCATGTACCATGGGAACTTTATGTTTGGTATGGTTGTATATACTATCTCTACTCTACTTTCAAACTCCTTTCCCTTTCACTTGTTTCTTTTTGGGCAATTTAACCTACAAGATTTTTCATTAGCTACTTTATCTTGCACAAACTTCCCTGGGTGAGGTTAAAGCTTCGAGCTTTCTTCTTGCCATTAGATATATTATGATGAATAGAGTTATTCTGATGTTCATTTTATTAGTTAACTATATTATCATCGTTATGTGTGTCAGTAAATAGCGTTTCTTTGCTTAAAAAGGTACCAACCATAGATCTAACGATAAGATAAGATCTAACTCAATATAAAATCACGTGCTTTATCTTGGCGTAAACATCCATTTGTTTACTTTTCGGTCTTGACAACAATTATTGAAAGAGTCCATACATACTACAACATCTCAATCTCAAGCATGTCGTATACATTATAACATAGCTGGAACTATGCCAGCTCCTTAATTTAATCTATTTTTCTCATTATAATTGAACCCTCCGAATATATACCCGAAGGCACTAGATTGTCAACTCAACCCCATGTCTAACTAGCCCTATGATTCTACTCCCGTATGAGTAGCGTTGCAGTGGTATATTCTAGGTATTATTGGATATTTTGGATTAGAAAATGGGTTCTCACCATTCGAATTCTCGATCGAAGCCCGAACCTCCGCAAATTCCGATCAATCTGAGGTGGTGCAATCGAGCCCTGCGGCCGTTAACATCAATATATTTGCGACTAGAAAAACACTGGAAAATCTCTCCACTACGAGACGAAGAATATATTCGACGGGCATACGGTGGTGGTGGTGAGGGTTCTTTCGATAGGATTCAAAATGCACGCAGGTCAGCTTCGGGCTCTACCGATGCATCTGATTCGGAATCGTCGAAGGAAGACCCAACATGGGTGCCGGGTGATGCGGTACGAAAACCAATAAAACATCGATATTCTGGGAGAAGAGACCGCCCTCGTACAAATGTTCGCTCCAAAGTTGTTGTCAAAAGCCCCGAAGCTGAAAAACTTCAGCCAGGACAATTAACGATTGCGACTCCACTAATACTGGGGAAACGGCGAATGATCAATCCGGAAAAGGCTCCAGCACCTGACGATGATAGCAGCACAGGAAATGAAACTTTTCAGAAACAGAAAATATTCTCTTATTCGAAACATAAATCCCTAGGCAACAGCTGGAGCCTCAGTGAAATCGCGCACGGAATTGAAGATACATATAACGATCCATCCTATGTAGCGATCGTGCAAACGATATTCTCCGCATGGGATACATTTCTTAGAATGAGCACTCCTCGGCAAAACCACCATGATCGAGGGGCAAAATCTTTGCTATCAATGGCCTTGAGTACTACATCCAAGTATATTTTACAGGAACAGGAACGTGTGAATAGTCTGGAAGATAAAGGTGAAGAGACAGATGTCGCAGGCTTTATCATCACGGAGTTGGAGAAGATGTATGCAATGGGCAACAATGGGTGGAAACCTTTGAAAGAGCTTGTTCGATCGCATGGCATTCATTTGATGTGCGAAGCCATTCGTAAACGATGGCTTTCCCCTCAGCTGAGTCGGCGGATCGTCCTGCAGTCTTTTTCTCTATCCGCCCATGACGCCGCAGCCGCCTTACTATCGGCTTTGATATCGCTATCTCCTGTTATTCCCCCTCCAATTCGTCTGGATTGCAACTTATTTAAATCAAGCCATTCGGTTGCATTATGCACTCTAGAAACGTACGTGAAGTCCTCAGGGAACTTCAGTATATTCTTTAGGGAAATGGCATCCTTACTCGATCGAGGAAGATTACCTGCTGAGTGGCTTGCGACTAATTCTATGAAATATTATTTAACTGCTGCCCTGCAGTCCCTAGCAATTGGCGATGAACATTCATTTGCTTCGTTGCGCCTTATTTCCTCGGCAATACTAGCAGCTGCCGGCTCCAAGAAATCCATTCCTGCCCGGGTCTTAAACAGCCTACGTCGGTCAAAACGTGGAAATACTCGATGTCGTAAGAGTGAGTCCGAAGCAGGCCTTGCTAGCTGGTTACCTAGCCAGAAAAACAATTGTCACGACCCGATATCTATTGCTCTAAGCAACAGTATTACAAGCATTCTGACTGTGCTTTCTGGTTCACATTTTGCCAAGTTTGGATTTGGAAGGGCCAAAGGCTCGACGATGTGTAACCTGCTGATATTCCTATCCACGGCTGTACAACGGGATATTGAAAAAGCTGTGCTTGACAGGAGCAAGAACAAACTAGACTTACAGCCAACACGCGCTTGTGCCATTTTACTAGCAGACTTTTTGATTAATTGTTTGTGTAGTAATTGCAACACAAGTGGTAGTAAGGCGGCTGCAATTCATGCCTTGCCCGTTATACACAATCTTGGATATTTAATTGGCATACATACAAATAAGAAAGAACTTGTGAAGGAGTTGGCCGGTTTCGTGCTACAGATCGCACGATGTCTAGGCAGGGTACGGAATGATAATGGCTTTGAGGCAGCCAAGCGGTTCACTCTATCCTTTAATTTCTCTGGCGTAAAGGGGCACCCCGTTCTTCAGATAGTGCTCAGCAAGGTGGCCATTGAAGTTGCCCTGAAATTTGCCGAGGCAACGTGCCTGCAGGAGCATCACGACTGGGCCTCCTATATCCAGGATCAAGTAGCTGCTTGTGATTTTGATATGGGTGATCTGGACGAAATGCAACCGATGACTCCCTCGTTACGCCGCTCAGAGGCAGGATTCAGGTGGGAGGATGGGATTGGAGAATGGGTTGCAAAGACGCCGAGTTTCAGTCAAACCAGAGGCTCGAGGTCTACCTCACCACTACCGAATGATTCCGACTCCCATCCCCAGATTGGTATATCTTGTCATCTAAGAGAGATATCGGACACCGAAGAGAGTGACTCGGGGTTCTCAACAGCATCAACTGAAATCAAGGAAATCTCAAGCGTTTCATCGGGTTATTCAGTGTCAACCCCCCCTCCCAAGAGAAAACGTTTGTCAAGCACCATTGACAATCAAAACTCCATACGAGTTGCACGAGGTCAGAAAGATGAACCCCGTTACCAGCAACAGTTGGACGCAAGGCGTTGGAGTCCAAACATGGATGCCCTGTCAGATATGGACCGGCAACGTTCAAGCAGAGGATCGTCACCGTCTTCAAAACACGGCACCTCAGACAACGTAGCTGTCGTGATTGAGGTACCCCGCAGACCGAAAGTATGCAACTTGGAGGTTGTGGTATTGAAAGAGCGCAGCGTAGCCTACAGGAAACGCCATGCTACTGAGCCTCCAGGAGCTATATCAGCGACCTTTGATATATCAGACCAAGATGACGATGATGAAGATATCCTCAACTATGCGCCAGTACTCAGCCAACGGCTTCGACATAAGATATCTCCTCATCAGATAGCTTCGAGGCAACCCCAAACCTGTCTCAAGGTAGCTAGACACGTTCCCCCCCGTCGCTCCACGAGGCTGTCTTTTACGCAACGTGTGGTACCCTGTTCGGATGGAAGTGGTTCCAGTGACGACGAGCTAAGCTTCTGCTGAGAAGCACTGCTTTGTTGCGGCGCTCCCCTGTCTATATTGGTAGCTAGCTGAAGTCGGTGACGTTCCGCTCTCTCAATTCGCATATGCCAGTGTGAGATATTTCTTTTATTCTTTTTTGGAAAGCCAAGACACGTTTTGCTACCTCGAATGGATCCAAACGTCTGCTTGATCCAGATTTCTTGGTTCTGCTCTCGTAGGAGAGCTTCCGTTTTTTTCCTCTTCTTTCACATGGCTTGATGTTATGTTCTGGTTATACCCCCTCTTGCGTTGCTTTGGCCTGAAACTCCACTTGTCGCAGGGAGTTCAGCGTGTATACATACTTACAGTTATCAATGGCCCAGTGCCTTTTTTTAGTTTCTTTTTAAATATACCTGGACGCGGGACAGAGAACTGACCAGTTTCATGTAATTATACTATTGATAAAGAAGCTTTTGATAAGATGCTTAGCCGACTCGTGCTCCTGCCTGCCTGCAAGGGCTTGATCTAGAAGCAAGTCTACCCCTTCGGGCTTGCCAAGTTGTGTCAACATAGCCCTCGCCTTGGTGTCGTTAGTTGCTGCAGCTACGCAGAGAGACCAGGGCTAGTTCTCGAGTTGTCCCTTGTCTCTGCCGTCTGTCGTAGATTTCCGAATCAGGTGGCGTCTAACTATATCCTCTATATCCTGTCTAACCCGGGTGGATTTTGCGGGGAAAGAACCCATATGATATCCACGATATCCCCTCAGAAGGTAGAGGAGGAGGAGGAGAGAGAAAGAAATAAAAACGGCCAATCCAAAGACTCGTATACCAAACCAGCCAGACGGTCGATGCTCGACCGTGGTTCTCCATCCCCAGGAGAGAAAGAAAACCCAGACCGTCCATAGAATTTTCCCGCCATAACTATAACTAACTTGGCGGTTCCTTTTTTCCCCTCTCTGGTTCAACGATTAGCTTTTCTGTCTTTGGGTTCCACTGCCGTGAGCTGATATCAAGATGTTATACGACGAGAAGGTCGAGGCCTTGCGCCGTGCCTTTCTTCTTTTACATAAGAAATTAAGTTAATGTAACCAGTTGATGTCATAGACGGAGCAGGGATAGGTCTGATCTAACTGTGACGGAGGAAACAAGCTTGATTTCTCTAGTGTGTGAAAGCTTGAATAAGGCAGATGGAATTGGAAGCTCAAGCGCATCGTTGTCAGGTGAACAGGCGGACACACGGGGAGTGTCATGGAAGTATGTAGTTATATTAGACAGGAGAGATGATGCTGGTCAGGCCACGCTCTCAGGATTTCCATTATCATATGTTATTACCCCGTATATACTTGGGGCCCTGGAGTATGATAGGCCTGACCCAACATCATCTATGAACCATCAGAAAGCTCCATCCATGCAAAAAGCTTCGTCTTGACGCCGGCAAAAGCTGCTCGTTCCAGTATTTCTCGCCTTCTCTCACGCCCCGTATACAGAGTATAGTTCACTTCTTGATGAACACCGTCAGTCCCTTGAAACAAGGGGGGCAAAACTCCTGTTGACCCTATGACATGTCAGAATGATACCGTCCGCCATCGAAAGAAGATAATTGAAGACCAGATCTTACGGGGCATAGGAGTTAGTGACTTCAGCTCTGTAAACGCCTAGGCCGTAGTTTACCTCTTCTTGTCTTGATTCCACGAGCTCTTCTCCTCCGCGAGCAGGGCATTGACGTGGTCCATGTTGGAAAGTCTCTTCTCCTCTCTTCTCGCCGTCGAGATAAGTCTTACGCCAGTGTTGGACCGTTTCACCCCTTCAGGGTCTGCTCCATCCACTAGCAGCAGCGATCCATCATGCTGGATGACTTCTTTTGCTGCTCATTCGTCCGTCTCGATATCTAACTTTTCGCCGTCGCTTTTTCTCCTGACTCTGGCTGGCGGGTGGCTGGATCGACGGCTGTACCTTGCATCGGGCCCTTGTAGGTTCCTCTCGAGTATCTCCTCCACCAGATGGCAGCGTACGAGTGACTTGAATTGGACATGTAAACGCACTAATCCTTGGTCTCTCCGGTACTTACCCACGGCCCGTCTCCAGTTTCGTCTTCTGTCTCTTTTTTAATCCGGCCGGACCTCGTCAAAGCCGACAGAGAGGGAGGGAGAGAAAGATGTCGCCCTACTTCTATCGGTGTCTCGCTGTCTCTCTTTAAACGTCGACTATCGCTCGTTTTCTTCCCTGTTCCCTGCTTCTCCTTGGTGCGAACGATCAGACTGATGAGCTCTCGGGGTCCATTGGCTGTATTCAAGCACGGTGGTCTGGAGACTTGCTCTCTGACATCCTGAAGACCCTTGAAGGCTGTGCCTCTTTTCTCCTTCCCCCCTTTCTACGACCTCAAACAACATCACGACAACAGCAAACGAGAAAAAAAGAACTCCAAACGGCGCCCCTTAGAAAGGACACTGGTGTCTTTTTACCCCGTTTATTCGTTCTTTGGATTCCAGCCTTATATTCCGCTCCTTTACCTCCCACCTCAGAGAAGGAAGCTCGACTTTACCGAGTAGAATCGAGCCCGGCTTCTCCCAGCGTCAATCCCTTTATATCAGACACTCTTTTGTTTTTCTCAGACAAGGCCTATTGCACAATACACACTACGGGGCATCACTCACACACTCTCTTTCACTATTTATTGCGTCTGCGTTGCCGTTGAACCTCTTTTATACACTCTCTTGGTGAACCCGGGTTTGAATATAAACACATACTCACGCTCTCTTTTCGAATTGAACAACAGCCAACGTCCATGAGGGCGTCATTTCTTCTCGCGCCGCTGCTGGCGGGCGTTGCGGCCGCCTCGTTTGACCAGGAATCATCACATCATGAACAAGGTCCCCTTATACTGCAGCCCCAGGAGGTGTATGACGATAAGGTTGCTCGTTACTATATCCTGTCCGGAGGCAGCGTCTTTGCCGTCATCCTCATCTGGTCTGCCATCCTCCGCATGTCCGCACACATGCGGCGCCTCACAAGTCTCCCAAGCGACACCCAGCGGTACTTTGTCACAGCAGACAGCTTCTGGTCATGGATGAAACGTAATGTGATGTATGCTCCTCTGCTGTGGAAGCGTCACAACCGCGAATACCGGCTATCTGCTGCATTGAACATGGGCACCCTTCCTACTCGATTCCACACTGTGCTTCTACTGATGGTGATAGGGAGCAATGCATATCTATGCCTTCATAACCTTCCCTTCTCGAAGCCCGAGAAGGAGTTTCTCCCGTCTATTCGCAAACGGACCGGGACCATGGCAACCGTCAACCTTATCCCTCTTGTTCTCATGGCTGGCCGGAACAACCCCTTGATAAAGCTGCTGGATGTCTCGTTCGACACCTGGAACCTTCTTCACCGCTGGCTGGGCCGCATTGTGGTCCTGGAGTCGCTTGCACACACCATCTGCTGGATGGTAGGCAAGGTTCATACTGGTATGTTAAGCCTTGGTTGAATATATCTACATTGGAAAACTCTCTAACTAGGGCTATTATTAGATGGCTGGGAGGCTACATGGCAATCATTTACCTCTAGCAATTTGATATTGACTGGTATTGTGGTAAGTATATTATTTCCCTCCCTTCGATAGGCTGGCAGATACTAAAAAAAAAAATTCTTATAGGCAACTAGCTGTGTCGTTGTCATTTCCATTCATTCTGTCTCTGTACTCCGCCATGCGTTCTACGAGACGTTCCTTCATTTCCACATTGCCCTTGTAGTAGTATTCCTTGTATTCATGTGGTTGCACTTACTTGGTTATCCTCAGCTTAAGTACCTGCTAGGTGCCATCCTGCTATGGGCTGTCGAGGTAAGAATCACACTCGCTGCTTATCTCTTTATACACCCGCTAACTAAAATGATTTAATACAGAGAGCATGGCGCATCATTACTATAGTTTATAGAAACTTCCTACGTGGAAACACGACTGCAACAGTAGAAGCTCTTCCTGGAGACGCAATGCGCGTTACCCTGAGAATCGCACGGCCATGGACGTTCAGGCCTGGTCAGCATCTATATCTATACATCCCTTCCGTTGGCTGGTGGACATCCCACCCTTTCAGTGTCGCTTGGAGTGACACTGAGGAAAGCGACTCTGACGAAAAGGGCCTTGTCATGACCAAACAAGACGTCCTGGGCCTTCGACGGCCTACCATGTCTCTCGTCATCCGCCGAAGAACCGGGATGACGAATAAACTGTATGAGAGAGCCACGAAGAACGGTGCAACGAGCGTCACTCTCTCCGCCATGGTAGAAGGGCCGTACGGAGCCGAACATGCCCTCGACTCATACGGCTCGGTCGTTCTCTTTGCCGCTGGCGTAGGCATCACCCACCACGTCCCTTATGTACGGCATCTCGTCGCTGGTTTCGCAGACGGCACGGCAGCCACTCGGCGCCTGACGCTCGTCTGGGTCATCCAATCACCAGAGCATCTCGAATGGATCCGGCCCTGGATGACCAGCATCCTGACCATGAACCGAAGACGTGAGGTTCTCCGAATCATGCTCTTCATCACCCGACCACGCAACACCAAGGAGATACACAGTCCCAGCACCACCGTCCAGATGTTCCCTGGAAAGCCCAACATCGGCACCATCCTTGACGGAGAAATTGAGAAGCAGGTCGGTGCCATGGGCGTGATGGTATGCGGAACAGGCAGCTTGAGTGACGAGATTCGATATGCGTGCCGAAAACGACAGATTCCAACACACGTCGATTTCATCGAAGAGTGCTTCACTTGGTAGACAGGCTATCTACCACTCCACGTCTCTTTGCCTTTTCTTTTCTTGCTTCTCTCACGGTTTACGGTTGTTCTTTCGGTCACTGGGGTTTAAAGGAGGGCGGCATGTTCACATCGGTCACGGAGGTTCAACGGTGGTAAAAATCACATTCATTACTTTTGTCAGCGCCTTTCCAGCAAGATTCTCTGTCTCGTTTGTCATCACTTTCTCTTTTCCTTCTTTTCTTCTTGTTCATACCTTATATTGTATACCTTTTGTTTTATTCCTTACTCCCCTTGCACATATCTTTTTCTTTTTTATGGAGATACAAGCAGCGGCGTTCGAAGCCCCCAACCGTCATGGAGGTCTTCTTCTTCCTTGTACTTATTCTATGCAAGCACAAATTCAACTATATTCCTTGTCTCTTCTATCACTTGCACGTTGGCTAACGGATGGCTGTTTTCTTCTGTGATATCCCGCCTTCCTTGGCATCTTCTGTTCTTCTTACACAGCAGTTAGTTATCGGGCAACTTTCTCTGGCTCTCTACGAGTGATGTCATCGGCCATGCTTGCTTGGGCGGGGCTTTTGAAGAACAGACGGAAGGGAAAAGAGACTGATTGTATACTCATTCTTCGATTATAAATCTCCTTGCCGTATACCGTCGTATTTATAAGCCCCGCGCCCCCCTCGGTCGTAAACACGGACGAAGCTAGATATATAAGTCGACGCCGTTTCCTTATACTTGCAGCAAACAACGATAAATGCTAGGACGTCTGACCCAGTATACAACCCAATTTCAACGCTCTGCTGCTTCGTTGGTGAATAACGTCACAATGGCTGCTCCGAAATCAGACATCACCCTCTATACCTCCCAAACCCCCAATGGAATCAAAATCTCAATTGCCTTGGAGGAACTTGGGTGAGTCCACGCATACCTCCTCCTCATCTAGAGCGTGCCGGCCAACTAATACTGTGCAAGCCTCCCCTATAAGGTCGAAGCAATCGAGCTAAGCCAAAACACCCAGAAGGAACCTTGGTTTCTTGAAATAAACCCCAACGGCCGCATCCCAGCCATCACAGATACTTTCACCGATGGGAAGAAAATCTCTATCTTTGAATCGGGGAGTATCCTAGAGTACCTTGTCGACCGATATGATACCGAGCATAAGATCTCCTATCCCAAGGGAACCAGAGAAGCATATGAAGTGAGCAACTGGCTATTCTTCCAGAACGCCGGTGTAAGCTTATTCCCTCTTTTCACGTAATAGTAATAATAGATCTATGATAACTAAATTCTGAGTTAGGTTGGCCCAATGCAAGGTCAAGCAAACCACTTCTCTCGCTATGCTCCCGTGCATATCGAATATGGTGTCAATCGATACAGAAATGAAACCCGCCGCCTCTACGGAGTGCTAGACAAGCACCTCTCCCAGTCGAAATCAGGCTATCTGGTCGGAGACCACATTAGCATTGCCGATATTTCTCACTGGGGATGGGTCGCCTGCGCTGGATGGGCTGGAGTTGAAATCGACGACTTCCCGCACCTGAAGGCTTGGGAGGAGAGGATGTTAAAGAGGGAGGGTGTCGAGAAGGGTCGACATGTTCCTAAGCCCCATACTATTAAGGAATTGCTGAAGGATAAAGACGCCATGGAGAAGGAGGCTGCTAAGAGCAGGGAGTGGGTTCAGGCTGGCATGAAGAGCGATGCAAGCAAATAAGCTGGAATTTTATGATATATCAAAATAATACTTACGTCAGGTGATAATCTATAGGAAAAACCTTCTCGTTTGGTCATATTTCACTTACTAAGCTATTATATATGACTGTACGCTTTCATACACATTAAACAATGATTCATCCAATGATAGTATAGTATTTGGTACGTAGTCGTTTATATGATACGAAAAATACCGGAATATAAATTATCCCCACGCACGTGTCGATTACATAACCATGATGTAATTTTTTCCCTCGAGGATCTCTTCGCGCATTCTTGCCACGACAGACAATTATTATCACTCGTTCTTCGCTCCTAACTAGATTGCAAATATCAAAAGCAGCAGCTACCATGGCGTGGCGTAATCAAGGTATTACTGGCTCCAACAATATTCCCTTGGGTCGTCGCAGGTTTGGCGATGAATCAGGAGATAATGGGAGCTCTGCATCAGCTGCGGCCCCCATGGATGCTGGGCAAAAGCGCGGCAGGAGTCCAGTGAGAGGTGAGTTTGTCCGTTATTCCATCGCTATCACAGAAACAGATATGCTGACTACTTGAAATTTAGCTGAACCTCCTGCGGATGGGACCAAGAAGCGAAAGAAGCGCAACCGCTGGGGCGATGCCCAGGAGAATAAGGCTGCCGGCCTGATGGGTCTGCCGACTCTTATCATGGCAAACATGACCAACGAGCAGCTCGAAGCTTACACTCTTCATCTACGTATTGAAGAGATCAGTCAGAAGCTTCGTATCAACGATGTTGTCCCGGCTGACGGAGATAGGTGAGCGATAAACTGCCTTATTCGTCCCCATAACCGTTATACATGGACTAACAACTCTCCGCATTATAGGTCTCCCTCGCCGGCGCCACAGTACGATAATCTTGGTAAACGTGTAAACACCAGAGAGAACCGTTATCGCAAGCGCTTGGAAGATGAGCGCCATAAGCTCATTGAAAAAGCCATGAAAGTTATTCCTAACTACCATCCGCCATCTGACTACAGGCGTCCGACTAAGACCCAAGAGAAGGTCTATGTCCCTGTTAATGACTATCCAGAGATTAACTTCAGTATGATAACTAACCCTCTAACTCCTAACCGTCCTACTCTTTCGTCGTCGTCGTTTCAGGCTCGAGAGTTCCTCGACCTGCTATTTTCTTTTCTTTCATATTTTTCCTATCTTTCTTCGACTTGTCATCAGTTTGATGGCTTTTTTCTTCTTATTTTCCTTTTCCCCTTACATACTAACCCAGTTACTACTAATCCTTCACATACACTGCTTGATATAAAGACTTCATATACTAACACTGAGCCTCACTTGTGATTAAAAGTTGGCTTACTTATCGGGCCCCGTGGCAACACTCTCAAGAAAATGGAGACCAAGTCCGGAGCAAAAATTGCTATCCGAGGCAAAGGCTCTGTTAAGGAAGGAAAGGGACGATCTGACGCCGCTCACTCTAGCAACCAGGAAGAAGACCTTCATTGTCTAATCATGGCAGATACGGAAGAAAAAGTAAACAAGGCAAAAGAACTTATTCACAACGTTATCGAAACGGTATGTTTAGTATTCCCTTCTCCAACCTACTCCTTAAACCCTCTTGAAAGATCTAACTAAACATAAATTAGGCCGCCTCTATACCCGAAGGGCAAAACGAGCTGAAGAGGAACCAACTGCGTGAACTTGCTGCTCTCAACGGAACTCTACGTGATGACGAGAACCAAGCTTGCCAAAACTGTAAGTGTTCTAATATCCTCACTGATTGGTTTGTCATTGGTTTGTCCATTTTATTTGATACCTAACCTTTTTTTATTGTATAGGCGGCCAAATCGGTCATCGTAAATACGATTGTCCTGAGCAGCGTAACTTCACTGCGAATATTATCTGCCGCGTCTGTGGAAATGCCGGACATATGGCCAAAGATTGTCCAGACCGTCAACGTGGCACTGATTGGCGCAACCATGGGCCTAGTGTTCGTGGGAAAGGAGTTGGCGGTGGAGATGCGGTTGACCGAGAGATGGAGGTAGGTTTTCACCCCAGTCTTGTTACTACTTTTAGATAAACAAGCGTTTACTAACTTTTCTTCTCTAGCAACTTATGCAAGAACTCTCTGGCAATGCTCCTCTACCTGGTGGTGAAGCACAGAAGCGCATTGAGGGTGGCCCTGGTGGATATGGCCAAGGTAACAATTATGGCGGTGATGATGCGAAGCCATGGCAACAGCGCGAGCCTGCCAGTAATACACCACCATGGCAACGACGGGATGATAGGTCCCGAGACGATCAGAATGCACCTCCACCATGGGCTACTGGTGGCCACAGAGGCGACCGAGACAATCGCGACCATCACGGTTACCAGGGACGCGACTCTTATAACCCAACTCCCCCAGCTGGCGGTCCTCCACCATGGCAGCAAGCTGCACAACAAACTCCAGCAATGGCTCAAGCCTCCTACGGCTACAGCGGATATCAATTCCCTCAAAATCAGGCCATGAGTGCACCACCTGGCCTAAGTGGTATCCCGCCTCCACCGCCCGGAATGGGATCTATGTTTGCTGGTTACCCTGGTGCTCCGCCACCTCCACCTCCACCAGCTGACGGGCCGCCCCCTCCTGTAGGTTGCTACGACCTTGTACATGCGTTTGACAAAACTAACAATTTCTTCTAGCCTCCAAGCGAACAGCCTCCGCCTCCGCCTCCGCCGTCGGCTTAATTTTGTTTCACTTTAGGACGTGATGGAGAAATTATTCTCTTAGGAGTATTAAATTACTAACTACTAACTTTGTATTTTCTTGTTCAGATTCACATTTACTACTAACAGCCTCTAGGCAATTCTGTGTTCGAAAACGGAGATGTTATGTTCAACATGGCTTCTCTGTGGACTTCTTTATTGTACTAACTGGATTCATTATGTGTAATTTTAAGGGAAATTGATGTTAATGTTCTTAATTCGATTTCTGCAGCGGTATACCGTATCTGTGGGAACTGCAAAGATTGGCTACATGTTGGTAGCCATATAACTCGAGTATTCTTCGCGGCCAAGACATGATGTTTGGCCACTTAAGTCTGGTGCAGAGGCGACAATTTCTCTCGCCATGTAGATTTCAAGTAACAACTCTTACCCATGTCATAGGTATTAATAGCCGTTTCAAAATATTTCTGCATCCAAGGCGTATAGTCCCTCTTCTGGTCGATGTCAGTTTACATCCCCATTTCATTTTCCCTGGTGTGCGTTGCGGTGAGGCCGGTCATCCTCTGAGGGCAAAGATTTCCCTTATAAACTTCCTCGTGTTGCCATTCGCAGGACATCACAACCAGCGGGCCAGCAACTACATGAAAGGACCAATGCATCAGACACTGTTATAGCCCAGATAACGGCTCGACAAAAAGCAGTATCTTTCGTGGAATACAAATATAATGCCTCACTCGATGGATGGACAACCCTCTAATGAGGTACCGACAGCCACGGCAGCAGACACGAGATGGTGGAAGATTCGCTTCTTTGACGGCATGAAGAATGATATCAAGAGACGAGCACCGTATTACTGGAGTGATTGGAAAGATGCCTGGGATTACCGTGTCATTCCTGCCACGGTATATATGTACTTTGCAAAGTATGGCCCCAGGCGGTGCAAGCCTTTCTCTTCTAGTGTCTGATAAAGCCGATTCATACCTCGAAGCCTCATCCAAGCAACCTTCCCAGGAAGAAAACTTACATGGAGTCGATAGTATTCTTCCAGCCCTCGCTTTTTCGCTTGATATGTTCGAAAAAACTCATATGAGCTACGGTGTCAATGAGGTTCTTCTCGCCTCCGTTCTAGGTGCTGTTGTGTTCTCTTTCCTAGCTGGACAGCCATTGGTTATCGTCGGTGTAACAGGTTCGCAGATATTTCACACTACAGTCTATATCAGATGGTTAATAATCGATTATAGGCCCTATCACTGTGTTTAATTATACGGTCTACGATATAATCGCACCTAGAGGGACAAATTACCTGGCCTTCATGTGCTGGATTGGAATGTATGAGGTTGTCAATCTATGCCCAAAGGGTCGTAATTGCTGATGAAGCTCTCTAGTTGGTCGCTTATAATGCATTGGGTTCTTGCCATTACGAATTCATGTAATGGACTGACCTTTGTTACAAGATTTTCCTGCGACATATTTGGGTTCTATGTTGCTTTCATCTATATCCAGAAGGGCATCCAAGTTCTTACCAGGCAATGGGACATGGCTGGTGAAACATCTGCCTATCTCTCCATCATGGTCTCTCTGCTAGTTCTTATGTCATGCTTTATCTGCGGTGCCATCGGAGAAAGCCATTTCTCCAATCGCCATATTCGAAAGTTCATAGAAGATTATGGCACTCCTCTGAGCATAATCTTTTTCACTGGCTTCGTTCATATTGGTCAGATGAGAAATGTTCATGTCGAAACATTGCCAGTTTCTAAAGCATTTTTCCCTACTACGGATCGTAGCTGGCTTGTGAATTTCTGGGATATTAGTGTGAAGGATATATTTCTTGCCATTCCGTTTGCAATCCTCTTAACTGTTCTTTTCTACTTTGACCATAACGGTTCGCCTCCCTTCTTTGATCAGCAGTATCAGATTGCTAACTCTCCTTGTAGTGTCATCATTGATCGCTCAGGGTACTGAATTCCCTCTTCGCAAACCTGCCGGATTTCACTGGGATTTATTCCTGCTGGGCTTAACTACAGGAGTAGCGGGTATTCTTGGGATCCCTTTCCCTAATGGCCTTATCCCTCAGGCACCATTCCACACAGCCTCTCTTTGCGTAACACGCCAAGTAGCAGATGAAGATGAGAATCATAAAGGAAAATCCGTTCGCATTATAGACCATGTTGTTGAGCAACGTGTTAGCAACCTTGCCCAGGGGCTTCTTACGCTCGGAACAATGAGTAGCCCTCTACTTGTTGTTCTACACTTGATACCTCAAGGGGTAATGGCAGGACTTTTTTTCATTATGGGAATTCAAGCTCTGCTAGGAAACGGAGTGACGCAGAAGTTAAAGTTCCTCATGGAGGATAAGGAACTGACCTCACCATCAAACCCACTACTGAGGATTGAGCGAAGAACGGCAGTATGGGTATTCGTCGCAATCGAGCTCTTAGGATTTGGGGCGACATTCGCCATCACGCAAACAATCGCAGCCATTGGGTTTCCAATCTTCATTCTCTTGCTTATCCCCATCAGATCCTTCCTGCTGCCGAAATGGTTCACCGTAAACGAACTCTCTATACTCGATGCACCTACTGCAAGCCCATTTACCATGAAAAGTGTCGGGGGATCCTATGGACACGCCCAGCATGGAGTACATGGGGGCTCTTCGGATGAGGTACAGACACCCGCTGTCGTGGAGGGCGGCGTTTTCGCGGGTGATTTAGAAAACGGAGAACTACACGAACTTCAATCGAGGAACTCTGTTAGGAGGAGAAGCCGGTCTGATAGATGAGGTTTGCATTCTGTATGTACGGAGTATCTCTGACATGTTCGGGTTATCTTTCAATAAACTGTCTTTAATTCTCAAACTGATGAGCGACTAATAAACCTTTATTACTAATACGGATGGATAACGCCGAGTCTAATTAATAAGCAAAAATAAGATTTAACCTTAAATCTCATTATGTAATACATAACTTTCACCGCCTTCGCAAAATTATTTTCTGCCGATATTTTTTATGTATTTGAAAACGTTCGAAGTGGATGAAGATAAATGCGCTGGCACAGATCTTGGAGATTTGAAGGGAATTACGTGGATATGGCTGGCTCTCCGAGTTCAGACTCGGATTCTGAAGGGTCGCGCTCTGAGGTGTCGTCGGTTGCCCAAGATGAGGTAGCCGTGCTAGACGAGAGGCCACAAAAAAGACAACGACTCTCAGATTCCTCCGAAGACTGCCCAATAGCTCCAACGACGCCATTCCCAGTTCAGACTCTTTCGCGGATTAAAAAGAAAGATGTGAAAAGTGAAAAATGTGAGGAGGAGAATACGTCTCTAGCCGATCCCGTCACTGCCAACGATGCGTTCGCGATGGGCCTTCAGTCGGCAGACTCCTCGTTTGCTTCTCTCGGCCTTGCCCCGTGGCTGGTTAGCTCACTGAAGGCTATGGAAATCAAGAGACCAACGGCGATTCAGAAATGCTGCATACCAGAAATAATCAAGGGGAGAGATTGTATAGGTGGGAGTAGGACTGGCTCCGGAAAAACTGTTGCATTCGCAGCTCCAATACTCCATAAGTGGTCTGAGGATCCGTTTGGGATTTTTGCTGTCGTATTAACTCCAACAAGGTATGGCGATTTACTTTGAGTGCAATATGGGGAAATATTCGATGCTGACACGGCTGGATCTTGTCATAGAGAGCTTGCCCTTCAAATCTTCGAACAGATTAAAGCCATTTCAGCGCCGCAGTCTCTCAAACCTCTTCTAATAACTGGAGGAAGCGATATGCGCCCTCAGGCCATTGGGCTCTCTCAACGGCCTCACATAGTTATTGCGACGCCAGGGCGACTTGCGGACCACATAAAGTCGTCTGGAGAGGATACCATCGTTGGACTGAAACGCGTCCGTATGGTAGTCCTCGATGAGGCAGATCGCCTTCTTTCGAGTGGGCCGGGGAGCATGCTTCCTGACGTGGAGACCTGTTTATCCGCCCTTCCGCCGTCAACAAATCGTCAGACTCTTCTATTTACTGCGACAGTAACTCCTGAGGTACGGGCGCTGAAGTCGATGCCTCGGGCAAAGAATCGACCGCCGATCTTTGTCACCGAGATATCGACGGAAAATACAACGATACCCCCAACACTGAAACAGAGCTATCTCCAGGTGCCGCTGAACCACCGTGAGGCCTTTTTACATGTTCTGCTATCAACCGAGGGGAATTCCTCCAAATCCACTATTATCTTTTGTAACCGGACAAAAACAGCCGACCTGTTAGAACGTATGCTCCGTCGACTATCACATCGAGTCACTTCACTTCACAGCCTTTTACCTCAGTCGGAGCGAGTAGCCAATCTCTCCCGTTTCCGTGCCTCGGCAGCTCGGTTGCTTGTTGCCACCGATGTAGCAGCTCGTGGTTTGGATATTCCGTCTGTTGGGCTGGTAATCAACTTTGATGTCCCTAGGAATCCCGATGACTATATTCATCGGGTTGGTCGTACAGCTCGAGCTGGGCGAGAGGGTGAAGCTATAACACTCGTTGGACAAAGAGATGTTCAGCTAGTTTTGGCAATCGAGGCTCGTGTTGGTAAGCAAATGGTCGCATGGGAGGAACCAGGGGTGAATCTTGAATCTCGAATTGTGAAGAGTACGGTTTTGAAAGAAGTTGGCTCAACAAAACGAGAGGCGATGGGTGAAATTGACGAGGGTAGAGATATATTAGGCCGCAGGGTCAGGAAACTGAAAAAAGTCCGTTAGAGTGGACATACAATTCTTTTTGGATAAATCGGCGAAATAGCCCATTATATTTCTACACCCTAATCCAACCATTCTTCCAACGCGAAATAAATACCCTGAGCCCTGAGACGTGGCGGATCAAGGAGGGGATAACACCTACAGCTCATTTTCGAGCTGCTTTCGCCCTTCGCTTCACAGCCTGTTCAGCTGGCTGGTGGTCGCCATCGTCCTGCCCCCTTTTACGCTTAGGGGGCACCTTTGCCGCTGCGGGATTCCTCCCTCTCTTCTTCACTTCGGTTTCAGGGGGGAGGTGACCAGCACCGTCTCCCCCTTCCACAGCTCCTCCGGCGCCCGCCCCTTCGGCAGCATCCTGACGACCAGCACCAGGAGCTGCGTCAGGGGCGACAGGCTGGGCTCTTGCTCGGCGGTAGCCTCCGCGACCTGTCCTCGCGGCGTTGGCGGCGGCGGAGACGGCTTCCTGCAGTTCTTTTTCCTTCTGCGCCTTCTGTGCCCTTTCTCTCAACATCTTCGCCTTGTCGACCCATTCCCCGGTCTCAAACACCCACACAAACCGAAGGAGAGGGACCTGCCCGCCTCCTCCGGCTTGCGTGGGGTCTCCAACCGCCTCGTAGCGGTGGTAGACATCACGGCTGAACCATGCAGTTCGTGTTAACAACCCAAGTATGGATGTATGAAATGGAGAGATATGTGACTTACGGCTCTTCATCCCCAGACCAGCCTAACCGCACGCGCCAATAGTCGGTGTCTTCCCCTTTGTCTTCATGGTCACCGACAAACAGCATTAAACATCCCACTGTCAAGTACAAGTAAATTGTCAGCTCGGAACTCAGGTGTTCTGTGATCTTGTTCTTTGAGCTGGAAAAAAGGACTTGAAAGAACGAAGCGATGGAAACAATACCTTTTCGTGGGCGAACTACGGCTTTCACCTCGGCCGTCTTGGTCTCTCCTCCAGCTTCTACGCTGGGCTCTCGCGTTTCTTCCTCCCCGGCCTCTTTCGAGGCTTCGCCCTTTCTAGAGGCCATGTTTCTTCCTTTTGGAAGAAAGAGTGTCTTCTGCTTTGGTATAAGCAGATGTGGTTAAATCGGTTTCTTCGATGGCCTTGAACGTGAGGTGTATCAGTCTGAGAAAGGAGACGAAGTTCAAAGCAGGCGGCAAAGAGAATGGAAAGGAAGTGGAGAAAGGGAGAGCAAGATATTTATATCTGTAGGAATGAGAACACTTGAAAATCTCACTCTAGTCTCAACATCTGTAGGTTCAACGTCTTTAATGACCTCGAGGCTGTGTTGCTGTTTTTATTCTTGTTATACTCAATGAAGCTCAACAACAAACAATTATATTTTTGCACTTTTGTCCTTTTGTCCTTCAATATCTCTATGAAAGACTCTAGTCGATTGTTGACAAGCTTATTCTCATTATGGAGTTTGCTCATGATAGCCTTGGATAGAAGAGACACTGTTAGCAAACACATTTTGTTATATCGACAGCAGAACGAGCTTAGCAAACAGTTATGGATCTAGAGTTACAGGGTAAAGCTCCGAGGTATAGATAGTACCCTATACCTTGTTTTACATTGAAGGCATATACAAAACAACTAACATTTATAGAAATCACTTGAAATTTTAAAGCATTGAGAAACAATAAGTCAGGTAGTATCAGCCCATGTAATTCGCTAATATAGCATGAGTATACGTAGAAATTAAGAAGGATAGGCTCAATCAAAGGTGAGTCGTGCCATAGATTCTACATTCTTCTAAGCTTCAATACCGGAATATCTCTCATGGAGAGTACTAAGGACCCTACTGGGACGGACAGCTGCTAATAGCGAGGTCTGTAGTCTGCATTATCAACGCCAAATTTGTCCAGAGTGACACTGACATAGGTTGGTTGGCCCCCTTTTCCCTTGCGAGAGACCACTCCAGTCACTTTTGTGGCTACCACTTGATTCGCAGTGTTCTCATCTGTGGTATCGTCCGCCTCTTTGGTCTGCTGCAGCTTGCTTTTGCGGGGCCGTCTTCGTTTGCCCTGGTTCTCGAGCAGACGTTGTCTCTGTTCTTTCTCAGCAACAGCATGGCGCTTTTTCTCCACGTACTCATAAATATCATAGTCATATTCACGGCAGTCAATTTTGAATTCCTTATATAGGGCCCATGCACGCAAGCGTCTATCGAAGACTGCATCACCAATGCTTCGGATAACGATCTGGCGTGGCTCAGAGTGCTTGGGGAAGAACTGATAGATCAACCTCACATCTTCAATGCGGATCTGGGTGTTGGCCATCTTGTTCATGCGGGTGAGCATGTCTTCACTAACCAACTCCACACAAAGGAGTTTAGCAGCTTCAAAGACTCGGGCGTATTTCGTATAGTTCATGCGCTCAATCCAGGCCAGGCCTTGACCTTCGCAAGACTTGGTCATCCAGTTGAAGATGATGATGAAAGCTTGCTTCAAACCACCGTATAGAGTAGCCACTTTCTCTCCATCGCATCCCTGGCGGTTTACGCGAGCCACACCTATAGCTGGGAAACAATCCTTGAGGACCGGAGAAAAATATGCTATCATGTTCTTCGGAATAGCGTTAAAGAGGACCTGGGGTGCTTCATCAGGCGAAGTTGCATGCATGAGTCTAACCCTAGGCCCGGACCAGAGGCTGTATATGGTCGAAGTAGAAGTTAGGACTGAGGAAGAGAGCAAGAAGGAAGAGCTTGCCTACCTACGAAGCTGAGCACCGCTAAGTCTTCCCATATCTTCTTACTCTCTGCTGTGAGAGTACACTGAACTGGCTCTATGCTACTTGTCAAGGGAGGCTTGAAACTCCTGGCAACAGATCTTCAGCTGTTGAGAAGCAGGGAAGAGAAGGAATCGTGCCAAAAGAAAACTGTGGACTTTATATCACACTCTTTGGCTTTATATTCGTACAAGTCACTGTTTGTGGGCGTGGTGTTGGCTGTGATATCCTAAGCATTGGTATATATATCTTTATGAGTTGGCCATGATTCTTCTTTCAGAGGAGGATAGATATTCAATAAAGACAGTAGGTTGGGTGATATGGAGGCAAGTTCCATATCCCATCACACCCCATCACTATTCTGTGCTGTTGTATTTAAACAAAAGAAAGTACGAAAAGGTGAATTGAGCGGTATTGGTATTCAACTAGCATCCCTTTTGGCAGCCACAGTGACAAACAAGAAAAGGTCACTGTTTAGCAAACAGCAGGGTAATATTATTTTTATTTGGTATCTGGAATGGCCAAGTCAATCGAAGTCCTGGTTTTAGGGACTCGAATGTCATCAAGGGTTGCGTAAGAAGCAGACGTGGGAGAAGACGTAGGCACCTAAAGTCCTCTGTTCAGTTATTATGATCATTTAAAAGTACAATATTTATCCTTTTAAAGGTCCAGCTCGCTTATCATACACTTTCAACCACTCCATTCGTCCAGCCCGTCATACTCAGCCGTAGTTTTCATCAATTTCAGAAGGCCATCCACTGCTGTCTCCTTTTTAGCCCTGGCCATCATCCTTTCGACCGAGCAAGATCCATCTCGGTCAATGATGACAAGGCCCCCTGTATTGCTAACCACTTGCTGTTGCGGTGGATGGCTGTCTGCTGGCTGGCTACGCTCAGAAGCCCCTGCTTGGGGGGCCACCTTCTGCTGTTTCGGGGTAGAATCGTTATCGACACCCATCTTATCACCTCTCTGGGTTGTCGGGTCGGTTGAAGGGCCTGGTTTAGCCTTAGGGGTCACATCGACACCTGTTTCGGCATGCGATGATGAAGGCTTTTGTTGCTGGCCTAGAGATGACGGGGTATTGCAGGACCGGCGGCTCTGTGCTTCAAGCTCCATAAGACGGCGGTCTATTTCGCTGTGATCCTTGATATTCTTCATTGCTGTTTGGACCTTTTCTCGAAGTAGTCCAGCTTTCTACGAAAAGAGATTAATTAACATGTGAGTCAGAGTAAATAGAGGAGAGAAGGTGCTTACCTGCTGAATAAATAATTTACGCGCTGCTGGATCTGTGGGGATAGTAGAGGATGATATTGTTTGCTGTCTAGCAACTTTTTGTGGACGTTTTAGTGAGTTGGATAATGAGTTCACTTTAGTATTATTAGTGTTGTTGATGTTATTGTTGTTACAATTCCCACCGTCAGACTCAAAGCTCAGGTTGAGAAGTGAGGACATGCTGGTACTCTCTTGGGAACACCCTTTCTCAATACCTTTTTCCTGGCCATCAGAGGCTTTATGAGAATACTGCAGGAAGGATGCCTAGATCTGTTAGCAAAACTATCATCAGTAAGGTTGACTTTCTGGTATAAACATACTTCTTTATCTACATCCATACTGGAATGTGTACTCTCATCATAGATATAAAACTCATCCTCCCTCTTATTCTGGCTATTAAACGAGCTGGTAGCTGTACTAGGTCTATGTAGGTCTACATCGACCTGGTCTATACTCCTCTTCTGTCCAACAACCTGGGAAGGAGATGACGGGGTATTATTATTTGTTTGTTTACAAACATCGACTCCAGGGCCCATATCCGGTTCTGAGTTATGACTTCGAGGAGACAAGAGTGCGTTTGTTGTCTTGTTGAGGAGAGCAGGTCGAGGGGGCGCAGAAGGGACTAGGGACATATCTAGAGGTATCGCCGGCTTGAAGAGGGCTTAGAAATAAGGGGAGAAGCTGCTTATGCACTGGTAAACCACGGTCATACCGTCCAAATTGTTTGTGAAGCGGGTGAACCGTAAGCTGAGGCTCCGCGTTCCGAGACGTGGATTGGACGGTGCTTCAGGAAAGGATTCGAAGGTAGTTATCCTAGACCAGGTAATAGATAAAAAAGGATACGGCTGAATATATACTCAGGAGCTGAAACGCACTGCGAACGACTTTCCAAAGCCCTGTCTCTTCCAAAATGATGCTTTGATGTAAACAAGTCGCGTGCTGTATTCACGCGTCGCTTATAGAGCTTTTAGTTACTTAGTTATCGATAAGTGAAGCCGCGATAAAATAGCCGCGGAGTTTCGTTTTCTCCGTCGTTGCATTTTCTTTCGTTCTCTCTTCTTCTCGATCTTGTTTCTTCTTCATTTTAATGGCTAATAGTGTTGCTTTTGTGGTTGCCTTTGGCTCGAGGCTGGAGAGGCCAAAGATGTAGGCTGTACATGTAGTTTGCGACTTGGTGGCATAAAAATGCATCCTTGCGGAATATAAGACTCCCTCGTGTCTTAACATCACTCGTAAAGACTATGAAGAGAAATGACTAGACTGGGTGTCTTTTCTCGTTTTGTGGTTGTGCCCTTGAGGGTTGGGGTGGAATTTTTCCTTGCACCCCACCAAAGAGTGGAAAAGTAAAGTCCATCATCTTCTTGACTCATCCTGCTTCGACTCACCACCATCAACTCAACCACTGAAGGAAGAAACGGGACAAGGCATACTGTCAGAGTGACACTGTTCAGAGCATTGGAGGAATATCTAAATTTTCTATAACCAGAGCAGGCAAGATACTGACGGTAAGAAGTGGCTATTACCTCTCTAGAGATATTTAATCTGACAAGCTCGTCACCAGATGCCTGTACTTACCGTTGCCTTGAAGGCTCCTGGAGAGACTATTCTCCCGGCTGTTGCGGTCGCCAGCTGTCTCTTGGAGGCCAATCCTAAGGCTGGACTGTCCATTCTCTACGAGGAAGTTGACAAAATCGGAGGCAAGGGCGGAAAGGCAGAGCTCAAGCTCGACGACGGTACCTTGCTCTATGACGAAGAGATCATCCCTTATCTGAGAGACAAGTATGAGGTTCTCCAGGCTGGAAACAAGGAGCAGGTAGATTTTCCATCCACGTCTACATCTTGTTCAACCACTGAAATCAGCAATCCCTCTAACCGCCGTACCTAGGTCGATGAATGGCTGAAAAGAGCTCTCGAGTTCAGATTACCGGACTTCAAAGCAATGGATAAGCAGATGAAGGAATTGGAATCCCATCTTACGCTCCGTTCTTACATCGTGGGCTATGGCTTGACATTGGCCGATTTGGTCGTTTGGGCCACCCTTCGCGGCAACCGTGTTACGTCTGGAGCTGTGAAGAGGTTTACAAACAGTGTTGGCAGATGGTTCAACTTCATCGAGACTATGTACCCATGGATAGGTCAGGGTGCTGCTGAGATGGCTGCTGGAGCCATGAAGAAGAGAGCGGCAGCCAGTGCAGCTGGTGCCAGTTATAACATTGGGCTTCCTGATACCGAGAAGGGCGTGGTTACTAGATTCCCACCAGAGCCATCTGGTTACCTTCACATTGGCCATGCCAAAGCTGCGTTGCTCAATGACTATTTCGCCCATGAGGCATACAAGGGGACGCTCATTTGCCGATTTGACGACACGAACCCTTCTAACGAGAGCCAGGAGTTTGTGGATGCGATCACTTATGACTTGTCTTTGCTGGGAATCTTCCCTGACAAGATTTCATTCTCTAGCGATTATTTTCAGCAAATGTACGAGGACTGTATCAAAATAATCAAAAGTGGCAATGCCTATGCAGATGATACCGAGAAGGAGCAGATGCAGCATGAAAGATTTGAGGGAATTGCTAGCAAACGTCGAGACGAGAGCATTGAGGACAACTTGGCTCGGTTTGCCGAGATGAAGACTGGATCTGAAGAGGGCCAGAGATGGTGCATCCGTGCAAAGATTTCCGTTGACGATACAAACAAGGCCATGCGGGATCCTGTTATCTATCGCTGCAACCTGACTCCTCATCACCGAACCGGAGATACCTGGAAAATATACCCCACATACGATTTCTGTGTCCCCATCCTCGATTCCTTAGAGGGTGTCACCCATGCTCTGCGGACCAACGAGTATAACGACCGAAACCCACAGTACGCCTGGTTCCAGAAGACTCTTGGGATCCGCAGCGTCCATATTTGGGACTTTTCGCGCCTCAACTTCATCAAGACATTGTTGTCCAAGAGAAAGCTAACCAAGATCGTTGATCAGGGCATGGTCTGGGGCTGGGACGATCCGCGAATGCCCACTATTAGGGGTATCCGTCGCCGTGGTATGACTATACCTTCGCTACGTGAGTACATCCTGAAGCAAGGGCCGAGCCGCAACATCATCAACATGGATTGGACTACCTTCTGGTCCAATAACAGAAAGTATATTGACCCGACCTCCCCCCGCCACACGGCTATTGACCAGGAAGACATGGTGCCAGGCACTGTGTCCGGTGCCACCGACCTCGAGCCCAAGGAGAAACCAAAGCACCCCAAGAACCCTGAGCTCGGCACCAAGACCGTTTACTACTCGACGGACATCCTGTTTGAGCAGGAAGACGCCAAATCGTTCAAGCAGGACGAAGAGATCACCCTGATGAACTGGGGTAATGCCATCGTGCGCAAGATCACCACCGACGCAGCAAGCGGGAAAGTCACCGGTCTGGACCTCGAGCTCCATCTCGAAGGAGACTTCAAGAAGACGGAGAAGAAGGTCACCTGGCTAGCCAAAAACCAAGACCTAGTTCCAGCTGAGATCTACGAGTTCGACTACCTCATCACCAAGGACAAGATCGAGAAGGACGAGGACTTTGAGCAATTCCTGAACCCAAAGACAGAGATCAAGCACACCGTCTTTGCTGACTGCAACCTGGCCACGTTGAAGAAGGGAGAGAGCATGCAGTTCGAGCGCAAGGGCTACTACATCCTCGACCGGGAGCCCAAGGATGGTCAGCCTGCCATCCTGTTCAACATCCCGACCGGTAAGTCTGGATAGGCATCAACCGGACGAAAGGTGATACACTCTCTATGTAACTAGCTTAACCTGTCCATCACCACATGAGAGAGACAGCTACTTCTATGGCATCCCCAAGCCTGTCCTCCCGTAGTAGTTAGTAACCAAATAAAACTGTTTAAACCGTCAGACGGGACCGATCTACTCTGCCTCGGTAGATCGTCGTCCTCCCTGAATATCGCATGGCCAGCGGATGCAACATCTCGTCCAAACCACCATACAGATCAAGGTCTGTCCGACAGGCATTAATAGCGTATTGCAATCACGACTGAGCATGCTGTGCGATGCAGACGGTCCACGCCCGTCCCCAGTGTGATACAGAACGACCTATCAGTCCACCAACCACTATCAACTAAACCAGCGCCCATCGCATCGTCGTGGAGAACTCGCCCACCATCGCGGGGGATGAAGCTGCCATGCCATGGGTTCATCGGCGTCTCCACCGCGGTGTCTGCTTAGTGAGTTACCCCAGACGGTCGCCGGGAGCCAGTGTCGCTTTTGCTGATCAGCCGCTTGCAGGAGCAAGTGACGCCGCCGCCTGACTTGCCCTTGAACCCCCCAAGGCTTTCTCTCCTGCCCGCATCCATAGTAACTATACATGCGATGGCCGATACATAAACCCCAAGCAAAGGGCCTCTTCGATGAAAGATAGATAACTAGTTGACACGACTCCTTTTTTTCTCGCTCTTCCATCTGGCGAAAAAAGCAGCCATGTTGCCCTGGGTCCTGCTCGCGTGGGCGGTGGCTTACTCCGCCGTAGCTGGAGCTTCTCGACTTACACCCTCAGTCCTGCCGTTGATCGTTAGAAACCCCTATCTCAGCACCTGGCTGGCCGATGCGAGACACGAGCCGTGGTCGTCATGGCCTATCTTCTGGACCGGCCAGCATATGGGCATGAGTCTCATGGCTCACGTCCCCAGCACGGGGAATACATATCCATTGCTTGGAAGACCCCACGACTCCCTGGGAGAGAACAATCCGAAGAATGGGTGAGTATGCTGTCGGTAGGTCTACTGCTCCGTTCTAACGGTATATAGATATAACGTATCCTACGCACAGTTCCTGGGGTCAAAGTACGATGCCTCGACCACGAACATGACCTACCTGATCCAGCCAGAGGGTAAGCATCTGGCCGGTGAATCGGTCAAGATAACCATAACCTTCCTCTCACCAATCACTCCGACCTCGACCCTGCGTCAGGCTATTCCGGCCGGTTACGTCACCGTTCGTGTGGAAGGGAACTTGAACGTCAACATCTACATGGACATGAACGGTGAATGGGTCACGGGTGACCGTGGAAGCTCCCTTGTCTGGCAGATGGACAACATCGTTGACACTGTAGAGGAGAAAGCTCTCTATCAGTGGCAGGTCCGCAGGAAGTCAGAGCAGCTTTTCACCGAAATCCAAGATCGCTCGGAATGGGGAATGCTACACTTCCTTGCCCCTCAGGTAATACCTTCATACTTGATTGTATATATTCAATTCTAATGGTGAATAGGGTGTGAGGTATGAATCTGGAACATCGATGCTCTTGAGAACGAGGTTTGCAAGAACTGGTGTCTTGCAAAATAGAAATGATGAGCGTTTCCGTACCGTCATGGACGAGGAGCCTGTCTTTGCTTACTCCAAGGCATTCAACCTCAACGGAACCGATGACAAGCCCAACACAGAAGTCATCCATGATGAGGTGACCTTCACCATTGCTCATACCCAGGATCCTGTCGTCCAGTTTGCCTCTGCTCGCGGACTGACCTTCATGAAACCTCTCTGGGAATCATACTTCCCAGACGTGAGGAGTCTCCTTTATTTCCACTACTTTGACTTTGACAAGGCCAGAACACTTGCCCACAGATACTCAAACCAGCTTGCAAGGGATGCACAGCTCTCTGCAGCTGAAGACTATGTAGACATCGTTGCCCTTACCGCCCGGCAGGTTCTCGGTGCCACCTCCTTCTCCGGCACCTCGGATAACCCTCTTCTATTCCTCAAGGAGATTTCTTCCAATGGAAACTGCCAGACTGTGGATGTCATATTCCCTTCATTCCCCTTCTTCCTCTACACCAACCCTAGATGGCTAGCCTATCTCCTAGAACCACTGATTGAGCATATGCTAAGTGGTCAATATCCGAACAATTACTCCATGCACGATCTAGGTGCACACTTCCCTAACATGACTGGGCATCCTGATGGTAAAGATGAGTACATGCCCGTTGAAGAATGCGGTAACATGCTCATCATGGGCCTCTCTGTCGTGAATTCCCTCAGATTCCCACCAGAGATGAACACCACAGCACCCTGGTACCCCGGCTCTCTCGGATCCCAGGCTGTTGAACCAGATGCTGGACTGTTCCCTCTCCGCGATCTCCAGACCGTTGGTGGCATTGACAAGCTTGACGGCGTTTGGGGGATCAGCCCTGAGGCCTCTAACCTGGCACGAAAATGGGTCGAGAAGTCGTATAGATTATGGAGGCAGTGGACCGGTTACCTTGTGGAGTTTTCTCTCGAACCACATAACCAACGTAAGAGCCCAGGACACATATATATATTACTCAATGGAGTGTCATGCTTTGCTAACTACCCTTTTAGTTTCAACTGATGACTTTGCCGGATGGCTTGCCCTTCAAACAAACCTCGCATTGAAAGGCATAGTTGGCATCAATGCAATGAGTGAAATGTCAAACTTCGTCGGAAACACCGAGGACTATAAGTACTTCAAGGTCAGTCATATTGCATTGCCGACACGATAAAACAAACCACAACTGACTAACTGCCACTAGAACATCTCTGATACTTATATCACAAAATGGGAAGGCTTTGGATTCTCTAGAGATGGTACCCATGCCAAGCTTTCATATGACTGGTATGGCTCCTGGACCACTCTCTATAATATGTTTGCGGACGCTCTTCTCTGCTTCCATCTTGACGGAACAGAGTACGATACCCACCCCCGTAAGCTTGATAACCAGGAACCAATTACTCCTCCACCGGACAAAGTTGGCTTCATCCCAAGGCGTGTCTACGAGAAACAGTCAAAGTGGTATGCCAATGTACGTCAGAAGTACGGGCTTCCCCTTGACAGCCGTCATCTCTACACAAAGTCCGACTGGGAGTTCTTTGCCATGGCCGTCTCCAGTCCGTCTGTGCGAGGCGAGATCCTTCAATCAGTCGCTAAATGGGTTAATGAAACCTCTACCGATCACCCGCTCACCGATCTCTATAATACAGAAGGAGACGGTGGCTACCCAGGGCCAAATTTCTTTGCTCGACCTGTTGTTGGTGGACATTTTGCCTTCCTTGCTCTAGAGAAGGCTTGTAATGGCAAAGCAACCGAAGGGCTTAAGTTCCTGGAAGGCAAGGGTAAAAACTCTCCTGATGAGGGTGACTGGGGTGACAACGATCCCCACGACGGAGGCTCCCAATCACCCATTCAAGACTCAGACGGCTCAAAAGTGAAAGTTGGAGATGAAGATCAGCTTCCCATTCTGGGTATGGATGGCTCGCAAATGACGATAGTCAGTGACGACGAAGATTGAAATCGCTCATTGTTTCCTTGATATTGTTTACTCTTTCCCTCCCTCCAATCCAATTGGCACTACATGGCCACGACGGTTCCTTTATATATAGCCCTTGCTTCGATATGGCGTTCATTTCGGACATTCATTCAATGCCCATGTGCATTTGTTCTACTTGCTTAGAACCCCCTTTTTTGATGTTAGATCATGATTCTATGTCCTCCTTGGCAAGGCGAGAGAATAGACTACTGCCACGCTTTTCTGCTGGTCAAGTTAAGAGACAGTTTGGCTTTCCCGTAGACTATATACAGGGAATCAATCAGATCGATGTTTTAATCATTTCTTGCCCCTGTAAATTCTAATACGATACATAAAAAGTGATACATAAACAGTCGAGAAACTAAACGGCCAACACAATGGATATAAATGAGAGACTGGGTTTAGTTTAGGGTCCGTCAAGTCAATAAAACCAAATGTAGTTGAGAAATTGAAAAATACCGATAACAAGAGATGAAAAGAAGGGGGAAAAATACAGAGAATGAACAGAAATGGTGAACTCGCAACGCCGATTTTTCTGTTTCATCTTTTTTTGGTCTTTTTTACGTCTGAGGGAAAGAGGAACTAATACTGCATGCATAAGAGAATCAAAAGCCGAAGTATTTACCTCCGCATCCAAGGGAATGGAGGGTTAGGCATAATATTGTTGTTGTACTGAGGACGGGACTCGGTACGACGAGACAAGGCAGCAAATAGGCCCTCACGAGCCCTCCTGCGGGCCGAGGACAGTGGCCTGCGTTCTGAAACCACAGAATCATACCAATCCCTACTGGCAGCCGAAGGACGGTATCTTGGCCTTGGTGCTTCGGTAGTAAATCCGCTCGAACGAGCCTGAGCAAGGAGTAACTCGAGAGCATTGGGCGTTGGATCCCTAGCCTGTCGACCGGCGGGCAGGTAATTGTAGCGTGACACATATCTTTCTTCACCGTTCTCATTGTATATGAGCATGGGGACCAGTGGTTCGCGAACAGCCATTCTGTGTGGTGGTAGCCGTGGAGGTGGAGAGGGAGAAGGAGAAGGAGACTCGACTTGGACGAGGCGAGGAGGGAGAGTAATTTCTCTAGTGACAGTTTGACCCTCGGAGGCCCAGCCTAGTTGGCGGAAGGGGAGTGAGTTCTTGTAGATTTCATAGCTTCCGCATGCTGAGGACTTCTTTGGTGGTGGCTCTAGGAGCCTGGGTGCAGGTGAAGGGGGAGGTGGAGGAGATGGGCTCTGGTAGACAGTTTTCTCCTCGACAGGGACGGTGATAGCATCGTGATCCACGAGGCTGGCTGAGTTGTAAGTAGTAGCAGCTGTGATAGGGGTATCTGTGAGGGACGGGGTGGTAGCTGAGGTGTTTGTTTCTGAGCCCGACGTAGGTTGCTCATCGTGATATTCATCTCTATAGGCTTTGATACTCGCTTCTTCGGCATCATTCTCATATCCATGGTGAGTTTCATTGAAGTTGCTTTTGGCAAACCCTGGCGTAGCTACTTCGCGTAGTTTCGAGGGAGTTTCCTCCCTTTCTTCGAGGGTCGAGGGATAGAGAGGCGCTGAACGCATGCCCATTGCATACCCGTCAGCAAGCTTCAGGCTGTCGAAATCGAGGTTATAAGGGTATTCGGGCTCGTATCCGAAGTTGACTCTGGGCTCAGGGCCGGGGCTGCTTAAGGAGAAGATCGAACAGGTTGAATGGGCGGTGACTGGCGTCTTGACGACTTGATAGTAGAAATCCATCTTTGAAGCCAGTTTCTAGTGGTCTCAATGGTATTCTTCGAATATGAAATTGATCTTCGAGAAGAAATGAGGCGGTTGTAGGTATCGGAGGTGCTTGAAAGGAGATCAAGATATCAAAAGGCACTGAGTATGAATTGAACGAGCAGAGACTTTGTTACCCCCTTAGCCGCTTAACTTGATACTCCCAGCCACCTCCAGGCGTACTCAACCTTGATAGACGAGCCTAGAAGCAAAACGCCTTTGTTCAAGTGCGCGGGGTCTGCAGAATTTTCTCTATTGTCAAGTATCAAAGTGGTGTTCACTGCGTTCAAAATCAGGGGGCTGGGAGAATGTGAGATATAAGCAAAGGTTGCAGTGGAGGAGTTCCAATTTGAAAAGATAACATATACTAATATAGATATTACTTTCAATGAGAAAGTGATATCAAAACTAATGGGGTTTATCCAGTTAATCAAAGTAATATATGATAATTTTGGGCATTGATAGTATTCACTACCGGCTACCAGCAGAGGCTTTGTTCATATATCCCATAAGACAGGCATAACCTATCACTGTAATGTCTAGAATGGGTATATTAGAAGCAATAAGAAGGGTATAAGGATAAAAAGACAGGCCAGCAATCTGATATAAGTCGTTTAATTCTTCTTTTCCAATTTTTTTGTCCCTAGTAAACGTTAGAACGAAGACTCGCCCAAACCCATTTCTACATATCTTGCGTAGTGCCTTGAAGAGACATCCAGTACCTTTTCCCCCTATAAGGCGCAGGGCAAACCAGACACCGTCCACGCGCCTCTAGAGGGAGAGAGAAATCAACAAGTCAGACTTATGAGATGGACGGAAAAGAAGAGTTGATAAACGGAAGCGAAAAAAATGAACACGAAAAGGGGGCCAGGAGAGAGAAGGAGACGGAGAGAGAAAAGCGGATTAATTTGTAGAACAAATAGTATCATGACGGAGAAGACAGAATAAAAGACTGGAAGAAGAGAAGAAGTTCATAAAGGTATGAAACAAATATTCGCTTTCAATTGTTTCCCAATGAGTTTTCCCCCTCCCATGATCAGTTTTGTTTGGAAGTAGTAAAAACAAAAAGAAAGGGCCTTTTATTGATTCTCTGCTTAGACGAAATTTTTTTAATCGCATCGAGAAAAAAAAAAGTTATTTGTTAGGTTGCAGAACTTGCAGACCAGCGTTTCCTGGGAGCTGATCAATATACATGTAAATCCGCTTATTTGCCTCCGAGAGAAGGGAAGTTCTTCTCGTCGACGGTAGGGCCGGAAGCGTGGGGAGGACCGCCACGAGGAGCTCCGCGACTGTTTCCACGGCCGCCACGGAACTCACCACGTCCACCACGACCACCACGACCACGGCCACGGAAAGAGTCACCGCCTCGTCGGGGTGCCTCGACGAAACGCATGTCGACCTCAAGGACGTTCTTCTCCTTGCGTTGGCGCTCTCGCTTGGTCTCCTTGCTCTGACCCTTGATGTAGGCCTCTTCGTCGTCGTCGCGCTTCAGCTCCTTGGCGTTAGCCCACTTCTTGTCGGCCTTGGTTCCTTCGTTGGCCTTGCGGGATTCCTTTGCACTGAGTTCGAGTTTAGACTCAGCTTGCTCAGCAAGGTAGTCGGCATATGATTTGCTCTTGTCCTCTGGCTCCTCCTCTGGCTCCTCAGCGTTGGCCTCATCGGCTTCCTTTTCATCACTCTGGGCAATGTCTTCTCCGGCACGCTCGTCCTTCAAGTTGGACTCGCCAGAGCGGGATCCCCAGCCCTGTTCGACCTGCTTGTCTGTGACACTGCGGATAGGCATGTTAACTACCACCGTACCATCATAAAAAGAGAGAGAGGTAAGACATACACTCGGTCAGTGCGAGAGTGACGGTCTTCGCGGATCATGTTACCACGGGCGTCACGGTTCTTGTGGGCAGCTGGTTGAGCCCGGTCGCTGGGGCCATCGGTAGGCCTGTTGCGGTTGTTTTGAGATCCAGCATTGCGGTCGCGGAACGCTATTATAACCAACACCCCCCGGTTAGAAAAGAGTATTCTTATACGGTTAAGTTGTTGTGGTCGTGCACGTCCACGTGACATCATAGTGGAAAAATCGCCACAGCCAAAAGGTGGGCTTGACAATAAAAACATGAGTGTGTTTATTTACCTTGCTCGTTTGTAGGAAGTCTGGGACCACGGTTGTTGGTACGTGGAGGAGCAGTGTCGCGAGGCTCATTCGGGCCATCACGCTTTCCGCGGCGAGGAGGGTTCTTGTCAACGACCTTCACTGGAGGTTCCGGCTCTCTGTTAGGGTCGAGCTCAGGGTCGTTGCCTGTAGATATCGATATATATGTTAATTCCTGTAGATTCAACAGTAGTCACAGCCCAGCTAAGGGTATGCAGAACACGGTATCTCTGCGAGAGTGACGCTTTATTCGGTGGGTGGAAGATACGAATCATACCAAGAAGCTCGTATGGGTTCTACATAATATGAAAAGCAAATGTCAGCCTATGCCAGCCCTTTGCAAAAGTCGAAACGACCTCCAATCTCGCTCAATTGGACCGTACAACAGCCGCCAAACAAGCGAGCGAGCGAGTAAGAGAGTGCAAGGCGAACGAACCTTGGACCGGACGTCCGCCATGACGCCTGGATTTGATATTGCCTTCCTTGGAAGGCTTTCTGTTTATTGCAACAATTCGGGGATATGGAGCGACCTGGGACTCCAGAGCAGAAGGCAGAAACCCCTAGCAAGAATAGGAATTCGGCCTCTTGTGCTGTGGCGATGGGGATGGTTGTAGGTTGTCGAGGTTGCGACGGTGTTTTTTTTTTCCCTTGCCTTTTTTTTTGGGTGGTTTTAATTTGCCTTCATTTGCGCGCCCGCTGGGAAAAAAGTGCGCTAAGCCTGTTTCGGGTGCATCTTTTTTGTTTTTCTCCTTCTGGTTAAGCGAGTTTGTTTGGGGTTTGCCGGAGATATAGTCGGGCCGGCGCTTCTTACGGAAAATCTTAGGGCTTAGGGTAGCTGTACCAAAGAGGAAGGACGATCTGATAGGATGAAGATGGAAGAACAGTTATATAAAAAAGAGATGTAGCGATGGTACATATGCTGAAATCAAGTCGTCCTCTCCAAGAATATGAACTAATCCCGAGATGCCTCCAGCATTGTCCATACATAAAGTGGGTATCAAAAGAAGTCTCTTATTTTACTCTCCTGCGCTCCTTATCCCCTCCCTCACACCCCCCCAAATAAGGGGGGAAAAAAGCAACAAGTAAACAAGCACATAACGCCTCGAAAATGCAGAGCAGACCTCCCTTCTTGATCTGGCTGTAGATCCCTTCCTCCACTTTCATAAGCAAGTCCCTGATAAATAATATACTCCTCATCCATGAAACACCTCATATCTCTTCTATGTCATCATAACATAGACCCATGTCGACTGGGCCGGTCAACACCTATATATAAATAGTTTCCATCACACCATGTCAGAGTCTTGTTCCTTTCACTGCCGCCCTTGGCCTTGGGCATAGGTAAATGGTGTGGGGAAGTGCATGCTGGCAGACAGGCCGAATGGGTCAGGATCCATCATCGGATCATATTGTTCAATGTATGACGAGCTAGCTGTCATGGCTTCCGCATCTCCGCTGCTCGAGGTTGGGTTGTGCCGTTGCTGTATACGTGGCAGCGGCTGCTGAGACTGGTAGTCTACCGGGCTGCCCTCTGACGGATCCGGTCCATCCACGGAACTTGAACGAGCGTCATATTCCTGCTCTGCACTACCAGTGTTAGCAAGGCCAATACTCAAGGGGAATAACATGTATAAATCGATGGGATAGGGTGGTTCGACTTGCCTAACTGGTTATATTGCTTTTGAAAGGGTGAAAGATAGTAGGTTGGCGGTATCCGAGAGGGAAGGACTGGCGTAGGCTCGATGCTTTCGGCCGAAGCAGAGGTAATTCCCGGACCAAAACCGCCTGGCTGAGTAGAGATCTGAGGTCGATGATAGGGGTGAGGCTTGTACTGCTGCTGCTGGCTATGCATCTCAGCCGTGGGAGATATGCCCCCTTGCAAGCCAAACGCTGGAGACTTCGTTGCTACTGGCGATGATACATGGGATGTCGGAGTAGGCTGTAGCTGCGGGGAGTGCATAACATAGCTGCTCTCACGGCGTACGTGTGACACTGAGATAGGTTCGAGCTTCTGGACCAACCCGGCCTGGCCTGGGGGGCTTTGTGCCAACGGTGATGCGTGAGATGGTTGACTGGTTGGCGGCAGCCGGCTAGGTGGTAGATTTGGGCTGCCACCCCTGAGACGTAACTCGGCTTGCACATCGACGCCTATGGATATTGTCAGCATTGGCTCTGGGAGAAGAGAAGTAGTAGGTTTTCATATGATTAATGTACCTTTCTCCAAAAGGATCCTTTCTAGTAACGAATTCTTGTACCGCAACATCAGACACTCGTCCGCAGCGTTGCGGTGGCTCTGTTGTAGGCCATGTAGAGCTTCTTCGTTATGCTTTATCGTGGTCTCTAGCTGTTTTATGTATTCGGTCCGCCTCTCACGAAAGGCTGCTTGCGCCTGTCTATTTCGTTGTTTCCGCTCTTCAGAAGTGGCATAGATCTGAATTAAACAAAGGTAACAAGTAAAAAGGGGGGCGCAGGAAGCACCAGGTACCGTCCGTTAGCCATCATATACAAATGCAATGTTAAAACAAGCATATAGCGGTGCATGGCAAGAAGAGTGACAAGAATGTCTAATCTCCCTCCCAGGAAAGGCTATCTACCTACTGGCTTTCTTCCCCCCTTGCGCTTCTGTCTCTGGACAGTGTCCTGGACAACAACTTCCCCCTCCGGTTCCGGTGTAGATAGAGATGAGCTGCATGATCCTTCGATTGTGTTATTCGGCTCAGACTTTGTAGTTACTTCGTCCATATTGACGCCATTCCTTGATCCGCTATGGTCGATGGGTACAGATCTCATCTGGTAGTGATGGTATTGGTCTTGGTCCTAGCTTTTATTTTTCTTATGCCTCCCTGGGAACCGTAGGTAAGGGGAGATCCTATTCCCCCGCAGGAATGCAAACAAAAGCCACCTTGAGCTGGATTGGGCGAAGGATGAAACTGGCGTCACGAGTACAGCGCAGATAGGGTGCACCAATTGGTCATAGGCGAAAGAAGCGCGCGGCTGCCGAGGGACGTGAGCAGAAGTGTGAAAAAAAAAAAAAGTATTGAAGCTATGAAGCAGTTTTGTTGTCTAAGATATAGTGGCTCCAAGTCGACTGAGCATATCCATCCGGTGGGCTCGAGGATGTGGGATGTGGAGAAGAACGATAGTTGGACTGGGGAAGTATCCAGGGAGGGAAGAGAGAGAGAGAGGGAGAGAAAGAGAGGGAGAGAAGAGAGCCGACGGCGCTGTTCAGTATAAGTATTCCCTCTCTTTCCTGTTCACAAAAAGCTGGAGGGATTTACTGGTCCAAGAATCACGATGGCTTTTGCATCAAGCAACAGATGCGAGCTCGCAGGGGGAACGCCGTCCGTTTTCTACCCTTGCCCCCAGAGCCTAGCTCTCCAAGTCCTTGCGTCTTCTCTGGAGATCTAGAAAACTGTTGCTTATGCTATCCCTTGTTTAGGTGGGAACTCTCTTTTCCCTTTTCTGGCACATCTTCCCTCCTGTCCGTTCCCTTGGGGCGTTTTCGCTCTCTCCCTCTTTTTTCCTTCTCTCTTTTTTTAAACCTTTTCTTTTTTTTTTTTTTTTTTAAACAGAACTCCAAGTGGACACAAGAGGCGGCCGCGATGTGTGGATGGCGGCAGGGCAACAGAAGGTTTAGGTGAAAAGGAGCTGGGCCAGTCATGGGGTTGATAGACGGGGTGTCTCTTTTTACGCCGTAACTAATCCTCCTTCCCGCCGTCCACTAAGTTAGGCTGCGCGCCCTAGATGAAAATTTTCATAGCAGCAAGTTTTCGTTTAAAGGGCTGAAATGTGTTCATTGAAGGTGATGCTTTTTTTCTCTTGCCCTTCGCTTGGGAAGTTAGACGCTTCATCTCTCCTCTCCTCTGCAAAATACGTGTGTACTCCGTAATGCGCCCCCCCGAAAGCCTCCTGTACGAGCATCACGGCCAAGCATATGGAGTACGTTGACCCCCTTCCCCAGAGCCTCCCTTTTTTCGATTCGGTTTGCGCAGGCTGGACGTGTGAACACGGTTTTTTCGTCCCCTTTAGCTGTTTCCCCAAACCAAGGGGGCTGTGGGGGAGGAGAGTCAGGCACTTGGCCTTTTCCCCCTAGCTATGTATGGACGAATTCCAGAAAAAAGCCTAATAGTCTGGAAATTATCCGGGGGGAACCAAGTCGTGAGAAAATCACTCAACAGTTGATGATCCCCCTTGGTTAGTTCAAATCAGCGTTGAAAAAAGTACGAGGTAACCTAAACTTGCAACCCGTTTCAGTGGATGTGAATTATAGAGTCCATCGTCTTGTACGGACATATCTACTCTGTGCTTGCATCTCTCAAGACTGTCGAGGAGAACGGATAACGGCCTCGTGCGTTTTCCCTTGAGGCTTTCTTTGCAAGGTCAGCCGGGGAGACCCTTGTCAACGCATATCAACAGAGAACTATAGCAGAGTGGTCGCAAGCGTATTATTGCATCTTCTTATCCAATCGGATCATGACTTTCCCATCGGGAAAGTCGGGTTGCTTATTCTTGTTGTCTTTTTTTTTTTCCTTTTTCCTTTCCAAAGGCAGTTGCTTCGCTCGCGGCAAGGTAGTTTATCTGGGCAAGCCATCGCCAGGCATAACACCTCCACTGACCTTCCGGAATCGTTATCCGTTACCATCGATCAAGCCTTTCTGATCAAGCCAGAAACAAGCTTGCCCAAGACATGAATCCTTTGATGCATCAAGCCTAGCGGTTCTACCTTCGCAGAACGGAGGCGAAGGACTAGCCGAACTATAGTCTGGCTGTTAGTGACATCCATAACCTTCGATCCCCAAAGCTCGGAGCCGGGGAATAGGCTATCAGTCAGCAATATCAGGATGATGCGCAACGTCCAAGATTTCGCGAGACAGAGAGAGAAATAGAGAGAGGGAGGCCGTGTGAAAAGAAAAAATGGCCAAGTCACCACAGAAGTGACAGGTGCTCTATATCTCAAACGCAGGCCAACAATCCCCCATGTCGTTCCTCCATCCTCTTACTATGTAGTCCTGCAAGCAGGTCCTGCGAGCCTCGCTTCGAGGTTTGTGGCGGCCGTGCCTCTTCTTCTGTTGCTTTGCCGTTCACAAGTCGCTGAACCAGGGACGCCTTCGATCTATTGATTCGACTTGCAACCATCACCCCCGTCTTCATGCCCAAATGTTGGAATACGCCACCGCTCCATGGGTGTTTGTCTCTCACTGGGCGAAATTTTCTGTCTGTGTGTGTGTATGTGTAGATGCACTGCCTGGGATCCTGGCCTATACTGACTTTTTTTCTTTTCTCTTGAGTTGCTTTGCTTGTGGTTTTTTGCCGTTGGTTTTTTTCTTTTCTTTTCTTGATCTCGGGCGAGTCGCTTAGTCATTGTCGGGCGTCTTCGCCGATATATATCAACATTCTGGCAAGGGTGGGTGGAAGAGACGGTGATTTGAATATGGAGAAAGGGAAAACAAAACATGGAGAAGGGGAGAGGAGAAGAGGAGAGGAGAAGAGCGGCATGATACTGCAGGTGATCGCTACAATTTCCTCGGCCATGTTTTATACTAATTGTTCAAATCTCGCTCCTTGCAACTGATCTGGCCCTCCCCCGGTGCCAGGAGCATACCATAGCATGGCAACTCCCGAAAGCCCAAACATAGAAGCTGGAATGATACCCTTACTAGGCACTGTACTACTTCGTATAGTCGATGGCTGATGCTCCTTTCCAACGGCCTATACGATGATGCAAAAAGTCAACACTACAACCGAACTATAGTACATAGTAGAAGTCAGGGCATCACCCATTTTGATAGGTGGATACAAGCAAGAAACGGCCCGAGTTATTCCCCCAAGCCACCTTTGGGGTCATATATTGTACTACGTTAGTATGTGCATGTACATATACAGCTTCGACTTAGCGGGAGATCGTACCATGCAGTTGTCTGACAGGGAAGATCTCAATCATGGATAAAACTGTTTGGCCGGAGCCTCAGTGACCAAAATGAGGGGATCGACCTTTATCACACGTTTGGGATCACGGCCAACCCCAGCTCCGTGGAATGATCCCCCTTGAAACTGGTTAATTTCATCAGGAGAGCCCTGCTTCTGGGTGCTGCCCATGGGCCATTCGGGGAAGAAATCTGTGGTGCAGATAGAAGTTGGTTTGTGCTGCCAAGATGACGATGCTATGGAGAGCAATATATCGAGGACCCAAGATCGACCTCTTCCGGAGGTCGGGAGGAAGGGCGGGGTGTGGAAACCTGTGCATGGTACATTCTTCGATACATGCTAGATGTATATCGGGCGATGTCAGGAACAGGGGTCCTACGGGTGTAGATGTATAAACGCACCCCTTACTTTGTAAAGCCCTTACCGCCATTTTACGCAGAGTAGATTCCGGAGTTTATCAGATGAACACGAGGTTTGTTTCTAGTTGCGCTCCCCAACTTGTTTTGGCGTTATTGATATATATGGTAGACATCTCAAGTGTACGTTCATTCGCCATTAATATAAAGATAGTAGAATATAACTAGCCAAAGTAGGTTTGAAACAGACACGGGGTTTCTTCCGATAAGACCATTACCCTGAAGTGACGTAGCTACAGCCAAAGCCAGACACCCTCTATAAAACTATATATGAAGACATGAGGGGTAACGTAAAAAGGGGGGAAGGAGAGTTGCAAAACTATATGTACCCCGGGGAAATGGAGTATATACTCCATTTATTTCACCGAAACATAAACAGGTTTACGTCGTCGAAATTGTATCAGAACCCGAATTTTGAGCCAAGGGCTGGAGTGTTTGATATCAGCACGTTGTATCTTCCTTACACTTTAATGTCATGGATGTAAGGAGCATTGACTTACCCCCAAGTACCGCCTTCTTCTTTTGGTTCTTTACAAACTTGTTAACATCATCGGCTAGGCCGCTACTGCTCTCTCCAAGGCGATCCATGCTATCACCCATAATGTTCAGGTTTTCGGTTCTCTCTTGCATCTGCCTCTGCATATAAGCCCAGTATGATTCTTGTGAACCCTGTGGATTAGAAGTATTAGGTTTAGGCAGACGGCCTTCACGTTCTGCCCGTTGGCGTTCTTGTTCTTCCAGTCGCATTTGCTCAATCATGCGCTTAGATGGGGGGCGATTCGGGCCTCCAACTACCGTAAGATTATGTCAGATTAGATTTTGAATAAATCGATCGGGATTAGTAACTCACCTAATAAATCAACATCTGCTGTTGATACAAACTGGGTTCCGGATATCCATTGGAGATTGGATATAGTAGGACGAGGCGGAGGGATAGCTTGGGGGTTAAATAACCTGTCTGCTGACCGGAGCCTATATAAAATGATTACTCAGTTATAACAATGTCCAGAAGGAGGAGGATTACATTTTCACATACAGTGGACTGCCGACGCCCCAAACGTGAAGCATGACCATTTCTGATGGCCCGCTCCATGCAAGAATATCTCCCGAAGGCGATATTCGAGCATCCCCTAGTCTCCTGGTATCGAGAATTTTGCCGATACTTATGGAGCCAATCTCTTTTAGAGCTGGTATGGAGTACGCTCTAACTTTCCCGTCACCAAACAAGCCTACGAGGCTATAACCCCCAGATGAGTGAACAACCGAAGCAGAGTCACACATGAAATCATCCCAATTCTTGTGAGCGCCTTTAGACGTGGCAGGCTTGAATATACGGCAACTAGAGGGTGTCACTGCAATTATAACTCCACTGACCCTCTCTCCTTTTCGTAGATCTGAGACTGCTTCTTGCGTGGCTAGGGCTGGAGTACCAGTTTCGGAATTAGTAGGACAAATAGATAGTACCCGGTCATCCAGATTGATTGATCCAACAAAAGATACGGTATAGGTTGACGAGGACGAAGGGAGGATTTTGAAAGTAGCCAAGTGACCATTGTTGGTACCAACAAAACAGCTGATACTTGAGTAATCTAGGCATAATTAGTATCGAGCATGAGAGAAAGCCTTTCGGAAAAATGAGAATGCTGAACGAAATGGGAGTCGCGGGGTAAGTCTTACTGTCGTCTTCTATTGTTAAAACCCCAAACTCAGCACAAGTTGGCCAATCGGCTCCTTTTTCTGTTGAAGAGTGGCTTTTCCAGCTACTTCGCCGTGATTGCTTTGAAAAATCTGTCAAATTGGCAGAATAAATGACTGCTGGGCCACGTAAGTCAAGGAACGCGATGCTTCCAGATTGATACCCAACACAGATGAATCCGACATCACTATGTTTGACTACTGTGATTGGTCCTTGACGTTGGTCTAGCAATGCAAGAGGAAGGAGTCCTTCCTTCAGCCCGGGGTCTGCTCTATGGGATATGCTAGTTATCTTATCGGGCCCATCATTATCCCCCAGTGGTGCATCTCGACCGGCATTTTCATTTCGGCCCCATTTGAAAATCACTAGCTCTCCACTTTGAAGACCAACAGAAAGCTCACCTGCTGTGCCGGAGAGGGACATATGGGTGGCCTCAATTCTATCATACCGTCCAACCGCGCGAGCTAGGTCCACTTGAAGGACTGAAGGGTTCTCAATCTGGTCGTCGTGTCCAGTGTCCCACAGGCGCAGGAGGCCATCAGCATGGGCAATAACGGCGATATCTCGATTCTCAAAGCGTTTCAAAGCCTTTTTTGATGCAGCTCCCCCAATAAGAAGGGGTGGCCCTTGCGCTCTCTTCTCTCGCCATCCGAGCCATCGTGTTCTGTCAATGCAAGAAAGTTCAAATTTGGTAGCGAACGGATGAACCATCGTTAGGGACGGGGGGAAAACATTAGTTGGAGTTATAGGATAGCCGCTTGGGAAACTCAAAGTTACTAGTTCCCCGGAAGATAAAAGAGCAATAACCGCGATAGGGTCTTGGGCTCCCCCGAAATGGGGTGACGCTCGGGGAATTAAGCAAAAGTGGGCTACTTCTGCGTTCGGTGGAGTTGGTAGTGTTGACTGGCGCTTCAAGGATGAAAAGTGGTCCGATAGAACTTGCCAGGAAGACGTCTGGTAATTGGGAGTAACTCCAAGGTCAATGAACGTCAGCCCTTTCATTGTGTCAGTGGTAGGAGTCCCGCCAGCTATGAGTAACCCTGTGTCATCCGGATTCTCTTTACAACACCAGGCGATTTCGAAAATAGATGCTTTCAATGAAAATGTGCCAGGTGCCGAACCAGAAGCATATGTTGGATCCCCCGGTTTATTCACATTTATAGTTTGTATTGTTCTCGCCATGACGACCCGGCCATCTTTGGGGTCCCAGAAAACAAGAGATGAATCCTCATGGACTGTTAGAACAAATGTGGCAGTTGGATGCCAGAGTGCCTTGACAACTTTCGGCCATCTTGTCTCACGAGTCGAGGATGGATCTGAATCCCCGCCGGGGGCACCTTTAGGCACTTCATATTGGAAGTATTTGACAGGCTGGTTTTGTTTGATAGAGAATATCACGGCTCCATCCGAGTATCCGATTAATAACGTCCCTATATCCTTAGGGTGGAAAGCCAGGGACACTATTGGGAGGAATCGGGCCCGCGAATTCCGTTCTTTCCACAAATTTGATACTTTGAAGAGCGCTACCATATGTCGGTCGATATCATATGTGACAAGCTCGCCTAGTGTCAAGAAGGTTTCAGCCTGAAGGACTTCAGATTTAAAAAATGACTTTGTATTATAGCCTAAACCAACCATTCTGTAGTCCGATAAATGCATAATCTAGAACTGGGTCTGTAAGCACACACGTAACGTGTCCCGGCGGTGCATACGAAGTGAGCAGCTTCCTTTCATCAAGCGAGAAGACGTATAGTTCATTCTTCGCAACGGCAAGGAGCTTATCTCCGCAGAACTGAAGGATACTTGTCGATGCTTTGCGAGGGAGGGAGAAGACGGCAGAGACTCGCTCCTGTCCAAACACATATATTTCCCCACTTCCGAACTGCGTCTCGCTTGTGCCAGCAGCGAGTAGAGATTGAACGGGGTCATACGCTATGGCGCTGATTCGGGAATTAATTCCATAACGAGCCACCTGGGAGAATCTCAAGATTAGTGTATTGTGCGCATAATTCATAAAGCGATGGCGCGCATCCAGGTTATGCCTATATTGACAGGCTCACCTCGTCGATGAGAAAGCTTTCTGGTGAGAGACCCGCGGAAAGGTCGCTCTGGATGCCAGCCTGCTTCCCTCGTAAAAAATGCGCCATCCTATAAAGCGTTAAAGAGCGTATATACTATGAAACCCGAATGGTTTAATATTAGAATCGCAGTAAACGAAATGTTCGCGTTAAGAAGCAAAAGCGACGTTCCGCTCACGCTCTTGGCGGCTGACGTCAATAAATTTAATCGCCGGGAAAGCACGTGAAAAGTCGTTGAACTTCGCATCTTCAAACAAAGGAAGAACATGAGCTTTTTGAGGTTTCAAATAGACATATTGAACAGCCCGGGTTCTCTTGTATTTTGCCTATCCAGCCAACAGTAAGGGCCAAAATCCCTAGTTAACGCCTCCCCAGAGTAAACCCCAAGCCCATTTTCCAAATTTAAGCGTTCTATTGTACATAGTAGCAGTAACCAAGGATGTTCAAATCCAGTAGAGTTGCTCTATCCTATCCAACTTGGTGTGAAAAGAGGGATGGCAAAAAAAAAAAAAAAAAAAAAATACTAGGGGCTGTACTCGGCTATAGAGGCCAGATTCGCCATTAATGCCTTTCGGACCCGAAGTTCCTCCTCATGGGGTTGATTCCGATAGTACTGTTTTACGATATTGAGAATGTTTCGGTAGCTTGAGTAGCTAGGAGTAAGATTAATTTGATGAAATATCAATAGTGTAGGTATGACTTACAACAGTAGCCGAATAGGTGCAGATCCTTCTCGAGTCGGATCTGAACCATACCCGCTGAGAATATCGCATGAAGGGTTTTCAAATACGTCCGTCATGAGAACATCGCCCCAGGTCGCGGCAGTAAAATCGGTGATACCACTGATGTCTTTGGTCTTGGGGTCGATGATAAGATGTGATGACTGACTGATGTTAAATAGAACCAACCGTGGGTCTGTAACTTCATCGAAGACTGCGGATAAACGGCTGGCCTGGTGTCGAATCTCGAAATATGGTAGTGAGATGAGCATATTTTCAGCATTCCATAGAAGAGACTCGAGGAGGTTAAGAAATGCACGTCTCCAAGTTCTCTCCCCTCCTCCCACACAGACCTCATGGACAGGGCCGAATTTAGTGGCAGTGTGTTGTCCAATTTGATCGACGGCGATCCCGAGTTGCTTGTCAATCCGTTTCAACTCCTCTGATGTCAATTTCCCTTGAAGCTCTGAAAGAGGGGTACCCGGGCACTTGTAACGTAGGAGACAAGTTAAGGATGGATAGGATGGAGTCACTTCACACCGAATAAGCTTTGGAATGCACCATATTTCACTGGGTTCAAGTAATGATAAGACATAAGCCTCGACTTCGAGAGAGTGACGTTCATAGTATAAGGCCGTTTCCGGTTGTGGTGTGGATGTTTTTAACGCAAGTTCAGCTCCGCCAGACATATACAGAAGATAGTGTGGGTGTGGATCCTCATCATAGGTCTGTATGTTTACGACCTTCTGATTTGGGAAAAGGGGCTCAATAAGGCCATGAAGCGAAGAAGCGTCGGGGTTGCCGCGGGTCATCTTTCCAGGAAAACCGACCGATACCGTTGTCGTAGTAGAGATCTGGATAATATATGGGTATGGCAATGTCCTGCATGACCGTTGCATATTTGATAAGTTATGATGGTCATAACGTAGACTGTGATTAACACGCGGGGATTCACGACTTTCGGGGGAACATCTGAAGGCAGTCATTGTGTATGTCTAAAAAACGGAAATGTATATAAAAAAACCGTCTATTCCCCACTCACGCTGAGTAAAAGTTCACTTCTTAGCAGACATCCTGCGGTGACCTTTCCACGTATATAAGACAACTCTTTGAGACGCCAAGTGATATCAAGCAGCCACGCAATGTGGGTTGAGAACAATAGCCAGATTTAACGTTAAGGGAGTCGCTTGTACTCAATCCAAGCGCCACACGTCCGGTAAAATTATGCTTTTGATCATCCAACTAATGCTAAGGCATCCACAGGGTTCGATATCTGGATGATTGATGGGCGTTTCCATCCCTTTCATTGCGTGTCCCAATATATAAAAGCAGAGAGTAATATTGAGGTTTGAAGTGGCCAGCAGGGCTATGCAGCGTAAAAACGCAACACCATCCAGCACTCTGAGTAATATCGAGCATATTCAGACTTGAATACAGCTAGCGGTCCCGGCCGAAGGAATGGCAGCCTGCTCAGTACTCAGATGAAAAGACTCGCGTTTCTATTCAGCCGGGTCATAATCCTGAGCGCCGCAGGAACAGGCTAGGGCGGGAAGCCCTGGAGTCCTTGACCTCCATGGTATCCGCACTCTGGGATGTGCCGTTGGAAGGTTGGGGCACAACTATACGGAGTAACCTCGCCAGAATTTGCTGTGTTCAGTAATAACGCTCGATGCATGTTTGGAGGTTGAAACGGGGACGATGCCGATTATGCGCCGGCTTGCACCAATGAGAACAGCGAATTTGGCGAGATTTCAGATTCAGAAATCTTTAAAACAAAAATGCGACGCAGGGTGGATCGCATCCATCCATCCCGAGCTTTTTTGCTTCTTCTTCGTCATGGTTCAGCTTAACCCATCGTCTGTTGACTCTTGGCGTGGAAAGGAGCCAATCGCCTATCTGTCGAATTTGCTTTCCTCTACCAACTCTGCATGCAAAGGGGTGATGAGCGAGAGCTTGGGGATTGATGCGAAGAACTAGCACCATCTCGTGTTTACACAGACGATTTAATTTGGTCGAATAAGGTCGGCCTGAGAATGTCCGAGATTACCGAGCATACCTCTCGTTTCTCTTTACACCAGCCCATGTTAAACCTGGCCGTGTACTCCGCATACATGGCATCATCCTATGTATGTACAATGAAGAAAGGCCTCCCCAAGGCGTTTTCAGTTGGCGGTCAATGCGTTTTCCCTGGTCCTGGTGTCGCATCTGTCGTACCTTCTGGGGGATGACAGGCGAGTAACGGATGACGAGCGGTGACGGGGTCTTCCAACAGCAAGTGGTCGTTTGGCGAAGGACGAGATGGGGGCCAAGGTAATATTGTCTTATTGTATTTTTTTTTTTTTTACCATTTTCCCTTTATTTTCCATCCGCTTCGCCCAATTAAGCTTCCTTTTGCTCTTCCTTAGAATCCCCTTTTGGATCCTTTTCCGGCATCATTCCCGGACGTGGCGTTGGAGAATATATCTCAGCGAGGTTATAACGTTTTAATTCGTCATAATCACCTTCGACCACGCTCATGCCGCACATTGTCTGGCGTCATTGTTGTCAGCCATCTCCGCGGAGCTACAGGGATAGTATCGTAATGGTAAGATGCACCTACCTGAATAACATCGACAAGAATTAACAAGTCATAGTTCTTCAAATCCACTGAATGTTCACTCCCAACGATACCAGCAATGAGTTTAATGACCGAATCTCTATGGCAATCCGAGTTGTTACGGATAGTAGGCCGAATGGCGTACTATATGCAAAACATAACGGGTTAGTAATGCACTTGCAAAAGGGTCATATCAAGAATGTTCGGGTCTCGCCTACAAGGGCAGAAAAATGATCATACCTTTTTGGGAGGGCCGCCAGAATGAAAATGCGGCTTCAGCACATCGTGAGCCAATTCTTCCAGCCCACCCCCGAGAATCTTCCTCATTGACGTAATTGGAGTTAGTCGTTTAACCCAACGGCTTCTCTTCTGCTCGGGATGTGTCTGGGCATCAATGCATAGGCGATGCACAATTTCTACCGGATCCAGGCCTTTGCTGATTTTGACAAATATAACTGCAACAGTTAAGTCAGGGTTCCAACGCAATATCAGCAGGATTCACTCTCCAGGGAGCTTACGGCATGGGACATCCAGGTTTATGAGCTGAAACGGTGCTTTCGACCGCTTGGGCTGCATCTGCTCCACTTCTCGCCTTATCTGTTCCTCGATATCAACATCTTCATTATCATCATCACCTATGGAATCATCCTTTTGATCTGGACCTGTACTTGGTATTTCCTGTGACATTCTGTCAGTTCAATTGCGAAAAGAAGGGGTAGGGGATGTGAGATTGTGTCTACCTGTGAGAGGATGTCTAGGATCTCAGCAGAACACTTTCCCTCCCTGCCTCTATCACAACTAACAAATATCCCACAGTCACCACTCGCTAGTTTGCCTTTTGAACTGGACTTTCGCCTATCATGGTCCTTCCACTGGCCCTAAAGCACGCATCACGACAACATTATATTAGCTCCAAGTCACAAAAGCTGGTGATCACCCCATCGAATTCGCCACTGCTTGGTCCCATCACATCCGGGAGGTGCCTACCTTCTGTCTCTTCTTTTCCCGAGAATCGGAGTTGCTTGCCTTTCTTTTGGCTGTACCGTCCGCCATGGCTTGCTTATTGCTACTAGATCGAATGGAAGAAAGAGCAAGCAACACCTAAAACAACAGAGTAAAGCCCTCCATTTGCTTATCTAATTACGATAAGATAAGCGCGGAGCGGATTATATTAGAGCCGCGTAAGCATCAGACCCTTGCCGGGCTGACGTCATAAGGTCAACTTTGATGGAAAGCAGGGAAGACGCAAACTCATTCTCCCTTGATATATACCAGCTGAGGGGTTCTGTTTTATTCTCAAGCTCGTCTTGCACACAGCTGTGTAATTTGTGATAAACGCTGCCATCCTAACAGTAAATTTGCTTGACAGCCATGGCTTCAGATATCATCGCAAGGGAGCTCGAGGAGCCTATTGATGTTGCAGAGTATCTCTTTAAACGGCTACATCAGATGGGGATTAGATCTGTCCATGGGGTTCCCGGTACGCTAGTATTAGAAATACTCCTTTGATGCATTCAAATGCTAACTATGCCTTAGGTGACTACAATTTAGCGGCATTGGACTACCTTCCCAAGTGTGAGTTGCACTGGGTAGGGAATTGTAACGAACTAAATGCCGGTATGGTTGATAAAAATTGTTTTATGTTCTTAGTAGCTATCAGACTAAGGATCTAATAGGCTATGCTGCCGATGGCTATGCTCGAATTAATGGAATGGCGGCGCTGTTCACAACATTTGGGGTAGGAGAACTGTCTGCTTTGAATGCCGTTGCTGGGGCATATTCCGAATATGTCCCAATAGTCCACATCGTTGGTCAACCGAGCACATCTTCCCAGAGGGACGGGATGCTCCTTCACCATACGTTAGGTAATGGTGATTTTAATGTCTTCGCCAACATGAGTGCTGGCATTTCATGCTCAGTGGCGAAACTAAACGACTCCCGCGATGCTGCTGCATACATCGATAGCACCTTGAGGGAATGTTGGATTCACAGTCAACCAGTGTATATCACTCTTCCTCTCGATATGGTCTATCAGAAGATAGAGGGGAAACGATTGAAAACCCCTATAGATCTGCAGCTCCACCCGAATGAGGAAGAATACGAAAACTACGTGGTAGATACCGTGCTAAGGTATCTGCACGCTGCTAAAAGACCAGCAATTATTGTAGATGCTTGTGCTATTCGTCACAGGGTCCTCGACGAAATCCACGATTTGGTATCAAAGTCAGGCCTTCCCACGTTTGTTGCCCCCATGGGTAAAGGAGCAGTGGATGAAACTCTTCCAAATTACGGTGGAGTATATGCTGGTGATGGTTCTACTGCTCAAGTGAGAGAACACGTCGAAGCCTCTGATTTAATTCTAAGTATTGGGGGGATCAAATCTGATTTCAATACCACCGGGTTTACCTACCGCGTCAGCCGTTTAAATACCATCGACTTCCACAGCAATCATGTGGTTGTTCGTTACTCGGAGTACCCAGGTATTCGTATGAAGGGAGTCCTCCGAAAAGTTATCGACCGTATGGGTAAACTAAATATCACTCCTCCCCCGAAACAAGAGAATGTACCAGAAGAGAATCCGCAGTTTCCAGCCCCCACAATTGCCCACTCTTGGCTATGGCCAGCTGTGGCCAAATGGTTACAAGAGGATGACATTGTTATCACCGAAACGGGGACCTCAAGCTTCGGTATCTGGGGAACAAGGTTCCCTAAAGGAGTAACAGCCTTAAGTCAAGTTCTTTGGGGTAGCATAGGCTACTCACTTGGAGCATGCCAGGGGGCTGCTCTAGCAACCAAGGAGAAGACGTGCCGTCGTACCGTCCTATTTATTGGAGATGGTAGCTTTCAGTTGACAGTTCAAGAAATAAGTACCATGATCAGAAATGAACTGACCCCAATAATGTATGTCTTCCGGAATACGTTATCCCTCTTTCACTCTTGAACCACTTTAACTATTAGAGCCTAGATTCGTTATTTGCAATAACGGATACACCATTGAACGATACATACATGGATGGAAGGCACCTTACAACGATATCCAAGAGTGGAAGTTTATAGAATTCCCGTCTGCTTTTGGAGCACAACCAGACAAATTCGCAACATATCAAATCCGTGAGAGACAAGAACTACTTGATTTATTCTCCAATAAAGAGTTTTGCTCGGCAAAACGCCTCCAGGTATTATCCTCAAATTATTTACATACCAGGCTATAACTTTTTACCCATACTAACCTCTTATCCCTTATGCTCTAGATTGTGGAGCTTTATATTCCGCAAGAGGATGCTCCTGCTACCCTGAAATTGACAGCCGAATTGTCGGCAAAGAGAAACAAGTGACCTGAGGAGGTTTAAATCTGGTAATCTAAAATTGTAACATGTTTTTACTCATCTCTTCTCATCTCTTCTCATATTACGAAATGTTTTAATAGTGATTCTCTGGCTATCACTGGAGATTTCGAAATTCGAGGTTAATTTAATACAATCCCATGTTATTAACTGCAGAACTACAAGTGATAGAAAACAGGAACTTGACCTCGGAATATTTCCAGGTATAAAAGGTGAATGTAAAATCCAAGAAACAGCAACCATTGAAAAGGGAAATGAAAAAGGAGCGACACGGGTTAGATGCCTAGCATTGTACAATGACATTAAAAGATAAATTGGATGGTATCAAAAGCAGTAGATAAACAAAGAAGGATAGTCTTTGAGTATCGTCCCTCTATCAAAATAAAACATAGGCAGAGAAGCAGACTGGATGCCGGGGGATTAGGGGTGGTGCAAATAGAGTAATACCGCCATGCGACGAACCGGCCAGGTATAGTAATAATCATTCAGTAAACGCATCAACACATATAAAAGCACGGAAAAACGCATAGGAGAGAATAATGAGCTAAAGCATGTACTAGCAGTAATCAAAACACCGCGGCCAGCAACCCCAAGACCAGCAAAGACAGAAACAAATGTCATAATTGGCATATAAACGCCAGAATCAGTTATTCCGGATGTCACCTGAGCAATGCGAAAATGCGAAAAGGAGAAAAAAAGATGTCGGGAAGAATACAGAGAAGAAAAGTAAATGGTCAACATATAATGGGTGAAATAAGAATCGTTCCAACACCCACCATCCTATAGATAGGATGGTAGGGACGGATGGAGGTAGAATCGAAAACTGGGACTTGAGAAAAAAGAAACCTTGATTAACGAAAAAAAAATGCGGTGTTGAATTTAAGGTCGTACTGCAAACCTTTCATCCTTGAGGCTATTCCCATTTTACTTCAAACATACATCCCTGGTTGGCACACCAGGATATGCATTCAGCAGATCTTCAAGCACTTCCTTTCAGGGGTTGGCTACCTATTTGCTCAGAGGCGACGCCGTTTGTGTCATTGGCATTTCCATTCATACCAATATGGCCGTTCGATCCATCCGTCAACTTTGATTTCATGATCCCTTTAATGGTATTGTTGGGAGCAGTCACGGTGGTCGTTGAATCTTCAGCTGCTCCATCAAACATGCCAGGGGGAGCACCGATAGCCTTCTTAATCTTTTTCTTGCTAGGTTCTAATACGATACCCTTAAATGTTACTGAATTAGAAGGAGGTGCTGGACGCTTCTGGGGGCTGGATCCGATGCCTTGAGAAGGTTGCGGTGGGATCTTTCCTGACGCGGGGACGCGAGGGCGTCCTGCCATTGGCCGTTGTTTGGGTGGCAGCTCGTAATCTTCAACCAATGGCTCATCTTTATTCGCGTGGAGTTTGGCCAGGAAGAAGTTCCGCGCGAGACCAATTTGCGATGGGATAGACTCCAGCGTAATCTTGGGGTATTGGGGCGGAGTTGGGAATGGATCTGAGGCTGATTGAGAAGAGCTGTAAATTTCAAATTAGTAAGTTGATCTAAAGTATAGGCTGTAGAATGGTAACTTACTTTGCATTCTGAGCCTGATGTGCGTTGAACATCCGGTTCTGAAGGAGATGAAGAGGAACACTCAAACTTGCAAGGCCAAACTCTTTATCCAAGCCTAGTTCCTTGAATCCAAAGAAATCTTCATCGATATCATCAGCAAAGTCACCTCCAACGAATTGCTCGCTCCCGTCATTGAAAGCTCCGGATCCGTCACCGCTGGTGTCAGCAAATGCAGGACGCAAAAGCTCAGTAAGATGATTTTTCAATCGTTCATGTATAACAGCAAGTTTGGCACCATGGCGATCTATATCTTCCTTAACGTAGGCTTCTAACGTATCCACATCTGTGCCAACTGCCTGAAGTGTATGCAAAATCATCTCCTCGGATGTATATGGCAGTTTCCATCCTGATGTACTGGCCGAAACTGATGAATTGTCAGAAACCGGAACTTTTGGAGCTTCCATATAGGACTTAAGGGTTTGGCCTATTTTGGTAAAAAAGTCTGATGCAACATCTGTAATGGCATCCAAAGCAGAGGGTTGGTACTCTTCAAAGCCGGTATGATAGAGAATTTTTCCAATGGACCGCTGGAGTGCAGCCCTACAAACCCAAGGGTTAATGATAGGTCCCTCGCCATTCATAACATGAGGTGGGATATCCTGTTCCACAAGTCGTTCAGGCTGGTATTTTTGAAATTGATTTTGATACATCTAAATAGCAATATTAGCGTTATTGCAAAGTTATATGGAGGTATACGAGTTAGACTGACCTGAGATTGTTGTTGCATTTGCTTGACGATACTGATCTTTGAACATGCTTTCCTAGTTTCTTGCATTTGCCTCACGTTGGCGTCCAGTTTTTTTGAGAACTTGCTGACTGGAGCCGTGAATAAGCCGCTAGGAAGGACTCGAAGGAACTCTTCAGAGTGCTCTACCACATTCCCTTCGGCATCTTCCACCCAGTGGAGGTGTTCGGGAAGATCAGGGATCGCTGACATCACATCATAGTAATCAGGTAGCATTTTATCCTCTTCTTCTTCAATCCCTTCGGCAAGAGTCTCTCCGCTAGGTTCCGCTTTCTCTTGTAAAGGTGCAGTTTCGGGCTTGTCTGTTTCACCCGGTGTTGCTCTGCGATGCCGAATCCATCTTCTCATGCCAGACTTAGTTCTAAGTAGTGCTTGCTCATCCGGGTTAAGCTTATCTCCTTTGAAAAGTCGATGTCTTTCAGCGGCCACAAGAGCACGATCCTTCTTTGTCACTAGTTTCCAGACCTTAAATTCAGGGTCTTCAAACTCAGATCCGAGGCCCAACAAGGCAGCACACTGACCAGCAGGAGGTGGTCCGATGCAATCGATATCCATGCTATCGCCTTGAGTGGCCGTAATGCCAGTATTATTTAAGGTGAGAGGCGTAAGAGTACCAGGGGGTGGCGTTGAGGAATCATTCTGGCTCCCATCCAAGATAGAATCCTGCCTGACGAGAGGTGCCTCTTGGACTTGAGGTCGAGAATCGGTAACTGACGTCGTCTCTGACTTTGTCTCAGGAGCTGTTCGTGCGGTGGTAGTACCTTTCTTGGATTTCTTTCCTGGAGCCTTCCGCCCGCGGGAAGACATGATAGGCTCGTCGTCACTCTCTTCCGCGCCATCAAGGTCAGCAAGTTGAAGCCTGCGTTCCTCAGCTTCCACTTCCGCGCGGTCTCTGATGACAATATCCGGAATTAGTGGTACAAGCTTTTCTGTTTCCTTTCTCATGTACAGGGCGTGTTTGCGGAGGAAGTGCTCCGGGTTGGCGTTGTATTTCAAGCAATTAGCCCATATTAGATTAAGATCATCAACGAACTCTTGCTTTGACTTGTATTGGATTGCCTTTAGCTTCTTGGTCATGGTTCCCAAATCCATAGGTCGCTTGATAACTGGTACATACGTATTAGTTCATGAACTTAAAGTTTAACAGACGGCCTTGGAATGCACTTACTGTTAATATAGTCTGGTGCATCTCGTCGATTGACCTTGGTCAAGAATGGGCTGGAGTGTTCTGTTTGAGCCTTGAGTTCGCTCAACACCTTTTCCAGGGCTTCGTATAGTTCTTCTTGGCCAATCTTATCTTCACTTGCCCATTTACTTCTATTCTTCCGAACTTCGCTCATCAAGCTCCGCAGTTCTGCATCGGATGCCTGCACTTCATGGCGCTTCATATCAATTCGTGCAATAAGATTTTTTAGGGTCAGACTTGATGCGCCAAGGTTGGTGCTGCTCAGGGTTCCATGTCCGGGGCCCTGGGTGGCAGCGGAATCAGTGTTTGTATTATTCTGACTTGACATCTCGGCTTCGACTTGTCTTTCTGACTCCTCTAGCCGTTGCTGATCCAGCATCGCATCGCGGTCGTTCTCCAGGGTGTAGAATATGGTATGGAAGCTCTGACGTGCAGCCTCCTCTGTGGCTTTCTTGTCTTGCTCCAATCGTTTCCGGATATCCTCCGCTGATTCCTTCTTTGTGTCTTTCGAGTTCTCCGGTGCAGAGCTAGGCTGTAAGGGCAGCCTTGGAGGTGATTGCGGCGCGTGCTTTGATTCAGGGGGGGTGGGCGCGCTTTTAGATTTCGGGGGAGAAGGCCCCTGAGCACCAGAGTCACTGCCTCCCTCATCATCGTACTCATCATAATCGTCTTCATCTAAATTCCTTGCCGGTTTCCGCGGTGCAGATTGGGGTTCCGGCTGCGCAGTTTCGGGAGCATCATCAGCGGTATTGGTATCACGAGACTCCGCTCCGGACAAGTTGGGGTCTGATATTTTTTTTTTGCCACTGAACAAAGCATTTATTCTAGCCTCGCTTTTTTGATAGCTGTTCCTGAATGCGACTATGCGAGGATCTTCCTCAGGCGCGGGATCCGTCTCTGATATTGACGTGCCGCTCTGCATAGACTCCAAGGTGGCACGGGACCGTAACTGGGGTGTACGCGGGCGGGATGGGGTTCTTGAGAGGCCATTGACGGAGGAGTGCGTGTCATAGAAATCGTCGGGGGGTCTGAGATGTCCTGGAGGAAGCCAGGTGTGGTGGTGATTGAGCGACATGGCCGCACCAAACCCGCTATACCGGGCGGGCGAGAGGGTTCGGCCCTCCACGCTTTGGAGCCAGTTTCGGTAGGCAACAAGGAGGCGTTAGGACGCGAAAAAAGAGCATGTAAGATGGCTGCCAGATGGCGACAGCAGCTCCAGCAACCCGCAGGATGACAAAAGAGATGAATGTGGTGAGTTATTGATGGCTCCAAAGGAGCTCTTTTTGGTGGTGATTTTTGCGGAGGTGCCCATGATGGAGGCTGCCCAGACTTTGTAGAAGTCAGTCAGTCACGTGATATTTCCGCTGGTAGAGAGACGGAAGAGGATAACACCAGAAGGGAAAGAAGGTTTATAGAAAAAGGGGAGAAATTCGAGTAGAAGTCTCAGTAGGGTTGTATAGAATAGTTGATACTAGCTACAGTGTTGTATTGAGACTACAGAGTAAGGAGTAAGCAATATCAAAGGGCACTGATATATGTACAATAGTTGTACATGACAGTCAACTCCGAGGCGGTGTTATTCTACTACACTGAGATGGCAGTAAAGACTACACTTTTCATCTCGTTCCCTCCACATATATTGGACGTTTCTATTTGAATAAAAGTTGTTTGCAAGCATCAACATATTTTTTGAGCCGCCAAACTTGATGTCCCATGATATGTCACGTGGAATGATTGTATTACATAATCAATATTACTCGGGTTCTTCTATATACAGAGTAGGAAGAAGAAGAAAGTTGTGACTGCAACAAGACACTTCAAACAAACAGCCCATGTTGAGACTCGACGTTTCGCAGAAGTCGAACAGGGTACTCTAACATATAAATGACTAACATCTGGCTCTAGTCCTGGACGGAGAACAGAACAATTCCTTAAAACTGGGTTGCTATCTAGGCAATTGAGCAGCCTAGGCAACTTCAACACATCCACGCAATGGCGATGCTTCGAATAAGATATCCATTTGCCGGTAGGTTGGCATACTTTGCTATACCACCCTAGTATTTTTCCAGAGATTTGGTCTCAACAATACATCCTATGATTCCGCAAGGTCTACCTATCTAACACGTTTGCACAGGAGCTTTTGCTGCCCTCTTCCTACTATCAGCCTACATAGGCATCTTACCTCATAGCACCACCTCAAAAGAAGGAGAACTTCCAGCCCTATCACCCCTACGAATTAACGATAAAGTCTTACATGTGGTCACCTTCTTCCTCCTCTCTCTCGCATTCTACTGGATTTTAGACACCACCCGTCGAAGAACACTCCATCTAACGCTCGTCGTCTGCACGCTGGTCCTAGGAATAGGATCGGAGATAGCACAATTTCTCATTCCTAATGGCCGCCCCTTCGACCCCCTTGAGGTTCTGGCGAATGTTGTTGGGAGTCTTGGGGCTATAGGGTTATGTACCTGGTACCACAAACGGATGCTTGAGAGAAGGAGGAAGGCAAGATTCGGAGCTCTGATGGGGAATACCGAAAATGACGTTGAGCTTGGCTTGGCTAATGGTACGGGGGAGCAAGAAACGGGCGTCACGAACGTTCAGTCGCTTGAAGAGGAGGTTGATAACTGGGATGAGAATGCGGAGGATAATTGGGATGATGCTGAGGATATTGGGGATTCCGGACTTACTGCCAGTGATTCCGGAGGAGACTTGGGTGGAAAGCCTTCGCTTAACGGCGTGGGACAGGCCGACGAGAATGACCATAAGAATTAAGCATTATCCCTGAAAGTTATCCTCTCTTCGTTACGGCTATGGTATATGACCCTTCATTTCATATCTACGGAGTATGTTCAGATGGTATTAGGATTTGAATTTTGTTTATTTGGAGCCGGTGTACCAAGCAGGCGATGCTTCTTCCTTTGTCTGCCATTTCATGTTTTTACCCTGATTGTACTGATAGTTTATGGGACTTACTATGTAATGAAATAATTTCAACTCAGCCCTACGCACGTCGATATCAGATGTTGACAAGTTTTGCCATCACCAGCCCCTTTTACAAGACGCCACCTCTAACTCGCTAAAACGTGTATAGGGCCTTTAATTGACTTGTTGGAGCCGTACAACCAGAGCCTCTTAGATATAAAAGTAAAAGGCGCAGCAAGTGATGCTCAGGCAAAGAAAAAAAAGGGGGGGGCGGATCGAATCAATCGAGGGTATTGTTTTCCTCCATACATGCACCAAGGAATTCTATTTAATTATGCAACATGACCATCGTAAAGCACATAAGACAAAAAAGAGGAATGGAAAGGTATAGAGTCGGGGAAAGCGGCGCAGACAAACAGTTTTGTGGAGGGTATGCAGTATTTATGCAAGAAAGAAAAGCCATTTAAAGCCCTATAGAGAAACAGTCGGAGTCAAAATATATAAAGACAGAAAATGAAGTTTCATGGCAAGCAAAGAGTGCTTTATAGAGGGATCAACGGGGGTGGGGAGGTAGGAAAGTTAGTATGTGCATAAGAGAAGGTAAGATCATAAGATCAGACTTCCTCGTCGTCGTCTTCGTCGTCTTCGTCGTCATCTTCATCATCTTCCTCATCATCGCCATCGTCGTTTTCTTCTTCATCATCACCGTCATTATCGTCGTTGTTATCGTTCTTTTTGTCGGCTTTGTCTTTACCCTCAACTTCCTCGTCCTCAGGCTCATCGGCGGTACTGATATCTGCGGGGCTCAAAGCGACCAACTCAGGCTTGAACATTCCATCATCAGGCTTCGCTATCTTCTGAGGACGGGGTTCAATCGGGGCAGCCTCAATCCCCAGCTTGATCTGGGTTTGTTCTTTCAAAACGTCATAGATGAATTGATATTGAAAAGCGTTATAGACCATCAGCATTCGCTGTTCCCTAAGCCGATTCACAGTGTTGAAAATTACATCAGCGGACTTGTCGTTTGTGTTCAGGAGCTGTCCAGACCGAAGCTGTCTCAACAAATGGTCGAGAGCGATGAATGTCCCTGTTCTTCCCACGCCGGCACTGCAATGCACAATTCGGGGGTTGGAGAACGACTTTGCTTTTTCTGCCGTAGCTGTCATGAGATTGAGGAGGGCATCTCGGTCAGGCCCTTCTGGTGTCCCGTAGTCAGACCACCCGGCGAAGAGGAAATGCCATACTGTCTTGGTGCTTGATCCCACGCGGAGCTCAAGTTCGCTGACGTTTGAGCGTATTGATTCGTCATAAGATGTATTCAAAAGAGTTACCGAGCCAGAAAAATGGGCAGCTGGGGGGTTTTCAGAGTCTTGGGCCACACCACTCGGCGAAGAAAATTCAAAAATAGGATTCTCCATGTCCTGAGGGAAGTACTGGGCGCATTTTTCCTTTCCAGATTCAACTGTTTGGGTGAGCATAACCAGGACAGCAACTTCGCCTGCCTCATGGTAAATCATGTTCCAAAAATCGGCAAGACGATCACGTTTTGGGCCCTATCATGAGTATTAACATGGTCTCGTAAACAAGTAAATTAAATCAGCGGCATACTTGGCTTGCAATATACTTGTACTCCCCGTCTGTTTCTGGGTCTTTTAGCACAATAGGCGAAGCGTTGATGAAGTCGCACTCCCCATCCGGAACCTTGAGATGGACCCGACAGTTCTCCCATGCCTGCACATCTCCATAGCGATTCCGAGCCTTGACTTGCGGGCTCGTGTCCAGCGTCCACTTATGGGAGGGATCCTGGGACAACGCGCCGGCAGCTCTTCGATGTCGCTCCATCCACTCCAGTTCGCTAAATTTATCTCGAACATCTAGCACGCCGTAAGTCTATGACTGAAAAAAAAAAAAAAAAAAAAAAAAAAAAAGAGAGATGCCTCCCTAAACTCACATTTGGCTGGCTGGGTGAGGTAAGAGGGAATGGCAGGTTTGCCGTGTACAGATTTACCATCCGCATCTGACGCGTCCGAACACTGTCCAGCCGACACTCGACTATCCGTAGACCGACTTCGCTTGGACAGAGACGCCGACAGGTTAACCTCCGCCATCCTGACTGCCACAGCTCTGCTCAGCGTCCGCGCCTGACCAACGAACTGGCGCACTTTAGCGGCGGTGGCGTGGTTCCGGGAGAAGGCGGCCCTGCGAGAGACGCTATGCAGACTCGCCGTATCTGAGCTAGGCGCTGGAGAAACGGGCCGCTTGTCTGTAGCAGCGGTGCCCTGGTTGAGATCCAAACAAGATAAATCCGGGCAGCTTTGCGAGCCGTCCGGAAGAGGTGAAGAGGCCAGGGTTTATGGTGGATAAACGGAGATAAACGCCGTAAAGTGGCCAAAAAAAGAAGAACTCTGCAAGAGATGAAAAAAAATATACAAGCTCTTTTCGAGGAGGGTATCTGATATATTACAGTGTTGACGTTTGGATATCGAGCGGGAAGAAGACGAAGGGGAAAAAAAAAGGTGGTTATTTAGAGGGGCAAACGGCAAAGACACTCCTTCACGCGAGTAGTCATTGCCAGAGGGGAAGATTCACCGCAGAAGAAGAGGGCAGCGAGAACGGCCGTCGACTCTTTGGATATAAATATATACAAAACGACCGGGGACAAGAGCAGAGCCAGGCGTGTAGAGACGTTTTAAAAAGAAGGCATATATAAACAAGTAACAAACAAGAGAAGGACGCCGAGGCCTTTTTTTTTTCCCTTTGGCCAGCGTCGAGACTTCTGCAGGGTAGTTAAGTAGCTAGTTATTCAGCTCAAGGACAGTTATGAACTCCTCCGCGAAAGGGAAATGAACGGAAAGAAGGATTAAATATCTACGGACAAGAGAGACAACGTCGAGGTGGAAGACGGTATCCTCTCCTTCGACTTCTGCCCGTCATCTGTTCTTTCGCAAGAGAAGAAAAAAAAAATGACAGGAAAAAGCAATTTACTTTGACATGCGCCATAACATCTTCGAGCCACAAGCCTAAATCTATTAAACTAGATGCCAGCAACATGGCTTTCCCTCCGCGATACAAGGCTTACAGAACCACAGCTCGACCATCCTACTCTTCAATAGCAAAAGCCCTATCCTTAACCCCAAAAAACCCGCCAATGCCCTCGCCATATTCCTTGTCAAGATAAACATATCCACGGCTGCGGACACAGCACCCGCATGTAAGCATGCAGTGGGCATAGTAAACCGTCTTGTCAGGACATGCGTGGTTTCAGGCAACACTGGCATGCTCTTGCACAACAACCCCCACGAGCTCTACAGGCATCCACTAGATACCGCTGAGAAAGGTGTTTAATCGGGTTTTCACTTAAAAGTTCACGTACCCGGAAACTATATTGCCTGTATTGTCGTACGGTTGCGCCGTCGGGGCACCGTATATATCCCTGATAATAAGAGTTTTTCGTAGCCCAGTCCTGACGTACCAGATCCTCCAGCTTATGCCTCCAGTGTTTGGAGCCATGACTCTCTAGCGTGTGTATTTCTTCGAGTTTCCCTCGTGTAGCACACTTGATAACCTCCTCTTTAAGAAATAGGTATCGTTGCATCCACACATGACGATATCTTATTAATGAACTCATTTCGTTGATCCATCCTTTCTGCTCATCATATTCCCGCGGACCTGTAACGAACTCCTTGATATTCCGAATCGTGTTAGAGACACGGGGCGTGCGCATTCGATCGAATATTTCTTCAAAATTTGGACCAATTTTAAATATCATCGTGATCAAAAGCAGTATAAGTAGCACTCCGTCACCGATGAAAAGCCTGAGTTGCAGAAAGCAAACTTTATAAAGGATAAAAAGAGAAGCATATAGAGTATTTCAATGGATATTATTCGAAAACGTTAAGGGGATGGAAATAAAGACGAAGGAATAGCATCCCCGTTAAGTAGCTGGATATCATGATATCATTTGTGCCACCGCCTTGACTGCGGACCCGGGTGGGAAGTCTGAAAGTCGTATCAAGTGCTCTCGATGTCACTTAACAAAATGCGGCCGCGAAACCCCGGTTTACATTAGAACAACAGAGCACCAAACATGACGCCTCCACTGCGTTGAATCATCTATGAGCGGCGGTAACCGGAGATGATGAGATTCGCAGTGCAATGATGGAGGAAATACAGAGTATTGATGGGGGTGTCTTCTTCGAGACAAGAGGCGTAGAAATAGATAAAATATGCGGTACTAGGGTCTATCGGATCAGGACCAAAACTACTAACCAATTGATAAGCTATCTAAGCATATCGGAATGGGATTCCCGGTTCCTACTCCATATGTTACAGTTGCTCCTGCGAATATTCATATAACCATCGCACAACAAATAAAAGCTCGCCAAGTAAACCCGCTCCCGTAGTCTATCCGCGTGTTGGCTTGGCATTATAGTTCCGCCGGCAGTCCGCTCCCCTTCCGCTTCAGCTTTCCGCTCAAAAATACTTGAGCAAATTCTGCACTAAGTTCGCTAATATTCCGATTTAACGAAGCAAGCTGAGATTAGAACGGAGCGCCACGGCTTCAGCGACAACACCCGCCCGCCCGCAGGCGAGGTATCCGAGCGGTCCGAGGAGTGCAGTTAGGGTGGGCTTTGGTTTCAATTTCAGCATCTGTGTTACGAGCGTGGGTTTGAATCTCACCCTCGTCGTATTTCTTTACTGTGATGATCGAAATCCTCTTTTTTTTGCCGAGGCACCTTGGGCTTCAACAACCTGGGCTTCGATAATACCAGGGTTTGGGATATTATCCGTGGGGGAATAGGGAGGCAGCATGCAAAGCCTTATTATTTTAGGCTCTTACATCAGAGACTGTGGGAGGTGTTTTCAGCTAACTCCTAGACGTTTGCTTCTCAGTGACGGTATAGGCAACAAGGCATCTTTACTACGGCCTACACAGTAATACATACATAGTAGGTAACCTCAACAACTTTCCCTGTGGCTAAAAAAACTAACCTGCCCAGAAATTTAGTGGTCCCACTTTTTCTCCTGCAAGAAAATGCGACTTCGTTCAACGTCAAGATGGCGAGTAGCCGTGATCATTTGTCTATTCCTCGCATTAACAACATGGCTAAGGCTAAAGCACCACACACGATCGTGATGCTAGACCTTCGTATGAGGACTATTCACAGTTCTGACCGACGTGTCATGATTCTCTCCTCAGCATAGAGAATTGACGACCGACACACTTTTAGGGAGAAGTAACCTCAACGCAGGTTCATATTGATGCGGTTTCGGGCGATCTGTAGCTGCATAACGGCTATACACTGGTACCGACGCTGACACTAGCCAGCGAATCATAGGCCGCCTAGGTGATACGTCGATATACAGCGTCCGCCTGTCTCACGCATTCCCGCTTCTTGAGCCGATGATATCTCTACAAACCTGAACATACCTTGAACTCCGGAGGGTTTAATTAACCATAGGCCCTTGGACAGCTCATATTCTCCCAACGAGTCAAATACACTCATCATTTGCAGTTTTCGGTAGCTAAACATTCCAAGTTTACCCTCATTGTTACCTTGATCGTGGTAATATATCCGCAGAAACAACTGGTTGCCCTAAAGGCTTATGGTAGTGGTTGCTATAGATCCCACCTAGGGTTTCAGCCTAGTAGGTCTACTGCTAAAGATGCCAAACAGGACACAAGACCGGTTACAATGGCCCAGAATGCATAGGACGTGATATCTTACTGTTACAAGGCTTGAATACCTGTTTTACTATTATGTAGTAAATCTAATCCCTGTCAGGGTGCCCTCTCTTGCTTCTGTAGTCGTTCATTTCTTTTTTGGTGTCGAGCCCCAGCGAAATGCTCTTATATAATATATATAAGACTTCAATGACGAGTCTGAGGTTATCGCAACAATTAAATCTGAGAGCAAGCCTTGAAAGCACGTTGAAGAAACAGCCAAATCCAACTATATAAGCTTGAGGGTAAATGAAGCAATCTTGACTTACCTTTCTCTTTTCCAACACAATATAGAAACTACCCGACAGGTATCTTCCGGTAACTACATATATCGCACCCAACAACACCAGAAGCTACAAGACTTACCTGTAACCACGCCTCTCCATATCTCAACCCTCCATTCGCCTTACTTTGCTATCAGTAAGTACAGTTGACACTCAAACGGGTTCCTGACTTTCTGACTTAGAGGACAAGTTCGTGGTTCAACTTGGCCTCACTTTCTCTCTTGTGTTGTTAGCTTGCTGCTGCCCACTTAAATATCTCACCCCCTCCTTACCTTCTTCTTACCAACAACAACAACAACAACAACAACAACAACCACAGCAACAAAACGAATAACAACACGTATAAGCTCTTCTTCCTTTTCCTCTTTCTCCCCCCTGCTGGTCTTTAAATCTGTTGCTTCTTACGTGTTTTGCTTCAGTCGAGATAACAAATATCACGCTCTCTTCCAAGTCACTTCAGGATCCTTCTTATTTGATACTCCTCATCTATCACAGCCTTGTCTGCGGCCAAAAATCTGGTTGCTCAGCTTGACAAACAGTCAGTTCCTTTTCCGACTCGTTTTCTTCCACCCAAAAAGACGACTTTGTTCATTGTCGAGGTACAATAGCTGACCTGTGAAATTTGGTATCAGTCCAGCAAATTCTAGAAACCATGGCACCCCCAAAAGGCCCACCGGGTTCTCCTCGCGGACGGCCCGCTGCCCCGATGAATCCTGGGATGATGAGTCCTCGTGGAGCTTCGTCCTCTGGGGGTATGCAGGGCCAAAATCCAGTTCATCCGAATTTCCCAGCTCCTATGATTCCACATGGAGACCCAGCTCGAGACCAACCAACTGCATATTCCATAGATGACCTGGTAAGCATTTGTTTCCTATAATGTGTTTGTGAGAACATACCTGGCACAGTCTTATGTTTTGCTCGTTGGGATTCCGACAGCTTGCCCATCTATTTGTTTAAGTGTCTTCGGCCCTCTGGCCATTTCTACAACCAGACATACCTTGACTATTCACTCTCCTACATTTCTTATATCACTACGTTTGCTGAATTCAGCAAGACGTCGAATGGTTTCATTGAATATCTCATCTGCATATTCATTACCATATATTCACAACGTCAGGAAACTGCCACGTCGGGTCACTATGTTCGCCCAAACTTGTTGTCACTTCCTGATGCATTCACCCGCGATCCGTAAGGACCAACGAGTGAAGGGGCACATTCATTGTTTTCTTCTTAGATTTCCATATTCACCGCCCATTATCCCAAGTTGCATAAAAGGACTCATCTTTTTTCCTCCTCCCCCTTCCTTGATTTCTCTTCTTTTAATTCTCAAGATTCCTCTCCATTGCATTTCTTCAGCCATCCCTCTATCCACTTTCCATTTTATCCGCGTACAAGCTCTATTCCGTATCTTCTTGTTCATTTTGCCCATCATGCCGTTCACTCCCATGGAGCAAGTGCCGGATATCCGTCTCCGAAATTGCAATATTAATGATACGCCTCCTGAGCAGTATTTCGAACCCGTACCATTGGCTCCGCGCCCGGGGTTCAACACTACCGGCAAGGAAATAGCCTTGTCTACGAACTTCTACCCGATCTTGGATTACCCAAAGAAAAACGTTCATCAATATGATGTAAGATCAAACATTCATTTTATACACATAGCAGTTTGTTACTTTCAATGCTTACATACCTTCTAGGTCATGATCGGAAATGGCGCTGAGAAGCGTGTTGTCATGCAGAAGGTGTGGGACTCGAAGGCTCGCAAGAGTAAACTTAGCCGGGACTTTATTTTTGATGGAAGCAAGCTTGCTTGGTGAGTCTATTCAACCTACGTTTCTTGCAACTTTAATTTTCTTACTAAATCCGCCTTCTAGGTCACTCACCAAACTTGACCGCGATATCAACATTGTTGTTGATCTCGATGCTGAGCAAGGCCGTTCCGGCTCCAAGAACTCGAATGCTTTCCGGTTGGTTGTTCGATACACCAAGACCATCGCTTTGGCAACATTAGCAACTGCCATTCGTGGGGACATTAGTAAAGACAAGGAGACGACACAATGCCTTAGTAGGTTCCTCTCTCCCCAAAAAATTTAGCCACAGGTAACTAATACGGGTCCATAGCTTTTTTTAATCACCTTCTGAGGGAAACTCCTAGCCAGAGATTCATTGCGATAAAGTCATCATTTTTTTCCGATAACAGCCCCCAGACCTCTGTTGGCTGCGGAGTGCATGCCTACAAAGGCATTTTCCAAGCAATAAGAGTGGTGCAGGTGAGAATAACTCAATCGTGATCATTACTAGATAGCCGTTTGCTTACATGAACATAATAGCCTGGTTCTCTTGCAATCAATGTAGACGTTTCAAATGCGTGTTTTTGGTCACGCAATTCCTTACTTGTTTCCGCAGTTCAGGTCCTTGAACTACGAGACCCGCAACAGCTCATTTATAACTGCAAGCCGGAGAAAGATGCATTTGGCGGTAAAAAAGGCTCCAAAAAGTTCCAACTCCTGGATAGAATGAGGAAACTCGTTGTGAGAGCCAAGTACCCCGGATGCCCTTGTCCTGACAAAGAATGGACAATCAGAGAATTTCTCCTTGCAAACGCAAAGGAGTACAAGCTTGAAATCAAAGATCAGGCCACTGGAAAGATCAATTCGGTTTCTGTTTACGATTATTTTAAAAATCGATACAACGTCAATCTGACTTACTGGGAACTGCCACTTGTGCAGATGACCAAGAAAGATGTCGTATACCCCATGGAAGTCTTGGTTATCTATAAGTCTCAAAAATACCCTTTCAAATTGAATGACCTGCAGACCTCGTCTATGATCAAATTTGCGGTTACCCGCCCTGCGGAGCGCCGCAAGGCCATTGAAGATTCCAAAAAGGGCCTCCAACACCCCACTGACCCCATCCTTAACGCCTATGGAATGAAAATTGGCGATAATATGGTGAAGACTCGTGCTAGATTGATGCCCAATCCAGAAATCATGTTTGGAGGAAACCAAAAACTTAACCCCGGAACCAATGGACGATGGGATTTGCGAGGCAAGAAGTTTTACTCAAAGAATACCAAACCCCTGAAGTCTTGGGGAGTTGGTGTGTTTAAAGGGAGAAGCCCCATCAATATGGCCCAAGTCGAAGCGTTTTGTGATGCACTTGTACGAGCTTACCAAGGGCATGGAGGCGACATTGAGAGCCGTCGTCCTTTGATCATGGAAGTAGTCGCTGACCCAGCCAAAGCCGCCTTCGACCTGTTCCATGCCACCGGAAATAAATTTAACCTTCGTCCTGAGCTCATGATATTTGTTGTGGCAGATCGCCAGAGCTTCCACTACCTGCGAATCAAAAAGTCATGCGATTGTCGCTTCGGAGTACCATCACAAGTCCTACAGGGCCAGCAGGTTGCCAAATGCAACGGACAGTACATCTCTAATGTGCTGATGAAAATCAACGCTAAACTCGGGGGTACAACTGCGAGAGCAGTTTCAAAGCATAGCAGCGGCCTTCCCCCATATACGATGATCATCGGATCCGATGTCTCGCATTCGTCCCCAGGAAGCTTTTCGCCATCAATGGCCGCGATGACAGTCTCTATGGATACGTTTGGAGGCCGGTACACTGCCGGATGTGAGACTAATGGCGAGCGTGTTGAGCTTATTAGCCAGGCAAACATAAAATCGATACTCTCTCCCTTGATCCGTGAGTGGGTTATGACTATTGGGAAAGGCCGTGTTCCTCAGAATGTTTATTATTTCCGTGATGGCCTTTCGAGTGGACAATTCCAGGGCTGTTTACAGCAAGAAATACCCCATATTAAAGAAATCTTCAGCGAGATCATGGGCAGTGAATGGCCAGGAAAGATGACCATTGTTGTTGCATCCAAGCGTCACCATGTTCGATCTTTCCCCGAACCCAACGACCGTCTGGCTTCAGACAAGAATGGCAACCCCCTCCCAGGGACTCTTGTTGAGCGAGATGTTACAGACCCTTATAACTGGGACTTCTTGATATACTCTCATATTGCACTCCAGGGAACATCTCGCCCTGTTCATTATCACGTTCTCGTCGATGAGATGAAGCATAACCCCAACCAGCTGCAGAACATGATCTATGACCACTGCTACCAGTATATGCGCTCTACTACTTCTGTTTCATTGTGTAGGTTGCCTCAGCTGCCTCCTTACCTAAATTCATGCTAAAATCTTGTCATTATAGTCCCTGCGGTTTATTACGCGCATCTTGCGTCTGCTCGCGCCCGATCCCACGAGGACGTCCCTGCCAGCTCCGGACCACAATCCGGGCCAGGAGTCAAGCAAGGCCAGGCACGCCAGGGACCTCGAGAGTCTGACACTCCTCAGCTTCTCCCCATGCCAAACAACGACCGTATCGGGTTTAAGGTGTGGTATATCTAAGCTAGCATCAGTTTGCTCTTTTATCGTTTATCCCCGGCAGGGGGCATAGGGGACGTTGAATGGCTGAAGAAGCACCTCTTTTACGATTGAAACAGTTCCAACACCAAAAAAAAGCATTTCTTCTTATGGCGAATACTTGGGAGAGAAAACTGCCCCGCCTGAGAGAGATCCACAGACGGCGGCTCGAGGTTGCTCGGCGCGCTGCTAGGACTCTTCTCAGGAAGTTAGATAGGTAGAATGTTAACAATCAATTATTTCATGATCTTTTTTAATCTTCACACATTCTTTAACTATTAACCTGGTTTGTGACTTGAATGCCATCAATTGCGTTGTGTGTTGTATTCGGTATATATATATATATCGGGTAAGTGTTTCCACATGTAAGTAAGCGGGAGAAGGCGGTAATAAGAGGCAGAACCATAAAGGGAAATGCCCACCCCGTGATAGCACGCGTACCGGGCCCCCCGGATATCGTCTTTTTCTCAGTAATGCGCAGCTCGGTTAACAAGATCAATAACATTGATACTAATGCCAGTGACAATGTTAGATTTCAAGCAGTAGCAACAGCAACGATAACAGTAACAGCAACAGCAGCAACAGGAGAACTACTAGCGGGGGCAACCATGTCGATGGATTCCTGGACCAATCTCAAGACGGCAGTGGCCGTGTCCTACAACAGTTGGGGTGTTTTCCTAGTCGGAGCAATGATCTGTGCCATCATCATTGTTTATGGACCGTGTCTCCCAATAGGGCAAGCTCTTGGGTATTCAATGTATTAAACCCCCATCCACTGGTATCGGATATAATGCTGACGTTTAGAAAGCTGCCGATGGGCGAATACGAAGTAGCTTCACAGCCGCGTCAGTCCTCCCACCCCCAAACCTCGTGAGGGGGGCCTCCCACCGGGCCCAACCCCCTATTACCACCAAACCCGCCGCCGCCGAACCTCCTACTACCGTCGAACCTCCCCTGGCTCCTGGATCCTAAGTCTCCTACCATGCCTGAGCTTCCTAAGGTTCTGACATCCAAAGTTCCAGAGAATCCCTTCCTCTAACTTTCTTCTATTATCATCTTTGTCTCGTTCTATCTCTCTCTTTCTTTTCTTCCTTGTTTTATCCCCTTCATTTTCTTTTTTTTTTTAGAAGAAAATACTATAATTATTATACTTACTTGGGGAAGCCTGAGGAAACCAGAAAATATGTTGTGCCCCAACCGCCCGTAGGCCTCCCAGGCGTAGTCCAATCTAGCGCTTTATTATTAGCATATTGCTAAGGGGGTATACGTAGGATGCTAATTATGCAAAGTAAATAGCGGAAGTGCTATGGTAGACTCCTTTTATCAACTTGATAATCTTGCAGCAGAGAGGATACACCTCCTCAGGGAGATGTAAGGGTAACTACTATGCCTGGTGTCCCGGGGTACAGGAGGGCATAGCGTTAAGGAAAGCTACGGATGGTATCAAGAAGAGGAGGCCAAACCATGCTCAACCTGATATGTCCTTTAAAATGGCCCTGAATGAAGCTTTGGATGATGTTGATTTTAGCATGTCCAACAGCTTGGCTTATGTAACATTCACGTGAGTGTGGTCGGGGAAAACGCCGAAGAAAGAACCAGCGCGACGGAGGCCTCCGCAGCACGAAAAATCCCCTACGGAGGCACAGCATTTAAAGTAACGAATCTGCTTTCATTTCTAGAATATTCGTCTCCATCGACAGATCTCGGTTAGAAGGAGTTCTCTCCTGGGACGGCTAGCGAGAGATGTTGCCCGAAAGGTGGTACATCGGTTATCAAGCCTGAGACCCAACGAAAACCACTCAGCGGTTCTCTGAAAGAACGTCTTTTGCCATCCAACAGCAAGGCCGTGGCATGTATATGTATATGCTCTGCAGCCTCACACCACCAGGTTCTTAGTTAGCCACCCGTTTATATACTACGTATATTTCTCATCCTTCGAGAGGCCTTGCTTATATTTACATTGTAATACATATAACCGTAGATGTAATTTCCAGGTCAGTTATGTAAATAACACGCAACCGGGGTACGACAGGGATGGAAGCCGTTTGCCATCGCTCGATCATGGTTTACCCGTTATCGGCATAATGCCGCGCCGAAGGATCAAAGCCTGTTTGGAAGGTAACTCATTTAAAAAGTATTGGCATGTTCAAATTTGGCCAGCGAAAGCTAAGCAATAAAGGACGGGACTGGCTGAGTCAAGCAACTACCAAGGAGCTAGCGGGAATGCTTGCGCTTGACGAGCTACACGCCTTCAGCGGTTGATATACGGGATTCATCGTTATGTTAACCTCTGATCAGTTGTAGCTTTCCATGTCAAAACTGTTGTCGAAAGGGAAAAAAGAGAGCCCTATATCCATGTCAGTTCGTTACCGGGTGGAGGCATGTATTACCCTTACTTACATGGCGGTGGAGCAGAACCAGATGTTGCCTTTATACCTGCATCTCTGTCATCCTTCTTTGCCTCCTTCTGCACCTCTTGCGCCCGGCCATTCCTCAAGTGTCTGGGGTAAAAAGGAAAGAAAAAAGTATCTCAAGCTGATCGTCATATCCGTCAGCCTCGACGTTTAGTCCCTCATCCTGCCGCAGCGCCTTCGTATCCTGTCCTCCCGACCTGCTTCCTCTGTTCTCAAGAACGCCAAGTTAGGAGCAGACACCCTTTGACGCTTGGAGTATTGATGCGCACTGGAATCTCCACTTGGACGGCTTCGCTTGCTTTTTCCTGGCCGCAGCTCGTGTAGAGAGAACGCACTTGCGTGCAATGTATCTACCAGGCTGGTACTGATGTCAGACAAGAAAGTAGGTCAGCGGTAAGTGGCTGGCGGCCGTGGTTGGCTGGTCGCGGTAAGGAAAAGCCAGGGCATGTAACAGTGATGGAGAAATAATGTAACGGACGTCATCGTACCCAGAAAAAGCTCGCGGGCACGACCGAAGCAGCCATATCCTGGAGCCGGGGAAGTGGAGAAGGAAAAAGAAGATTACCTGGATATATATGTAAGATGAAGGTCTTTCTTTTAATCTCTCTCCTTTTTGCATCCTCAAACTCGTCTTGTGCGCCATTTCCGATCCTTTGTTGTGATCGCATACGACGCACACACACATATATATCTAGCTGATCAGGCCGTAGCTCTTTCACAAAGCTTTCTCTACCACCCTCTCGGCAAGGCAGTCCTTAGCTATTCGTGCCATAGCAAGCCCGCCTCACAATGGCCGAACCCGAGCGTGCTAGCGACCCTGCTACGACGCAACCAACACAGCCAACGACGCAGCCGGAGACGCACCAGATCGCACCAGCTCAAGCTGAGCCAAAGACAACGATCGGCAGTAGCAATGGAAGCTCCGACGTGGAAGATGAGGAGCGCGGAGAGAGAGACCGCATCGATCTCCAGAACAACATAACCGCAAAGTGCGTAGATTATGCATTTGTAGAACATGGAAACAGAGACTGACAAGACGCGAAAAACATAGAGTGCAAAACCCGCTTGCAGACATCCCCAAGAGACGGCTCCTCAGTGACGTTGACGAGTTCGCGACCAGGTATGGGATGGAAGACTCCCTGCCTTTGCTGCGAAAAGGTGCTCTCATAGCAAGGGATCCAGCCAACTTCGAGACCGTCGAGGGCCTCACGGAGGATGAACGAGAGTGCATCCGCAGAGAAGTCACTCATAAGTGGCATCAGCCATGGTCGATGTACTTTACCATCATCCTGTGCTCCATTGGAGCTGCCGTTCAGTGAGTATTTCTGCTTCACTTTTCTTTGCGCGGCCAGGTTCTAACACAGTTATGATACAGAGGATGGGATCAAACCGGTTCCAACGGTGCCAATCTCTCATTCCCCGTAGCTCTCGGTATCGATGATTCACCAGGAGCTCCCAATGCTGAAGTCAACTCCTGGCTTGTTGGGCTTGTCAACTCGTAAGTTACATCGAGATGCATCCTACCGTAGCTTTTATATATAGGTACTGACCAAGTTCTATAGTGGACCATACATCGGTTCGGCTCTATTGTAAGCAACTTCTCCCATCCTAGGTGGATTTACCGCTGGTGGCTTATATCAAGTTGAGCTGTCTAACTGAGCAATAGTGGTTGCTGGCTTTCTGACCCTCTGAACCAGTACCTCGGTCGTCGAGGTACCATTTTCATTTCCGCCGTTTTCTGTGTCCTGACTCCTATTGGCTCCGCTGTGGCTCAAACATGGCAACAGCTGTTGGCAACTCGTCTGCTGCTCGGTGTTGGAATGGGCACAAAGGCTTCGACAGTTCCGATTTTCTGTGCTGAAAACACCCCTGCTATCGTCCGTGGTGGTCTCGTCATGAGCTGGCAGCTGTAGGTTCACTATTACATATCCCATTTCTACCATGGGGCCACTCACTGATATGTCAAATAGATGGACTGCGTTCGGTATTTTCCTTGGGTTTACCGCTAACCTTGTCGTTAAGAACGCTGGAACCATTGCATGGCGTTTGCAAGTTGGTTCTGCTTTCATCCCGGCTGTTCCTCTCGTTGCTATGGTGTACCTTTGCCCCGAGTCGCCGCGTTGGTATATCAAAAAGGGCAAGATTTCCAAGGCATATCACTCTCTCAAACGGCTGAGGAATCATGAGATACAGGCGGCGAGGGATCTCTATTTGATCTACTCTCAGATTCAAATTGAGACAAAACTCGCGGGAGATAGCAACTATGTCACCCGCTTCATCCAGCTCTTTACCATTCCCCGGGTTCGACGTGCGACTTTGGCTTCGTTTGTGGTTATGATTGCTCAGCAGATGTGTGGAAGTACGTATCCCCCGCCTACCCCGATTCCATTGTTCTCATGCTGATATGTAAAATGTATATAGTCAACATCATGGCCTTTTACTCGTCGACAATCTTCAAGCAAGCAGGTGCCAGCGAATCCGAAGCTCTCATCGCCTCGTTTGGATTTGGATTGGTCAACTTCGTCTTTGCGTTCCCTGCAATCTGGACAATCGACACATGGGGCAGACGTGCTCTACTGATCTTCACTTTCCCACAGATGACTTGGACCCTACTCGCTGCTGGTTTCTGTTTCTACATCCCAGAGGATAGCAGAGCCCATCTTGGTCTTATCGCCTTCTTCGTCTTCCTTTTCGCCGCCTTCTACTCTCCCGGTGAAGGACCGGTACCCTTCACTTACTCTGCGGAAGTCTTCCCCCTATCTCATCGTGGTAAGTTTCTAGCCCTCCTTCGCGGTACAGAGGCTCATGATCACTGACCTGTGTATGAACATTCCAGAGGTCGGCATGTCCTGGGCCGTGGCTACCTGCCTATTCTGGGCAGCAGTCCTTTCAGTGTCTTTCCCCCGTATTCTGCAAGCCATGACCCCAACCGGTGCCTTTGGCTTCTATGCGTATGTCCTCCCCCCTTGCCTAAATAGCCAAGGTATAAATATATATGAAACTAACCCGGTCGAAACAATATAAAGTGGTCTGAATGTTCTCGCCCTAATAATGATTTATCTCTGGGTCCCCGAAACGAAACAGCGCACCCTCGAGGAACTCGACTACATCTTTGCCGTCCCCACAACGACGCATATGCACTACCAAGTCTTCAAGGTCCTGCCTCATTTCTTCCGCCGCCATATCCTGCGCCAAAAGCATGCGGATCTCGAGCCCTTGTATAAATTTGATGAAATCCATAGAGATGATGACAGCGATGTCCACCACAGCGTCCAGGTTGACAACGGCACAGTGGCTGAAAAGCTGTAAGAAGGTTTCTCATCACCTTGTTTAGATATAGGGTTATTGTCATGTTAAGTATAATGTCTCTCTTTTTGTTATTGGTTAGCTTGGTTTTGGTTTTTTTTTTATATTCCATGTCATCTTTCTAGGTAGACGGTTTTTCTCTTGAAAGATCTACCAGTCAGTCTCTAAATAGTATTAATGGGAGTAGAATGCTTTTCTTATTCCAAGACGCTCTTTCATCCCATTATTCATGAAGGCTTGTGTCATTGAATATACAGATATGATCGTCTATGGGAATGTTAGTTCGGTGGCAATAGCTAGAAGCAGCTCCAACAATACCGTCTCTCCTCACTCTCTTTATCCCCCTTTCCTTTATGAAAACTTCCTCTTAATAGAAAAATAGTTGCTTGCTGGTGGTTGAAAATAAACGTCACGTGGCCTCCTTTTCCTTCTGCATATCCAACTTCGTCCCTTTTTGGCTTGCTTTTTGTTTTTTGGCCCATCCGCCTTTTCTCTCTTCCATCTTCGCACCATCCATACCATCCTCGCCTCTCTGCTCTTCTCCGACTGCCCTGACGTTGACTCGCACATACTCCAAACAAGTCTTGCATCCGCATATTCCGTCCACGCCAACTGCAGCTCTCTGCCCCTCGACGCAAGCAGCTCTCGGACTTGTGGGTGCCCGCCTTATTTTTTTTTTTTGGATACAACAACTTATATGGGCGGTGGAGCTTTGCAGCAGCTTCCTACCGTCAACAACATAGTACAGCAGGACACGATACGGACGACACGCATACAGGGAACTACAATTCGGCCTTCCCTGCGCGCGCATACCATACAGGATACCGCTTCGTCATCAGGGCCGGTCTCTTGACCGCTTGGGTTTTGACTGACCCTGTGTCCATTTTCCCTTCTGCCCCCCTGGCTTTCTATCTCTAGCTTTTTATTTCTTTCCTTAACGACAACGGCCTCACGCTTAGACGATTTGAATGCTTGACATATTATAATACCACACAGCACTGCTTTTATTTTTTTTTTTTCTCTTTGGTATATTGGTTGGTAGACCATCAGGGAAAATGGGCGAAGTTCAGGCTAAGCTAACATCATCTTGATTTTAGGCAACAACTCTTTCTCTAATAACACTTGCTATACAAACTGCACACGGCCTTCTCCTTTGTCCCTGGAGCTCTTTTTCGACATTTAAAATAATTTCCGCTGTTATCGTTTGGGGGGAGGATTCTAGAATATCAAATCATGCCTTGTTTTAAGGGACTTGCGGTCAGCATTCATACGCCTAATGGGCCCCTTGCAGAATACTCAGTTCAGCGCCATTCTCGTGCCTCTCGAATTGCCTGCTACATCCCAGTACCGCCTCCTAAAATACCTAACCCAGCTACCGGGAAGCCGGAACAGTCGACTTTCGCCATATCTATCACCCTCCTCACACCCGGTCTGACTGTCCCTTACTCCGCCCCAAAAGTAACTCCGGAAAACCCTTATCCAAAACCGAAGATCGTGGGGGGGCTTCCGGATCAGCCTAGTGCTGCTTCGTCTATAGGGCCATACCAACCCATGACAGCTTCTCCACGGGAAACAGTTGCGGCATATATTTATTTCGATGGCAGACAGAAAGAGGAAGTGGCCACGTTATTGAGGAGGGGCGAGGAAACATGGGTCAATTCTAGGTGGGTGGGCGTTCCGCAGTCTGAAGGCGGTGGGCTTGCCGAACGAGAATTCCTGTTTCGTGAAGTTGGGTTGGAACGGTGGCTGAATGGGTTAGACCTCGAGGGGAAGGATGCTGCGCAGAAGATCGAACGAAGACGTCAAAAGATGGAGAAACGAAGGCGGAAAAGAGAGCTCCAGCAACGCGAGGAGAATACCGCTAAGTCTGCAATACCTGATACTGATGAAGGGATGGATATAGATGATAAGAAGCCAAAACTTCAACGTGAGAAGGGTGTCCTTCGATATGGAGCGAACGAGCAGTCACCAGTTGAGCAACTGTCGGACGATGCGGATATATTATCATCAGATTCGGATCTGGATGATGATGACCCTATCCCAGAAACCGCGGGTCAGATCAAGGTAGCCTTATTCCGGGTCTTAGCCTCTGGAGAGATCAAACGCGGAGAGTATTCTCCTCAATTTGATGCCCACGACGACGACGAAGATGCGCATGGCCAGGGCCGTGAATCAAATGGAAACGGCAACTCTGCAGATGTAGACCATACTACCAGCTTTGCAAAACCGAAATCGCTAGATCCCAAGTCCATCAGCACCCAGACCGTAACCGGAATTGATCCTACCGACAAGCCCTATGCCGTCTTTACATTCATGTATAGGGGTGAACGTAAGTGTTTCGCCCCAGATTTATCTTGTGCAATCGTCCATTTTGGTACAATGCTAACATGACGCCTTTTTTGGACAGGTCAATTGCAGAAAATGGGGATATTAAAGGATCCTAAGTCTCAAGACAAGGAATCACTAAAGTCCGCTCGTCGAAAGTCTACACAGCCTGATTTCGCGAATATCAAACCGCTAAAGCCTGGTGGCACCACCGGTTTTATAGGGTTTCGAGATCGCGATAATGAGGTGAAGATTGGGAAACGAAAAGGCCCTAATGGAAGCGAGCCTGACAGTGATGAGGATGATGACGACGAAGGCGTCTCCGTTTCCATTGTTGGAAAAGCAGAGGACGAAGAAGAGAAGGAGACCAACTCTCTTCTGTCTCCCGATGATGCCAAGAGGCAAGGTGAGCTTGCAGAAGGCGTCAGGCAAATAAAGGTATGATGAAGTCGCGAAGAGTTTTCTTCCCCATAACCCTGAATTCATTACGCCAGAACGCTTATATCGTAATTGCACCTTTTTTTAGTTAAAACGACAACATTCTGCCGAACCCTTGTCAACAACAGCCGGTAATGCAGATCCCGCCAGGGTCTCTAAATCGAGCACTCCCGGATCAAGGCTTTCCCCGCCAGTATCAACAAGCCATGACTCCACACCCCCTCGTAGTAGCCTGCCCAAGGAGACCAGTATGAATCTACTCGACAATGATGCATATGTCGGCAGCCCACTAAAGAAGCAGAGGGCAAGCATATCGGCAGCCAACGACGATGTACTTCGTCAAGGAGCAGTCACGGGGCTATCATCTAAGATTCACGAGATTATGGATACAGCACCGGCCACATCTGCCGGTGAAGGCGAAAACAGCCATGGCAGCATGAACAATAGCAGTACAAGAACCGCCACCGATAACAACGGCCTTCGCGGGTCCCTGTTATCGGAGGGTCGAATGCAGTCCGACATAAAGGTACCCGGGGTAGATGAGGAGTTGTAGCGAACGGGCCTTCGCCATCGTCCAGGGGGTCAAATGCATAGGGGGTCAAATGCATGCAACTCCTTCAGTCATTTCCTCACAGCTACATACAATTTTATTAATATTACCCTCCTACAGGAGTTTCGGAGAAACGAGTCGTCCTTTTTTTTTTTTGGGAGACTAGTAGAAACTCGTTTCTTCATCAAAATCCTTCCACCCTAGTCGGTTTACCTGGGTACCAGCACAAAGACAGACGGATAGGCGGGAAAAGTGGGAATGAATTATTATCCTGTTGGATTCTTTATAGGCCTTCTACGGAGTCATATCTTTCCTTTGGTCCCTTTTTATGCATGTATCCATCCACCTTGTTTTCCTGATGATGAAGAAGAATGTTGGTATGTCAAGCTTCGTCACCTTCTACGGGGCTTCTAGTCCCAACGGCCTCCACACATAACTGACAGCTATGTGGATCATTTATCCTCCGTAACTCTGCATTATCGTTCTCTTCTTCGGACGCTTTTTTATTTTGGTACCATAAATTATCTTTATCCCTGGAGCGTTGGCCTGCCACTCACCTGCGAGGTTCCACATATCCTATAACATACATACTATATGGTATGCCCGGAATATAGGAGTAGTAAGGAAACATGACTTGCTGGCAACGCATCTGCCCATGCAGGAGCCACACCTATAACAGCGGTGATATAACTGTTCGACAGCTGACAAACGACAAAACCCCTCCATCTACGATGTCGATCGAGATACTCCGTACTCACCGTGACAAACTATTGAGACGATCTTCAGAAAAAAAGGCATGCCAGTGAAGTTTAAGTACTTCGGCTACCAGAAATCATGTCACTTATGCAGCTGAGCGACTGACGAAAAGGCGACAATTGATCTTCCAAGGCTTATTCGATCTTTTCAGCCCCATTTCCTTCTTCCATTCCTCCTTTCTTTTCTCCGGTGCAACCTGGAGCTAGGTCTTTCTATCTAAAACCCCTACCAATCCATGTCTAAGATGAAAATCGTCGCCCTACCTACGCCAGCCAGCCAGAGAGAAGGAAGGCCGGTGGCCTTGCCGAAGTCACATGCCCCGGGCCCACCGAGCAGCCGTCGCTGCGGTGGATTTTTTCCAACCCAAGTCGGTCCCTTGGTTGGGAAGGAAAATCATCTTGGTCGTATGGGGAAGCTCGCGCCGCATGTCTTTGCCGTGATGTCCTTCCTCTTTTGTCTTTTTCTTCACTAATAGGCTGAGAGGGAGATGGAAGAGGTAGAGGGAGGGGGAGGGAGAGAGCGCTGAAAAGGGTGAGGTGCTCTCTCCTCGCTTCTCGACTCCCATCGTTCGATATAAACTCGTATCGTGATATTGAAGAGATGAGTCTAGAAAGGCCGTCTAGGGGTGAATCGCCAAACAAGGCCATGACACCTGCAACACACCAACTCCGTACTAATATCGATTGTGATGCAACGCGATTTTATACGGGCTATCTGCTCCATCGTTACCGTCTGTGCCCATAAAAATATTATCCTACGGTCAGTCTACTGAGCTTTTGATGGGGAGACGTGGAGCAACCCAGGTACCAGGACTCTCCAACATCCAATTGAAGAGGCGCAGGGATGGGCAGTTTAACGCAAACCCTATCGAACCTCTACCATGTCGAAAGCTTGCAGTTTGGAGTCTCCATTACTTCGAGATTAGTGCATAAATGTACGATCCACCGACCCACACAAAGCATACGAGGTAGCCGAAGGTGCGTGGAAGGGTTCCTGAATCATTTGTGTTACCCAAACATCCTCCAGTTCTATTGTTTCCAGGCCGGTCAGGGCATGCAAGGGGAGAAGGAAACGACTTAAGGTATACAAGGGAAGAAGGAAACGAGCTTAAAGCATGCATCATACAGAACGAGAATTGACGTAACAAGTGACACGAACTCCTTTCATAAAAGCCAAAACAAAAAATGAGGAAAAACCGTTTGTCATTGAAGCACGCTTTCTACCTACCACTTACAAGGTATTCCAGGGATTTGGCATGAACTTCATGGATGGGGTATCAACGGGGTCAAGTTATTGAACCTTGAGTCGACCCGAGGAACACTGATGATGTTAATTTAGCAAGCGGCAAAGACATGTATGTATACTCCGTACACCTTTTGCTTTTTATCAAATCGCCTCCTTTCGTATACTTCGCCGCACGATCATGCCTTTTCGGCCTCTCTCCCTCCATACAAGTCGGGATTCCACTACAACCAAGCGGGTCCGAAGAAGATCTATCTTGAGTGCTTTTATAAAAACTAGCCATCTCTCTCTTTTTCAGTTTAAGCCTCCTCTTCTCTTTCTCCTTGTTTCTTGATCTTGCGGTGGTTCCAGTTCAATTCCCCGACACTAAATATTGGAGCCAGGCCCTCGGGAGGAGAAACATCCGGATTTTATATATCAGGAGCCCGCCCCTGAACATCGAGTGACCTGGAGTCTACCAAGTTGTTTACATACGCTCATCGCCCTCCTTAGCTGTCTTCTTCGGATTCACTACACCAGCTTTCAGTACTGCCATCATGAGAAATCCTCCTCCAGAGGTCATACGATCATGGCCAAAACCCAACTATATCAACCCAGAGTATGCAGGACCCGAGCTGGCCATTATTGGAGTGACATTCGCGACATTGTCGGTTATTATTGTTTCTCTACGGATGTTTGTTCGCCTTCATATGCGAAAAGCTGCGTCCTGGGATGATTGGCTTATGGTAGCTGCTATGGTACGTTTTGATCACTTTCCGGGTTTAGGTTGTATGGAACATTGACTAACATGTTTACTCTTTAGCCATGCCTAGTAGGCATCGCAGCAGCATCGATTATCAGCACCAAGTATGGATGGGGTGAGTTTCTACAATCCGGCCAGTGATATAATTTTTGCATAGCTGACGGCAACTTCACGAACAGGTTTCCATATCTGGGATTTCAAACTCAAATATTTTAAACAATCGAGAATAGTAAGGGATATCCATTCATGTTCTTATTTTCAACCTTCTAGTTCCAATCCATTCTAATTCTGATATAGACCAGTTACATATGCCAATTTTTGTTCGTACCACTTATGAGCTTCGTCAAACTGTCGATTTTGGCCTCATATCTACGATTCTTCACAGAGAAGCTATACATTAAACTAGCTTGGGTGCAAATTGGCTTGGTCTTGGCTTGGTTTGTCTGCTTCACGGTTATGATGCTTGTTGCTTGTGTGTAAGTCTTCTCTCGCCTATTAAACATATGGAAAAGGGCAGAAATAGGTATCCTAATGCTGATTTTCTACCTAGTCCTCTTACAAATTACTGGAACTCGTTTCTCCAAAAAGGCTGCATGGACGAAGAAATCAGGCTCCTGCCAGCAATTTATTCTAATGCTGTGATGGATGTAATGATCCTCCTCACTCCCTGCCCAACGCTTTGGAGATTGCACCTCCCAGTCCGAGACCGGATTGTGCTAATTGTGATGATGTGTTTGGGTTTGATGTACGGAGCTCCCCTTGAATACCTATTTGACATGACGAATACTAACTAGTCCATTTATAGTGCTTGCGTTGCAGGATGTGTTAAGTCATATTACATGTATCAGACTCTCGTGGGAACATATGATGTAACTTGTAAGTCGAGACATTGGCTCTCTCTATATATATGCTTAGTGTATACAGGAAAGCTGACTCAATGCTCAACCATAGGGGAAGGATACAAAGTCTGGGTATGGACCGACATTGAAGTGAACCTCGCGGTGATTTGCGCCTCCATCCCTGTTCTGCGGCCGTTTGCGCAGAAGTATCTCCCCAAACTCGGCTTCAAGACTGCGAGCGCCAGATCGCAGTACGGTCAACGATGGGACAGCAATCGCTCTGGCGGGCTGCACTCGGCGGGGATCTACAAGCAGCAAACTATCCACCAGACAGTCAGGTCCCGGCACACCACTGACGATGAGGACGATGACGGCGGGTCCACCATTGCTCTAAGCCCCACGGAGTATCCTATACCAAAGACACACCCGTCTTCTCCCCGGCCCTATGACGCCCGTCGCTATGCTCAAGGTTCTCGAAACGGCTTTTACAATGAGCCCAATAATGATTCTAACAAGGATGCCCGATACGCCAACTACGCTTGATGCCTAGTGGCAATATCGTGCACAATTCCTCATGTTCATTTTTTTTTAATGGAATTATAATGGCTATGGATGCGTTTCTTTGGGCGTTTTTCATCTCTCTTCTCCTTTTTTGTTAAAATCAGCTTTGGCCTTAGAAACATACCCAGGGGGGAGGTCTATTTCCGATACCCGGCTCCGGTTCTATCAGATTTCTATATATTTTACCTTTCGTATGAATATTTAACTTGGGGCTGCGGAGTATAATTTTTTTCTTTTTTTTTTTTGGCTTCTCTAGATACGATAACAATTTATCCATAAAGCTCATCCCGATCACATTCTCCCTCCACGATCCGAATAAGCCACTACCGAGGCCCCAACCATGGCTCTTCAGCGATCTAGCGATCCTCTAGTCTGGGTAGACTGCGAGGTTCGGCTCCATACAAACCAACAACCCCAGGACGCTCAAGGTCAAACCAAACCAACTAACCACGGAGGCAGATGACGGGACTTGATCCGGCAAATGATAAGATACTGCAGATATGCTGCTTCATCACGGACGCGCAGCTCAACCTTCTCGAGCCAGCGGGTTTTGAGGCCGTCGTCCACCAACCCCAGGATGTCCTCGACCGCATGAACGCCTGGTGCATCGACACCCACGGCCGCTCCGGCCTAACCGCCGCCAGTCTCTCGTCCACCACGACAGCTGAAGAAGCTGCCAGCGATCTCCTGGCCTACATCAAGCGATATGTACCCAAGCAGCGAACCGCCCTGCTCGCCGGGAACAGCGTACACGCAGACAGAGCCTTTCTAGCCCAGCAACCGTACGCAAAGGCCCTGGGCTGGCTGCACTACCGCATCCTGGACGTGAGCAGCGTGAAGGAGGCCGTTCGACGATGGAGCAGCGACGAGGTGCTGCGAGATGCGCCGGCGAAAAAGGGCGTCCATCTCGCGCGAGATGACATCCTGGAGAGCATCGAGGAGATGAAGTATTACCGCCAAAAGCTGTTTGCCTCGTAGTCCTTTTCCTCCTCCGTCTTTATTATTCTTATATTATCCTGCATATATAATATCTCGTTTTAATTAATTGGTGGTGGCGGGAAGAAAACAAAGTCGAAGCCAACGCAGAAAGTGGGAAGCCCAACGTGATGATGCCCCGCGATGCAAATGACGCAGGGTTTTTCTCTCTCTTCTTCTTCTTCTTCTTCTTCTCCTTCTCCTCTTCTTCTCTTCTTCTTCTCTTCATCTTCATCTTCGTCTCTTCTTCAAGCTCCATCTCTTCATAATCGTTGTTTCGAAGAGTAAACCTCAATTGGTTGAGTCTTGTTTACCCAGCTGAGGATCTAAACAGCCATCATGGCCGTCAAGACAGTGGAAATCACCCCGTTCCCCGACCAAAAGGCCGGAACGTAAGTACAGGAAGGCCAGAAAGAACACTAGACGACCTGCTTCAAACAATTGAATGCTAACGAGAGCTATGCAGGTCTGGTCTCCGCAAGAAAGTTACCACTTTCCAGCAGCCCAACTACACCGAGTCCTTCGTCACCAGCATCCTGCTCTCCATCCCCGAGGGAGCCAAGGACGCATTCCTGGTCATCGGTGGTGATGGTAGATACTATAACACTGAAGCTATCCAGCTTATTGCTCGCATTGGAGCTGCCTATGGCGTCAAGAAGCTCTTGATAGGGCAGAACGGCATCCTGAGCACCCCTGCAGCTAGCCATGTTATTCGCAAAAGACAGGCGACGGGGGGCATCCTGTTGACCGCAAGCCACAACCCTGGAGGTAAACACCGCGTCATGATCGTCCCTTTCGTATCTTGATATTGAACTGACTGGGGTGGTTTTTTTTTTTCTTATCACCGCAATTGCAGGGCCCAAGGCTGATTTCGGGATTAAATACAATCTCTCAAACGGAGCTCCTGCCCCGGAATCCGTTACAAATAAGATCTACGAGGTATCAAAGTCTTTAACCTCATACAAGATCGAAGAACTCTCGGAAATTAAACTCTCGGAAATTGGAACCCAACGCTATGGGTCTTTGGAAGTTGAAATTATCGACTCTACTGCTGATTACGTAGAGATGCTCAAGGATATCTTCGACTTCGGCCTGATCAAGTCATTTTTGCAGAGCCGTCCAGATTTCAAGGTCCTTTTTGACGGCCTTCATGGTGTCACCGGGCCATACGGAATTGCCATCTTCCAGAAAGAACTTGGCTTGCCCGCTTCCAGCACCCAGAACTGCATTCCAAGTCCTGATTTCAATGGTGGCCACCCAGACCCCAACCTGACCTACGCCAAATCGCTGGTGGATGCGGTTGACAAGGATGGAATTCAGTTTGGCGCGGCCAGCGACGGCGACGGCGACCGAAACATGATCTACGGTGCCAACGCGTTTGTTTCTCCAGGCGACAGTCTCGCCATCATCGCACACCACGCAAAGCTCATTCCATACTTCCAGAAGCAAGGAGTTTACGGCCTGGCCCGCTCAATGCCGACTTCCGGTGCTGTCGATCTTGTCGCCAAGGCTCAGAACCTGCAATGCTACGAAGTTCCTACAGGCTGGAAGTTCTTCTGCGCCCTTTTTGATACCAATAAGATGTCAATCTGTGGCGAAGAGAGTTTCGGCACTGGAAGTAACCATATCAGAGAGAAGGACGGACTTTGGGCAATCGTTGCCTGGCTCAACGTTATCGCCGGCTACGCCAAATCTCACCCCGACAAGCCATTGAGCATTGCAGCCATCCAGCAGGACTTCTGGGGAATCTACGGACGTACCTTCTTCACCAGATATGATTATGAGGACGTGGATAGTGATGGAGCAAAGAAGGTCATTGCTGACCTCACTGGCCTTATCGAAAAGGACACCTTCATTGGTTCTACAGTTTCCGGCCGAAAGGTTACAAAGGCAGGCAACTTCTCCTATACTGATCTTGATGGCAGCGTGAGCAAGAATCAGGGATTGTTTGTCAAGTTCGACGATGGCAGCCGTATCGTTGTCAGACTTTCTGGAACTGGTAGCAGCGGTGCAACTATTCGCCTATACATTGAGCGCCACGAGAGCGATTCAAAGGAAATTCTCAAGGATGCTCAGGATTACCTGAAGGACAACGTGGCACTCGCGGTCAAGCTGCTGAAACTGAAGGAGTACATTGGTAGAGAGCAGCCCGATGTCAAGACCTAAGCAGCTTCGGCCTTAACCACAGCGAGGCATCTTGCAAGGGGAGAGAGAGACTAAAATGACTATTTCATAGGCAAGGAGCACGCAGCATTTCAATCCCTGATTCATTCGTTTTATATGACCTAATGACCTGTTTCAATGCAGGAACAAACATAAACTTAGCAAATGAGCGTCAACACTTTACTTTTCACAGTTATTAGCAAATACTCAAAGCAATCAACATACAATGCATTACCATGAAATTTAACCTCCCACAAAAAGAGGCCTATCTAATTAGGGATTTGTTCAGTTTTCTTCGCCCACCAGTCCTTCCAACTTACAACGAGCTCTTCTCGCCGGGCTTCTTCAGCAGCAAAGACTACCGCATGGCTTCGGATTGCCTCTTCCAAGGTACACCCTAGAATCTCAATTTGAGCTTTCTTGACATCCCATCCCTGGTTCTCCACCGAGTCAACAGCTCTAACAAAAGCTCGTGTGAGTCCATAATCTCCACCTCCGTGAGACTCTGCTTCTTCCGGAGGTGGCGGAGCTATGGAATGCTTTGTCGTCTCCCCAGTTCCGAAAGTGTAGATGCTGATTGTTACGCCGTCATATGTGACCTCACCCAGGGTACCAGATATGCGTCCACGGCGAACACACTGGGACTCAGTTGGAGCTACCATATGCAGCGTAGCGAGTTTTGCACCCCTGCCGCCAAGTGGTGATTGCGTATGCGAGTATGTCTTACAACCTTGCGGTATGGGATCACTTCCCCAAGCGATGGTGACAAATTGGTCATCACATACGCTGTTATCAGACTCGTACACGCAGCGGCCATACCATGGACGCGAAGCAACGTCTTCATCACGCATCGTCTTCACCTCGTAATCCTCAGCCAAAATACTGAGGAGATTCTTCTTTGCTGTTTCCATGCCGTGTTTAGATAGGACATCTTCGATTTCCGGATAGACATTATGGGCAGGAAATCCTGTACTTCCCTTTGCCAGGCACATATCATTATATATCTTGACAGAACTGTATATGCAATCCCGTTCAATAGGGCAGGAAAGACAGTTCGTGCTGTCTCCGGCAGCGGGAGGCTTGTTTGCCTTTGTAAACTGTGACAGCATCCCCGTTGAGGTTATTGTTCGCGGCAGGTGCTCTGGATAGTCAAGCGGTGCACCCGGAGGAGGCGAGCAGAGCAGCCATAATATAAAATCAATATCATGACAGCATTTGGTCAATAAGCTGCCGTCTGCAGCTGGTGTTTCCCTCCTCCAGTTTCCGCGAACATAACTGTGAGCGAAGTGAGACCATCCCACAGGCTCAGTATGCTCGATGGATATAATGTCTCCTATCACTCTATCCGCGAGAAGGAGCTTGCGAAGCAGCTGGTTGTGCGGGCTATACCGAAGCACATGGCCGATTGAGAATATCTTTGAAGGCACCGGTGATGTTGGAGATGCATCCGTTATCGCCTTGGATGCAAGAAGGATATCTGTTAAAGATAGAGCCAGCGGCTTCTCGCACATTATATGTAGATTCAAGGGCGCGATGGCCTGAACAATTTCTAGGTGCGATTCATCCAAAGTACAGATGAAGACGCCGTCGACTCCGACGTCTGGCGCTGCAGATGAGTCTTTCAGTCTGCGTCTTTCTTTCTCCCAGTCAAGCCAGCTCTTCCAGTCCTTGAACTCCTGTCCCACAGACGGCTGTTTCTCTCCCCAGACATATTTCCGTCCGAATCTACGGCGGGTCTCATCGTTGGGCTCTGCAACGGCGTAGATAATCCCTTCAGTGGCATTAGTTACGGCCTTTCCGTAGGCAGTTCCTCTCTGGCCGGCGCCAATCACCAGAAATCGGAGCGGCCCTGGCTCTCTAGACATCCTGATATATATCTGACAGTTGTTGTAGTTAGTAGTATGGCTGGTGGGGTGAAGAGGAAGTACTTACATGGTTCTACGCTCATACCCGCGAGTGGGATGTTCATAATCTAGTCATCCATCATTCGGCCATCGTTCGTATTTCCCTCCATACATCTAGTAGACCCTGCAAGATACGGACAACGATGTTACATCTCCGCACCGCTGTTGTTCCCCCGCTGTAACTAGATGTTACTTTGACAGCTTAACCGTTGGAGCAAGATATCTGGAAGTGAAGAATAAAACACGATGATTTTAAATGTCTTCTTTTTAATTCGCTGGGTTCCACTAGGAATGCTGATTCCCTATGACTGCTACAAAACAAACAAATCCACCAACCAAAAGATGAAGGCAGCCAGACTAACATTACCATTAACGTAGAATGCCCCTGAACAAAAGAAAGTACCCCAATGCGATGCATGTAAATGAAAGGATGTATGAAAGTCAAAAAGGAGCAGGAATTACTGCAGGAGAAAGAAAACGAGAGTATGCAGTCAATGCTGGGAAGAAACAATGTATGCTCCGGGTAAAATGCAGAAAACCAAACTCCGATCCCAGAAAATGAATGAAGGGAGATAAACTGGGCAAAAGAGTGTGATTAGTTATTATCCGGTCAACCGGAGGTGTAATGATAATTTTTTTGAAACGCCGTTGGGTATGCAAGAAACTCCCCGAAAGTTTGTCCCTAAGAAATGAGATAGGAAAAAGTGGTAGAGCACTTGTAAAGGAGGATCCCTCACTTATGCCACCGCTTCGTAGCAGCGATTTTTGCGGCCCTGGTTCTGCTAGAACCGCCGCCTTCGCGACGGTGCCAGGCATCCTGTGGCCAGACCCATCCCCGAGTTCGCTTCGCTTCACGCTTCTCTCGCTGTTGTGGCTCTGGAATCCATTTATCCTTGTCCTCTGGCAGGATGCGTTGGCGAGTCAGAGCCCCCGGACCACCGACATTGAGGTGCCATGATGGCTGGGTTGGCAGAGGCACAGATTTAGACAACATAAGCAGATAATATAGTGCCATGGTAGCCGAGAACGGGCCAGAGAGGTTCGAAGGCATTGGGGATACACCACGAGATGAACTAGAGTAATCAGATGATTGAGCTGAAGAGGCAGAGACAGAGCGAGACAGACCGATGCTGGATAGCATGGGGTTGTACGACTCTGCCGATGTCTTCGTTGCGATTGGAGTAGCCAGCTCGAGGTAGCCAAAGTATGGAACATCGTCGCCTTCATCACAGCCGGCGCGTACACAGACAAGTTCGATTTCAGTTATGATGAACCCGTATCGGCAAGAGTGTTCTCTCATGCAGCGTTGCAAATGAGAAAGACCATTGAGATACTCAACACGTCGATGGGGTTGTTCATTTCGCATCCCTGTGTTCCATCGGTTGAAAGACTTGACTATACCGACAATGCGGCCACGAGGGAGGCCTGACGGCGTCTGCTCGGTATCGCTGGCATAGTTGGCGAGGAAATGAGGGTCATTATCCCTATTTGCCGGGTTTATTGGGGCAGGATACAAGGACAAGCAATCGCGTCCTTGGGATACGCGAAGAGCAGCATTGACTCGGGGAGCATAAACGTCGCGAATTATATCAGTAAGTGAAATCTCAGAGTCAGGATACAGCCGAGACGAGGAGACGGTGGTTAGTGGAAGGCAATCCTGCGAGACGTGTGTTGTAAGGAGCTGGGGGAAGCGAGGAATAGAGCTCATATCATCAAGGGAAAAGGAAGACCACTGTCGCAGATTTCTGACGTCCCACCAAAAGTGCGCCTGGTTCGTTCTGTTTGATGGGTAGGACATGATCTCGACTAGGTTGATGGCCTGGGTGGGAGCATTAAGGTACTCAAGCAAGGTGGTTGATGCAGATGAAGGGGGGGAAGAATATTCCATTGGTGGGGCAAGGGGAGCTGGAGGGCCATTAAGAGCAGGATAGATAGAAGAGTCGGCAGTTGAAACGCCCAGAGCTCTTGCTGTAGTATCTGAAAAGCCGTAGAGACTGTTCTGCGTAGTTGCAACCTCAGAACTAGGAGCGTAGGTTTCTGCGGCAGCTAAGCAGGCGGATGTTGGGTAGGCTGAGGATGGGTATGTGCCAGGGTAAGCGGGAGCTGTGTATCCTGATGTTGGATAAGCAACTAGCGGGTCGGACGCGGCCGCATAATCGGCTTCTGGGTAGTTAGGTGTTGGATATGTGAAGGATGTTGCAGAAACAGGGGTTGTTGGGCTATACTGTGAAAGATACTTGGGCATCTGACGGTAAGTAGGATAGCCATATCGGCTGAGAGTGGCGTCATCAATACTAGAAACAGATGGGTTCCGTGCATGGGAAGTTCTCTTCTTTGCGCTGGGTGGAGGGACAGCGTAAGTGGGAGACATAGCACTCCCTCCAAGATAACCATGATATGAAGTAGGCGTGGTGCAAATAGGAGAAACCAAAGAGCAGTCAATTGGTTCAACTGCCCTGCGCGAAACAGAAGGTCGAGAAGAAGGATAAGGGGTAAAACCAGGAGGGTTCTGGGTTGTTGACAAGGCTTTCCGCGTTCGCGGCAGGCCATAGTGTGACTGTGGCTCTACCACAATATCCTGAGGTCTGATCTTAGGTAAAAGAATTGGGCCATGAGCACGGCCTGCTGGAGATCTTCCGGGCGTCGAAATGCTGGTAGATAGAGACTCTGGCGAAGAATCATGGGTATATGCAGATGAACCAGAGGTCGTTCGGCTGTGAACAGAACTAAGTAGCTCGGCATCGGACATGAGGGCGCGGGGCGGAGTTGATGGCTTGTAGTAATATAGCTCCGACGCCATATTTATACATCTAAAAAGCCAGTTAGGTCTAATCCATTATATTTTATGCTCGAGGGCTGTCAACATACCAATTTAGGAAATAGAGGTAAATATAGTGAACCAATGAAAAAGAGAAGAGAAAACTTTTATGATAACCCGTGACGCTGATGCTTGAATGGAAAAGAGACAATATGCAAATGAGATGATATGAAAAAGGGGAAGACCAGCTTCCAATGACATGTGCCTTATCCAATGAATAGACGAATAAATGGGTAATCAACTAGAGTATTTTGAAAGGAAAACCATATGAACCGTAGGATAGGGAATGCAAAGAATAGGGAACCAGGAAAAGGAAAAGAAAATTAAGGGAGTAGATGGGTATGGGAAATAAAATAGGCAAGCCAGAGAGAACTCTGGATGGGCATTGTGGACATTAAATCTTCAACAAGCCCGGCAGGGTCTGGTAGGAATTACAGGCCCTAGGCCAAACGAAGCTCATAGAGTTGAAGATATCTGAAACACGCAATGAATCAAAAAATAAAAGCCGAGAAAGAAAGACACGCCCATTGGCATAAAATTGTCTTTCAGAAGGCTAAAATTGTACCCTCAACCGAGCCGCCTGGAGTACAGAAGCGGGTTTGGGATCCCAGGCATGTTTGCAGGGAGCGCCAAATTGGAAAAGGAAAAAAAGAAAAACCTGATACACAGAGACGATGGGGTATAAGGGGACTTGGTCCGAGGGTATCTTCGCGCCGACAGGAACCAGTAGTAAGTAAGCGAGTTACCCCATGCCCATATCATAGATCATCGGGCATAAAGCTCCGACTGTCCCTCTGAATAAGAACTATATTTGGTCTTTTATTATGCTGCTATTTCTGGCAGGGCCGTAGGCGCTATGTATGGCTGTTTCAGGGTAAAGAGGAATGTCACATTTCAACTTCCGGGCGCCAAAGAGAGAGATCCATCGCATGAAATAATGTTGTCGCTTAGCAAACAAAGATAGAAAAAGTAGTAAGGCTGGCCAAAAAGCGGTAGATAGTGCCAGGTGGAATGGGGCAGATGCGACTGTTTCAGAATCTGGAGGGTCCTGGATACCAAAGACTAGTTGGCGCCCGCAAGAAGTCGGCCGTCCATAAATATAAACAAATATATTCGCGATGAGATGTGCCATTTTTTACGCGCCGACGTGGGCGCGTTTGGGCGGGACAGATGTGCTGAGGCCTTTTATTGGCCAATGCTTCAAGATGACTGATCGAGACTAAACTACTTCTGGAAGACAGGCGCTAACTTGGCCCACTAATATCCTAATATAGACAGTACCCACATCACGTGCTTAAGCCCCGGTGCACGTCCTCTATAAGTCACATGACTCTGCCCTCCTTGAAAGGGAAGAGAGAAGAGAATAGAGGATTGCACGGCGCGAAGAGACGGAAACTTGGACAGAAACCCCCCTGGAGGAAGCCCCTGGCGATCACAGTTCCAGCTCCTGGCGTTAACGAGCTTTTCTTGCCGTCTGACTGGACCTCAGCTTAGACAGCACGCTTGAAATGAGTTTCATCTCTTTTACGGGTGTCCTGTCATCAACCTGTCGTGATCGTGATGTGATCCGAAGGAGAAATAACAAATAAACATTACTAATTATCCAACGCGGGATGCTGGTATTTGATTTTGGCCGCCGATCGAGCACGTACGTTCTTCACTGTGTTATACAGCAACTGAAACTGCAGCGTGGTTGTCTGCAGTTCTACAAGTAACAAGATAATGCAGTTAGGCTGTGGTTTAAAATTAGATAAAATCCCATTTATTAAAATCGAGCATGTATCTATTCTATGCTCCAGGCGGTAAAACAAGAAAAAAAAAGAAAAGCGTAAATGGGCAGCGAGGTTAAGTAAGGCCTTGCTGTGATTATGAGAGCCCACCCCATGTTCATCCCACATTACCTATCCCCTGGTTCCCGTTCATGCAGCATCATTCGATAGCTCAGGCAAAAAAAAAAAAACGATATTCAGTTCGTTGCATCAAGATTTATAATCCCCCCTTCTAAGCAAGAGTAGAAAAAGGAAGAGCAGATGTGCTTTTAGATCTCATCTCTTAAGGATGATTCATAGCATGTTGAAGTTTTACTATGTTGAAAGAGTACCTCCCCCTTTTTGATTAAGCCTTGACTGCATACTCCCTTCGGAACATGTCATCAACCTTGGTAAGGTAGTAAGTTCCAGGGACGATGTTGTCAATGCTACCAACGGGGGTGAAGTTCTTCTGCAGGTGAGCCTTTTCACGAAGCAGGCACATCTGTATTGTTTAAAAAGCATTAGTCTCTAGTAATCATTTAACTTATTATGGCGGCGGCGACTTACATCATCGTAAACCTGGGGATCGACGACACGCCTGGCATCAAGGCGTTTTTGCAGGTCCAACTGCTTGACGATGGTTGACACATCGCCAACAATCTTGACACTGAACATGGAGCTAGCCAGGCCGCTTCCGTAGCTGAAGACACCCACGCGCTTGGGGTGCGCAGGGTCGAAGGGAACCCTGCTGAGTAAGCTGACGAGTCCTCCGTAAACGCTGGCACAGTACATGTTTCCACACTGAGTAGCGACTTCGATGGAAGGAAGGACACGCTCGTTAAATCGCTTCTTGGACAGGGCCATGAAAGTCTTTTCAACGGTCTTGTCGGTGACGGACTTTTCGTAGTCGAGGTTGCGAACCTCAGGAGCAACTTCGGCGAAGCAAGGGTGGTCTGGGTTTTCGAGATAGTCGTTGTAGAGAAGTCGTCCATAGGACTTGGCAACAAGCTTGCAGGTAGGGGCATGGAAAAGAATGTGGTCAAAGCGGTCGAGAGGGGTCCTGGTCTCATCGACAACACCGTTTGAATCGCCGTTCTGGCCCTTGAGGACCTTCTCTCTGGCGTTGTAAGCCTTGTAGCAGGCGTCCACAGCTTCAGTGTAGCACCTTATGGAGTAGTGACCGTCAACATAAGGGTATTCGCTGGTAAGGTCAGGCTTGTAGAAGTCATATGCATGGGTGATGTAGGTCCCCCTGAGACCTGGCTCAAAGACGATAGGAGCATCTGGACCAACGAGCATGGCAACACAGCCGGCACCACCGGTTGGACGAGCGTTGCCCTTCTTATACAGCGCAATGTCGCCAGCCACGACAATGGCGTCTCTGCCATCCCAACCAGAGGACTCTACCCAATTGACGGTGTTGAGGAGAGCATTGGTGCCACCGTAGCAAGCGTTGACGGTATCTACACCCTCGACGTTGGTGTTGCCAGAGGGTGCAAAGAGCTGCATGAGCACTGACTTGACCGACTTGGACTTGTCAAGCATGGTCTCCGTGCCAACCTCAAGGCGTCCAATCGACTTTGGGTCGATGGAATATTTGCGGAGGAGAGAAGCAACAGTGGTCAAGCATATGGAGTAGATGTCTGGGGTCCGTCAGTATCAGATCCTCGTTCTCGTCTGCTCGTTTCGCCCAGCTCACCTTCTCTATCATCACAGAAACTCATCTTGGTCTGGCCAAGGCCAATGGTGTATTTGCCCTGACTGACTCCATCAAACTTCTCGAGCTCAGCTTGATCAACGCACTGGTAGATAGATAGTTAGCAGGCAGCAAGACCAAGACGGAGGACCACTTGGTATAGATCTCACCTGGCTTGGGAAGTAAATCTCAATGGCTTTGATGCCGATGTTCTGAGGCCGGGAAGACATGGTAACGGCGGGTTATTGCTTTATCAGGAGATAGAACTTCGGCGTATATACTTGAGAACAAAGACGGTCAGTACGAGGAAAGACTGCAGCAGGATATAAGACTGTGCGATGTAAGCGAACAAGGCCGAACAAGAACAGGCAGCAACAATATAAAGGGGGCCGTCAATTCCTCGCCGGTGGGGGTGGTTTGTGCAGTAAACGTTTTAAAAGCTGAGAGAAAGATCGAGATGGGATGGAGCGAGGGCGGTGAACAAGGGGGTTTTCTTCCCTATCTCTCCGGTGGGGGGAGATGGACTCACGGTATTATAGGGATGCAATTGAAGGTCTTTCTTTCGGCGGATTGAGATGTTGGGTGAAGAGATGAAGCTGACAGCGTCTCTCCCTTTTTATTTCCCCCCCTTCTCTTCCTTTTCTTCTTCCGCTTTAACTCCTTTTTTTTTCCCTTCTCTTCTCAACCACTTTTTTTTTAGCTACCCAAAAAAACGGTTTTTCTTGTGACAAAAAGCCTATCTAAGTGATGACTAAGCCACTTAAAGTCATGTAATATTACCAGTCTAGCCTATCTAGGACTAACGAAAAATACGTGGCAGACCAAAAGTTGAGGAAAAGAAGAAAAGAAAAAGGAAAAAAGTCGAGTTGTTCATGCAGAGTTGCGGGATGTGCAGAGTAGTTGATGGGGAATCGCGGACGAACATGTTACAGGCATGAAGGGTTATGCAGTGCGTTGCTGGATCGTCCTCGGTGGAACAAGCAGCTCAGCTTTGGGCACAGCCACACAAAGCCCTTATCGATAAGTAGTTGGGCCCATCCCAGGCACCAGCGTTATGATATGCCTACCTATAGCTAATATATTAGCAGTATTGCACCCTATCCAGTGCCTATACTTAGGTTAGAAAATCCTGCTGCCTGAATTTTGGAAATCCCACAGGTGGTAGCGCGAGGCTAGGGCTGGAGGAGGGCCGTCTATATCGTCGCGCAGTAGCAGAAGACACCTTACCTAATCCGGTACGCTACCGGATCGGGGAATTTGGTGAGGTGCATAGAAGTGTAGTATCCTCAGAAGTACACCAGGCCAGAGCCAATATAATCAGGCAGTTTCGTCCTTCTCTGGTAGGTTGTCTGTAGCTACCAGACGTCTAACTGGCCTTACAACATGTAGCTGGCCACACGGCTGTACCATAACAATATGGAGTATATATATATATATCGTAGAAGAATATTATCTAAATATCTAGTGGTTATAGATTTAAGTAATTTGCTCTCTATTGTAATTCCATAGCTACTGCCCGTCATTATATGCACTTTGGTAGTAAGGTACTCAACATTTCTCGCTGCAAAGTGGCTAATGATTACAGTCAACTTGAGTGTTCCATGGGCGTGAATCCTCCACCGCGCCCTGTCTTCTCCTGCAGGTGAGCATCCAAGGAGTCTAGTTCGGACTGCCTAGCCGAGCAGTCATCCTGATGTGCCCGGCTATTTTCGAAATCAATCAACTTTGCAGTCCCGTTGTGAACAATAAAGTTGTACTTATTGACATCTCCATGCAGCAAGCCTAGCTTATGAAACTGCTGGGCAACATCCTTACAAACCGGAAGGTCATCGATTGATGCTTCGCGCCCCTCGACCTTCTCCACCAGGAGCCCAATAACTCGCCCGTGCTCATGGACATGGCCGAGAAACCGTGGAGCTAGACCACTCTCTGCTAGTAGCCTGTAAGCTCTGGTCTCCTGCACAATGCGTGGTATTTCCCATTCAAATCGGGCAATTTTGAGAATTGCAGTGGTTCCCGGGCTTAATGGTACCGAAGCATCGGAACCCTGGTTCCCAGAAACAGTGACTTCCGAAACATTTGCGGAAAGTCGTTTGACTTTGGTCAACGTCAGGCAGTCCACAGAATTGGGGTGCCAGAGCTCATGCACCCCGACCAGTTTGCGATTCGACAATCTGGTCTTCAGTTCGTTGGTGGATGGGTCCCGACTGATGAATGCCATGTTCCATTCTTTGGCCTTCGGTAAGGCAGGTAGCGACTCTAGAGGGGCGGAAAGAGTGTTTCTGTCATAGGTGTGCGGTGAAATAGTGACATATTTCACCTTTCCATCAATCAACAGTCGGTACTCGCTATCGTCTTTACCACTGACATCCATCGAGAGGACAGCCATAGACTGATGCCACTTCATCCTGAAAAGCAAAAACCGAATGTAGAAAAATTTGTGAAGCTTTCGTGTTTGGTATGGGGAGAATGCTCGTCTTTTGTGATCTCAGGATCTCAGATGGCCTCCAGGAGCGACGCAAAAAAACATGCTAAAGACCCATCCAATACTAACAGCGCACCTTCTTAGCTGGGATGAGTGCGCTCGTCAGGTTCAACTAAGATCACTTCAACAAGGTAGATGGTGGCAATGGTAGGGAGGTTTTCGAAGTGATATCAAGGAGGATTGTTGAAATGAGCTTGAATTCGCTTCCAAGAAACCGCCCGTCAGTCTTGTTATCCTGAGCGTGGACTTCTAACGTTTAGTTATATCTTGGGCCGAGAAAAGAAACTCCTGTGGCCGACCAGGACCTTCGTCAACAAATCATATTCGATGGAGATCGGGAGACTTACCAAACCACGCTCGTGGCAGCGGCCAATAATAATGGCTTTATTCAGTTGGTGATTGATCTTTGGAAACATATCATTCTCCCCACTTTGCCGCCGCTGCATTTTCAAGCATTGTCCAACATCACCGCCAATGCTCTGGTTGGTGGGAATGCAAGCCCTGTATGGCACCAAAAATAGACACTCAGTCTTCGATGCCAGCGTCTAGGACAGTGAATCACTTCTGAGTCCGATGCCCCGAAAAAGTACTTCTCTGAAGCCTCCGACGACGAACTCCATGGTTAAAACAATCTCAAGCTGTTTGGTTTCAATTTTCCGCAAATGTATACGTTTACGGAAAGAAACGAAACATAGACCCGGTTTGGAGTCAGAATAATGTTTGAGAAGCTTTGAGTGAAGGGCAATTTCGAAGTTTGTGTATATGTTGTAGCACCTCACTAGTTATTTACTAGTGAGTAAACAGTTATACGGGAACTTGCTTTGGGGCGTGAGGTATCTTTTCTTCTTTTCTTCCTCTCCTCAGCTTGTATAGTGGCCGGTTAGATACCATATCGAATAGTTCTACGCGGTCACAGCTACTATGATAAATCGGAATATTTTCGCTTGCTAAACGACATGACAACATCTCTTTCGTTGAAATAACCCCCACGAATAACAAATGTTGGCAGGCTTACGGCCACCTTGCCTTCTTTGCTGTGTTTCCACAGTTTTTGAGCCTCAGGACATAGTCGGAAATGGTCGAAGAACCCGGTATTCGAATATACACGGTCCCGCATCGCGAAAGCTTCTGTGGGGTTTGAGACTGTGTCTCCCTCAAGTATGATCTGACAACCTGCGCAGCAGAGGCCGTGCTGAACGTCGCCACTTGCTATATCGACATATGGTAGAGTAGTACCGGCCATATACCGTAGAACAGCGTGGGCTCGGTTTGAACAAGCCGTGACCGCTGCTGACATTGAGGTGCCAGGAAATGTAAATGCCTTGGCTATTTGCTTCTCCGCCACAATATACATCCTTCTTTGACGGGAAGTTTCGGCCATTGAGTATATTCCGGATATCGTATGCAACAACGGCACCGATCGGCGTAGATGTGCCCGTGACATGCTAAGCACCTTTCCAATTTCTACAGCTGGTAGGACTCGAAACCGAGGAGAGGAGGTAAGACAGCGAAAGCAGCACCTCTCGAGCGATGGAAGGAAAACAAACCCGCCAAAGGAATCACAATGGAGGCAGTCTCGGGTGCAAAGTACGTTAGAGATGTCTTTCAATGTGTACCACACCGAGATTTTTGTGCGCAGAATAACGCAAATGGTTTCGAGAGCATGGGTTATAAGGGTTGATATCCAGGAACGGTGGAGGCGATTTGTCGGGCCCGGACGTTAACTTGACGGAATACGAAAAAAGACCGCATATCCAAGAGGAGTAAAATTTCATGGAGAATTCCAACAGGTAGAATCTGCATTCGCCCAAGTGTTGTGATAGCTGTGTGATTGAACGGGTGAGCCATGGAGCCCCGAACCGCTTCGTGCCCACGCGGATTCAACCTGATAACTGCAAGGTCGAAGTCGCGGCGATGATAGGTGCTGACGCGAATGATATCGTCCATCCGCACTGTGTCGTTCAATTCCTTGACTGAAGACATGCTGCCGCGAATTTCCGTCCGAAGTTCTCACAGCATTTTTCATTTAGTGGAGTAGGGTATTTCGTTGTAAGAGCAGAGCACAAGTGTGTCGAAGGAGTATCCGATCAATTCCCAGGGCCGCATTCCTGGCGCGTTGGGGTTCTCCACGCAGGCGCTAATTGCATCCAAAGGCCACCACCTATGTCAGCACATCTTGGTGACAGTGACACTCTGGTGTACTCCGTATAGACGTAGATGTCAATAATATAACAAAATATATTTATAGCAACAACGACTGGTCGAGATGCTAAATAAGCACAGCCACGTGATATGGCTGTGCTCTGACCAGGGGGAAAGAAAGAGAAGAAACATCGACAAGGAGACTCGACTTTCCAGACATCAACCAGCAAAACATCTCTCTCAAAAAGATATCCAGCCAGGCTACACTCGTTTGATATATATACTCCCATTTGGCTGGTATAACATGACCAGGAACCCCTCGACGGTGGAGCGGTGACCGTCCCCTTGTTTCGCGCGTCAGATCGTCCTTCTCGCCGCAAGGTGCGAGAAACGGTCCATCTGCGGCGATGGGCGACCAGAAAGCCCTATATGAACACCTCCCTATCCCTACATACGAAGAAGCAACCTCGTCTCGCCCTTCTTCCTCACAGTCCCGATTTGGCCCTCGAGAAGTGAGTGACGATGCCGAAAGGCAGGGCCTCATACAAAATGACTCTGCAGCAGAACGCAGCCATCGCCCTTTTCGAGGATATAGGCCCCCGACGGTCGAGTCGGCAAGGTCAAGCCTCGACTTCCTCTCCGAGAATGGGAGTTCGGCTCGTGGGTCGACGGAGCAGCTGCGGAGAGAGCTAGAGGAGATGGAAGTCGAGGATCCTCCTACAGCCTCATCGTCTCGATCACTCTTTTCAAAACGGTTTACAAACTTCAAACGAACACTCTCGTCGATAAACCTGCCGCTGCGGAAATACATTCCTACCTTTAACATACCAACCTTCAACTTCCGGATAAATCTGTGTTCGGGCATGGAGCACCAGCAGAGATGTATCATCCTGCTCAGGGTCTTTGCCGTCTGTCTCGTCGCATCTCTCGTCTACCTACTATTTGTCTCGAATTTCTTTTCATTCAGCAACAGGATGAGCCAGGGCCAGATATACCAGCCGGAATCGGTCCGAGTTTTCCTCGAGAACCACATCAACGAAACGGCTATTGGGCAGAATCTTGAGCGGGCTACCAACTTCCCTCATATGGCGGGCACAGAGGGAAACTATGTCCTGGCCAAGTGGGTGGAAGAGAGCTTCAAGTCGTACGGGCTGGAAGCTGTCGAATTGGAAGAGTTCAATGTCTATCTTAACTACCCCAAATCAGGCGGAAGGAAGGTTGCCATCGTCGACCCCCCAGAGAAACTCTGGGAAGCCCAGGTCGAGGAGGACCAAGTATACGTCGACCCACCACGGGAACAGACTATGGTATTTCACGGGCTTTCTAAATCTGGGAATGTAACTGGCCCGCTTGTCTTCGCAAATTTCGGTTCCAGGGATGAATTCAAAAAGCTTACGGAATTGGGTATCGATGTTAAGGGAGCTATTGTTTTGATTCGGCATTACGGGACGCAACCAGACGTGGCATTGAAGGTAAAGGCGGCGGAGTTAGCCGGCGCAATTGGGTGTATTATATACTCCGATCCGGCTGAAGATGGATTCCGAAAAGGAGACGCTTGGCCAAAGGGAAGATATATGCCAAAAGACGGAGTCCAGAGAGGTACTGTTAACCGTGTTGCTCTGGCGGCGGGTGACGTCCTCAGTCCAGGGTTCGCTTCTCGGCCAGACGAGAAAAAACGACTCGATATCGGTGAAGCTGAAAGTCTTCCACAAATTCCAAGCATTCCTCTCTCCTGGAAGGATGCACAGCACCTTTTGCAGGCTCTCAAGGGTCATGGTAAAAAGGTACCCCAGGATTGGGTAGGGGGTGTCCCTGACATCATCGAATGGTGGACTGGAAACGCAGAGTCTCCCAAGGTTAATTTGATGAACTTACAAGATGAGGTAGAGCGACAGCCCGTTTACAATGTTATTGGACGGATAGTTGGTATCGAGCAGTCCAAGAACAGCATTATACTCGGTAATCATCGTGATGCTTGGTGTTTTGGAGCAATAGAACCTGGTAGTGGGACTGCGGTCCTGCTAGAAGTTGCTCGTGTTTTCGGCGAGCTCAAATCTCGTGGATGGCGGCCACTACGGACCCTCGAATTTATCAGCTGGGATGCAGGGGAGTATAACTTGATCGGTTCGACTGAGCACGTCGAAGACAGGGCCGAGTTTCTCAGGGCTAATGCATTCGCCTATCTTAACGTGGATGTTGCTGTCTCTGGCGATAAATTCACTGCTAGAGGGTCTCCGTTGTTCGAGCCGATCCTTCTTCACCTTTTGAACCGGGTACCAGACCCAAAGAGTAGGGAAACTATACGGGCTCTATGGGACCAGGCCGGCTCTAAAGTAGAAGCGCCTACTGCTGATGGCGATGCTCTGCCATTCCAGACCATCGCTGGGACTTCTAGTTTAAGTCTGGAGTTCAAGGGTGATCTTTACCCTGCCCACAGTTGCTACAGCAACTTTGACTGGATTCACAAAACCGGTGACCCTGGTTTCTTATACCATCGCGCCATGGGTCAGATATGGGGTTTACTTGCTTTGGAGTTGTCCAGTCGGCCTGTTTTGCCCTTTGACATGGGAGTATTCTCCAAGGCTTTTTCCCAGTATGTACTTGACCTACACAAATACGCCCAAAAGATATCCGTACCTTTGAAACCGGCCAACGGCCAAGACAAAAATGACAGCAAGAGATCAGAAAAGGGAGGTGTCGTTGATTTAAAGCCTTTATACGACACGGTAAGATCACTAAATTTTGAGGTTGCCAAATTCCATCAGTGGGAAGGCAACTGGAATGCCACCATATTCGACCAGAATGGGTTTGAGGATGATGTTACGGCTCTCAGGCGTATGAGCCATAACAGCCACATGGGTTATTTCGAAACAAACCTTTTGGATCTGGAGGAAGGCGGAGGTGTAAGTTCCCGTTATTTTCAACAGGAAGATGTGTCTCCACTAACTCAATAATATAGGTCCCTAACCGCACTCAATATAAACATATGATATACTCTCCTCAGCTATGGCTAGAAAAGCCCGAAGATGCAACTTATTTCCCTGCCATCAGAGACGCAATGGATTCAGGAGACTGGGTCCAGACCCAGGCGTGGATCGATAAGGTCTCAAAAATAATAACCAACGCAGCAATCCGGTTAAACCTTTAGTTCACTCCCTTGCTCTCTCTCTCTCCCTCTCTCTCTCTCTCTCTCTCTCTCTCTCTCTCTGTATATATCCATTCAAGGAAACGGCACCTCCCTGGATCATCACGGCGATGATTCAATAACACGGCCAACCGCCAGGCCTTTTATTCGTTGGTTTTTTCTTTCCTTCATCCGGCGTTTGTTATATACAGCATTTGGCATCATGCTCGGTTCTGCCCTTTCTTCTATCTCGCCTTTTTCTTCTGAGATACTCGTATTATTATGATATATTGAAATTGCTATTCTTCCATGTCGTCCAGCATGTGCTGCATGATGCTGCTCTGAACACATTTTTCCTAAGACCGATGTTATTACTACTAACCATTCAACCATCCAGCTATATGGACGATGTCTATCCCAGGCTTTTTCCCCCTTTTCTCGTTGCACGCCGAAGAAACAGTCTAAAACTTGGAACATAACATTACCAGGCTGTATATAATTTCCTTATTAGGCGGTTACTATACATATCATTTCAATCTGAGAAGACGTAGCATTATTAGGTTTTCACATAAGATCAATTATTGACGGAATCGAATCCATTTGAGTCTATCTATAGTAGTCACAAGCATCGAGAAAGGTACATAGTCCACTCTATCTGGGAAAATCTCCAACCCACCACGCGAGTTAAACTAGGCTCTTTATATTCGCCCCAAGACAAAATTGTGCAGCGCGAGGCGAAGTGAAAGCAAGGGAATTGGTTTACAATCTGCCGCGAAAACAAAAAATAAAAAATTGAGGCCCAGCTGAAAAGGGAGGAAGAGAGACAGAGAGATAAAAATAATGATCAGCAAATAAATGAGGAAGGCTATTGATTTGAGGCCGTGAGAACGTGATATGATTGATACTTTAAAAACGAATTATAAGATTAAGTGGGCTACCCAGTACAACCGCAGATGCGAGCCATTGCGTGAAGGAGGTATAACCCGGGGAATTCGATGACACTTCCCATTGCATTTTCAGCTAATGGGAAGCTTGCTCATGTCACCTTTTCCATCTTTTATCCAAGCAGGATCAATCAATCTTTCTCGTTCCGCGTATAGCTGTTTGTAGGCGCCACGGATCGTACCGTCACTAACATGGGCAACACCGGAGATCTCCTTAGCCGTCTTCCCATGGCCCATTAAAAAGGAAGCCATGTATATCGAAGCAGCGACGATGGAAAGTGGTGAGCGGCCGGCGAGGTCGCCCATGGAAGTGACTCGGTCAGCGAGCATGGAAGAAACGTTTGTGACCTGGAAGGGCAGGTCCAAAAGGTTGCAGAATCGGTTGCAGAGATCACTTGGTTTAGTGGATGTTGTTCCAGTGTATGCATCGTTGGGGTCGGGAACGCCTAATCATGATATGTAAATTAGAAAACCGAACACTTTGCACGACTTGAAAAATGCATGCAGAAGAGCTCATACCTCCGTTTGAAACCACAGAATTGATGCGTTCAAGGTTCTGGGCCGTGAAGAACTTTTCAAGTGCTTTGTAGATCCTGCCAATTTCCTTTTTGGACACTCTTGTGACCGCAAAGATCTCAGTAAATGTCCGGGGAACTTTACACTGCCGACAGGCAATGAAGATGCAACCGGCAATAATAACGTCCTGGGATTTCCCCTTGAATGCTTTCGCATCGTCGACGATTTTAAAGAGATACTTTGCTGTGTCTGCAACGTTCTTCTGAATGTTAAATCCGTCACATAAGGAGCCTATCTCCTTATACGCAGCAAGCAGGGCCTTGTTAGTTTTCTCGGTTGACATCTTGTTCTGGGCTCGATGTAGTTCCCTGCTCCGAGCACCGCCGGTACCGAACGAGATCTGCGTCTCAAGCTGGTTGCCATTAAGAAGAGGATTAGAAGCGTCACCAACTCGAGAGGGGTCATCATTATTCTGGTCATCATTCGAGAAGGTACGCCACTCCGAGTGAGGGTCTATTTCTCTATCAGCCAAAACGAGCCCACAGGAGCCGCATATCGTTTCATGGCTCTCTGGGACAAGGTTAGGAGGATTCTCCTTGCATTCTGGACATATCAGACGTTCAGCTAGATTCTCCTTCCACGGTGTTTGAGCTGGCTCCCCCCGAAGACCTGTTCCTACTGCCGCCATTTTAAGAACCTTCCTTTGAGGCTTCAGTCGACTGGAGTGACGACGCCTTATCTTGTTGTAAGTAACGGTAAGGTTATGCTGCGATGCGCACACACGGATAAATAGCGGCGAATACAGTTTGGCGGTCGGCGCCGAACAGAGGGGGAAAGTGTGGAAATAGAGAGAGAGAGAGAGAGAGAGAATCGCTGGGCCCTTGTAGGCGCTTTCTCCAGCTCAAGAGGATATGAGGATAACCACTACCTCCTTTTAACAACCATGTTAGTTCCAAAATAAAATACACTAAAGATAGAAGAGAGGTCAGGAGATGTTGCTTTTTAACCCCGTAATCAAGGGCCCTGCAGAAGGTAACGGATGAGAATGACAGCTTCTTCAAGGCCCAATTTGGTTGTTTGTCTCTTTCTTGTGGTAGTGCTTTTCTGTTGCAATGGAGCTGAGCCCCTTTGAAGGCAGCAAAATCATCTCAGCTTTACCTTTCTAGAGAAAAATCCTTGACGTTGACAGACAAGAGCGCCAGATCCTCAAAGGCGGTACCGCAAGATGCCCTAGCCGGGCAGGCCTGACGAAGTCGAACGTCTGTAAGGCTTCCAACTGCGAGTGGCAAATGCGGCGCTTTTGGGGGGGTTGGAAAAAGCTGGCTGTTCAGCTATGAGGGGGTAAAGGGGAAGCTCGTCTCTTCCAGGCCTGTACCCGACACAGTTATAACCGAGTGTCTCCTCTGTCAGTGGTCTCTCGTTCTTTGTGGTTGTTTGCGAGAAGGCGAAGTCTCTGATAGAAGAAGATATCAAAAAGCAACAAAAAAGCAAGGCTTTGCCTCTTTAGGGTCGCCTCACTGCCAAGCCATGCTGACTCAGCAATCACTGAACGTTTTTCCGTGACTTTCAACCTCACAAGAAAAGAAGAAGATGAAGAGCAAACAAGAACTTCTCCCTCCCAAAGCCAACAGCCTGTCGACAAACCCGTCAAGCCCCATCAGTCCGTCGCGATGATGTCTCAATCCCTCAGATCCTCGGTAGACAGATCCCAATTCCCCTTCTGCTTGAGACTGGGCGACTTTGCTAACCCGACCAGGTCTCGTTTTTGAGCCGAGCTGTCCGCCAGCAGAGCCCGATTGTCCGTCGAAGCTTTGCTACTACTCCCATCAGACGAGGTTAGTTTGAGCCTCGAGATAGCCTAGACTGCCTCAATTGAATGATCTGTGACGATTTGACATGCTTACCGGAGTTGTCTTTTACCTTTCCGTAGCCGACCCCGTACAGGACCTCTATATCCGTGAACTCGCAGCCTACAAGCCCGCTCCACGCAAGGCCAATGACGCCGACGCTCATGTTCAGAAGTTCGTTGCTCCCAGCCCCCCTCCATCCCCCGAGGAGAGCAACATCTCTGCCGATCTGAAGGCCTACGAGACCCAGGCTGTTGAGGTTGAGGGCCAGGGCCAGGAGGCCGGTGAGCCCACTCCTATCGAGGAGGACTGGCTCGAGATGGACGAGGAGAAGCCTGCTGCCCACTAAGTCACTCGTTCCGTCCGATGGCCAGATGTGTTTGATCGATAGAATAGAGAGATAGGATGGGATATCAGCATGTATAGTTACACAGAAATTCGAACTCTTTTCTTGTCTTGTTCTTGTTATAAATGCAGTGTACAATTTTCATGATGACTTTGCGTGCTTTATTTACTACCATCTATCAACTTGGATTTTGTCTGACCTATTCCAGGGCCGTATCGTTGCCGATCAGGTGGGACAGTGTTGGTGTTGTATACATAGAGAGAACCTCTCTGCTACTTTATACCTGTTTTTAAATAGTAGGTATATTGATAAGACAAGCTGGCCCTATATAATTCTTTTGGTGTAAACTTATATATTAAATGCCACAAATGCTACACCAGCCACCGATGTCTCGTTCCTTTCTTCCACTACAATATATATGTTTTAATAGGCCTTTTTGCCTGCATATGCAGATGCAGATGCCATACTGTGTGCCCTTTGCAGTACGTCCTATCACTGGGTGGCTATCCATGCTACTCCTCGAGGGTAACGCTCTACCCGCGTGATAAAATAACTGATAATATGTCTGATCTGCCTCTCGCGCCGAGCTGCAGCTAACTATGCAGGAATACAACATCGACTAAACATCGACTAAGACAGAATAAGATGACACCTGTTTAAATAGTGATGTTGGTGTTGGTTTTATCATCGCTGATATCAACTTTGACATCGACTTCGTTTTCATATCAACTTCAACCACGAAAGCGGCAAAAGGGGCCACGAAGCCGTGTGTCAGAGATCTATTATCCCATGTGGGTGCTCTACAGGCATTATGGCTCTTCAAGTGGATATAAGTTAAGTTAATAAAAAAAAGGAAAAAGGAAGAAGCAAGCCCCCCGCCACGCAGCAGGACAAAGGCAAGGGGCCCGAAAGGGAAGATGAGACATTCAGTGACATCAAACATGAGATGCTTGGAGAGAATTATGATATTAAAGAAGGCGAAGAAGAGGGAGAAGATGAACTCTCTGTGCCGTCCGAGGAAAACCTGCAGCACTCCTCGTATATTATATGGAGTACTATCATCACCTGCCTCTGCTGAAGCTAAGACATGCTTCCTCAAGGTGTGGCTGTACCTAGATAATAGCTTCAAGCCGATCTTTATAGCAAGGGCAAAAGAGAGAGAGAAGAGGAGGTAAGATGCGCGAAGTCGAGATGGCCGCGCTAAGAA